CAGTAAGAATAAACATAGTAAACAATATAACATTTGTCTTAACATAGTTTCACATTTTCTTTGGACTTCCTCACATCTCCCGCTCCCACTTTCATCGTTATAACATTTTGTCAGCAATTTATCATCTTATTTAAATTCTTATATCTCTTCAATATTTCATAATCTTATGGTTCTCATAGAGAGTTAAACTTTCACAGTCTTACTTATTTTCTTAAAAACTTCTAAGTTAAGTGGTGCTCAGTTATTTAGTCTAGCATCTTATTTAGCATTCACTCAAATCACAATATTTTTGTAGATAGTTCTTAAATTTCTTCCAATCCTCCTCGATTCTCTCTTCTCCCAGGTCACGGATTCTGCCGGTCATTTCAGCCAGTTCCATGTAGTCTATCAGTTGCATCTGCCATTCTTCCAGTGTGGGTAAATCTTGAGTTTTCCAATGTTTTGCAAGAAGTATCCTTGCTGCTGTTGTTGCATACATAAAAAATGTCTGGTCCTTCTTTGCCACCCCTTGGCTGACAATACCCAAAAGGAAAGCCTCTGGTTTCTTGGTAAAGGTATATTTAAATACCTTTTTCAATTCATTATAAATCATTTCCCAGAACGCCTTCACTTTAGGGCAGGTCCACCAGAGGTGGAAGAACGTTCCCTCACACTCTTTACATTTCCAACACTTATTATCAGACAGGTGGTAAATTTTTGCAAGTTTAACTGGGGTCATATACCATCTATAAATCATTTTCATTACATTTTCTTTCAGAGCGTTACATGCAGTAAATTTCAATCCATTACTCCACAACTTTTCCCAGTCCTCAAACATAATATTATACCCAATGTCCTGTGCCCACCTTATCATAGCCGATTTAACCATTTCATCTTGTGTATTCCATTCCAACAGCAAGTTATACATCCTTGAAAGTACCTTAATCTTTGGTTCTAACAATTCTGTTTCTAATTTCGATTTCTCCACCTGGAACCCTAGTTTCTTATCATTTTTAAAAACTTCTTTAATCTGAGCGTAATGTAACCAATCTCGCACTTTGTCTTTCATTTTCTCCAAACTCTGCAATTTCCAATTGTCTCCATCTTTTGCTAGTATTTCCCAATATGTTGGCCATTTAGCGTCCGGAGTGGGTCGTTGTCGGGCCGGAGCTTCCAAAGGTGAAAGCCACCTTGGTGTTTTATTTTCCAGCAAGTCTTTATATTTTGTCCAGACATTAAACAATGATTTTCTGACAATATGGTTCTTGAAGGCCTTATTTGCTTTAACTTTGTCATACCATAAATATGCATGCCATCCAAAAACATTATTAAACCCTTCCAAATCCAACACATCAGTGTCTTCAAGAAGTAGCCAGTCTTTTAGCCAGCAGAACGCTGCGGCTTCATAATACAACTTTAAGTCCGGCAGGGCAAAGCCCACTCTTTGTTTTGCATCAGTTAATAACATACACTTGATTCTGGGCTTTGCCCTGCCGGACAAACTTCGAAATATCTCTCTGCCACTTCTGAAAGCACTCCGTTTTGTCCAAAACCTGAAGTGTTTGAAATAAAAACAACATCCTTGGCAATACATTCATCTTAATAGCAGCAATTCGGCCTAACAAAGAAAGTTTCAATTTTGACCAACTGTCTAAGTCTCTCTTAATTTCTGTCCAACATTTTTCATAGTTATCCTTAAATAGACTTAGATTTTTGCTGTTATGTTTACCCCTAGGTATTTTACTTTTTAACCACATTAAGTTCCGTCTCATTCTGAAACCGTTCTGACTCTGTATCAGTCAAATTTTTCCCCAAAACCTTAGTTTTCTGTTTATTTAATTTAAATCCCGCCACCCGACCAAAATCATTAATCAATTGTAATACTCTTTTCGTACTGGGCTCTGGCTTCTGCAGGGTCAAAACCAGGTCATCTGCAAAAGCTTTTAGTTTATATTGTTTCTGACCAACCTGAATTCCTTCCACCAACCGATCCCCTCTAATCATGTTCAGTAGCACTTCCAGAACCGAAATAAATAACAAAGGGGAGATAGGGCAACCTTGTCGTGTCCCTTTTTCAATTTTGAACTCTTCTGTGACCACATTATTAACTATCAGTTTAGCTTTCTGTTCTGAATATATCGCCTCAATCCCATTCTCAAAACCCCGTCCCACTCCCATCTCTTTTAAATTTCCCATCATAAATTTCCAGGAAATATTGTCAAAGGCCTTCTCCGCATCTATGAAAATTAAAACTGCTTTTGTATTTATATCTGTTTGCAGAAGTTCCAAGATGTCAATAATGTTCCTTGTGTTAGCAAACAGATGTCTACCTGGGAGAAAACCGGCCTGGTCCTTATGAATTACTTCATTTAATACTTTTTTGAATCTACTTGCCAAAATATCTGCAAATATTTTGTAATCCACATTTAAAAGAGAGATGGGACGGTAGTTCTTCAGTTGTGTCTTTTCAGCTTCTGACTTTGGTATTAATGTGATGAACGCTTCCTTCCACGAATCCGGTGCCCTCTTCCCCTCCATAATTTCATTGCTGACCTCCATCAAGGGTTGTATCAAATAGTCTTTTAATGTCTTATAATACTTGGAGGTCAGCCCATCTGGCCCTGGAGATTTGCCAAGTTGCATGTTCTGAATAGCTTGTTCAATCTCCTGTCGTGTTATTTTAGAGTTCAGGATTGTCCTGTTTTCTTGTGACAATTTAGATAATCCATTTTTGCCAAAAATTGTTTAATCTCAACTTCGTCTTGCGGCCCTTGGGTGTATAATTTTTAAAATATCTCTGGAAACACTTTCTAATATCCACTGGATTCTGAATGTTTTTTCCATCAACCTCTAAGTTTGTAACCGTGTTTAATCTTTGTCTTCTCTTCAACTGCCAAGCTAGCAGTTTTCCACATTTATTCGCCGACTCAAACGTTTTTGTTTCATTAATTTAACCTTCCATTCAATTTCCTGATTTATCAATTTAGAATATTGTGTTTGATAGAGTTTAATTTCTCTCAGAGTTGGCTGTGACTTTGGATTCGCTCTTAATTTCTTCTCTAATTCTTTTAATTTGTCCAAGATCTTATCTTTTTTCTCATTTTGTGTTCTTTTCTTTACTACATTCTGTTGTATCAAGAATCCCCTCATTACAGCTTTGCTTGCGTCCCAGACAATTCTTTTTCCACCGAATTGTTCATGTTTATCTCAAAATAGTCCTTCAAAACTTTTTGGGCCTTCTTGGTAATTTCCTGATCTCTAAACAAATTGTCATTCATCTTCCATCTAAAGGATCCAGTTGGTAGTAGTGTCATATCCATCTTTACTGCATTATGGTCAGAGCAGGTCTTTGGGCAGATTTCCACTTTTCTGACCTTAGGTGCCAGGCCTCTGGAAATCCATATTTGGTCGATTCTTGTCCAGGTCAGTTGGGCTTCAGAAAAGAATGTTCCTTCTCTACCTAGTGGGTTCTTTGTCCTCCAAATGTCAATCAAATCCATATTGTCAGTCATTTCAAAAGTTTTAGGTAGTCTGCCGTCTTTTGTAACATTTTGACTTTGTGACTTGTCCATGTTAGTTGACACGACCCCGTTCATGTCTCCCATCATTATGATGTTGTTGTAATCCAGATATTCCAGCATTGTCCCCTGCAGCTTCTTGTAAAATTCCGATTTCCCTTCATTAGGTGCATAGATTCCTAATATCAACAGTTTCTCTCCTTGATATTGTATCTCAATGGCCAAAATTCTTCCATGTTCATCTTTAAATAAGAATTTAGGTGACAGGCTCTCTTTTGCATATATCACCACGCCTCTCTTCTTAACTTTGTCCGACGAAACAAATTCCTGGCCCAATCTTTTATTTATTAACACTTTTCTGTGGAGCCTCGTCACATGTGTTTCTTGTAAACAGATAATGTCCAATTGTTCTTTTTTAATATATGAAATATTTTCTTCCTTTTTCCGGAATGTTACAACCATTAATGTTCCAACTCAGCAATTGCAGAGACATCCTGGATCTATCTGGTTATTTCTCCAGGGGTGGTGTCTTCTCTGGATCTTCAGGTTCCCCAGGTGCTGGTGTTAATGCTGGCTTTGCCCCAGGCCCAGAAGGTAATTCAATTCCTTTTTGAAGGTCCTCTCCGTATGTAGCCAAAAATTTGTCTCTCTCTTCCAATGTTCTAACTTTGACCTTTCTCCCTTTAAAGGTAAAAGATATTCCTTGGGGAAATTCCCACCTGAATGGAATTGCGTTGCTCCTTAGTAGTTTAGCAAGTTCAGAATAGGCGGCTCTAAGATCCAGCAGTTGTCTTGGAATATCTTTATAAATTTCAATTCTTCTGTCCAAAACCTCCAGTGACTTTCCGTAATGTAGGCCCAAAATCTTATCCCTTTCCTCCTTTGATCTCAATGTAATCAAACAGTCTCTGGGCCTCTCCTTCTTTGTGAATCTTCCAAGTCTGAAAGCCGACACAATTTTAAAATCCTTTTCTTCCAAATTCCAGAACTTGGAAAATTCTTTAGTCAAAAACTCAGTTAAATTTCCTTCTTCTGCCTCTTGTAATGATCTAATCCTCAAATTATTCTCACGATTTCGCAGTTCTATCATGGAAAGATAAGTCTGATGTTCCCCAACTTGTTTGGTGAGTGGTCTTACCTCTTGCTCTAAATTTTCCAATTTTTGTCTAGTATCCTCAGCCAATTTCCGATTTTCTGCTGAGGCCTCCGTTAACTGTCCAATTGCTTGTGTATTCTGTACAACTTGTATGGTTAATTTATTTAGACATTCTGTATTTTTGTCAATCTTTGCTGATTGCGCATCTACTTTCTTGTCCAAAGCTTCCAATTTTTCAAAGATTTTGTCTAGAACAGAAACAGATGCTCCTGAGGCCATATCTTCCAATTGTAACTGCTCTGCTTCACCCTCTCCCTCTTTTGCCTGTGGCAAGGCAACTTCTTCAAGTTCTACTTCTGAGGGCAAAGTAGGTACAGATGATCTACGTGTCTGCGAGGCTGAGGTTAGAGTTGTTAAAGTTGTTTGTCTAACTCTCCCTCTTTTCCTTGTGCCACTCATTCCAACGTTGTCTATCAGTCAAGGTCACACTGAGTTTTCCCATGGGAATAGAAAGGCCCAGAGCAAGCAAACAACAAGGGAATCGAAAGTAAATGTAAATGTAAAGTCACTGTTTTAATCCAATCCTCTAGAGGAGCTTAAAATGTCTTTCAGAGTCTAATTTAATGTCCAAGAACCTTCAAATATAAATATTTAGCAGAGTTTATAAGTAGTCACTTTGTTACAGACAGTGCTTATTTATCTCCAAAAAGAATGTTTCAAATTTAAAAAGTCTCAATACCCTCAGATTGTTGCAAGTTCCAATATACAGTATCCAAATCTGCAATACTGACAGCTCAATTTCTCAATGCTCAGGCAGCTCCTGACTCTGGGTTTCACCTTCTAATTTGTAATCCAATAAAAGGGGGAAAGTCAAGTGCAAGTTGAAATTCCAAGTCTTTAGATTAAAGTCTTTACTTTAAATTGCAAGTTCAGTAGATGCTTAGATCTGTAAAGTTTAAAATCTCTTCCTTTCAGCCTCCACTCCTCCAACTTAGTTGCTTTTTCAAGTTCAATGGCTGCGGAAGACGGACTTCCTGTTTCCACGTCTCTCCGCTTTCAGCCAAGTTCAAGCCAATTTAAGGTTTTTCATTTAAAGTCTCTAATTTCAAGTGATTCAGTCTTTACTCACGAGTGAGTTGCTTTTCGTCCGAATCCGTATTTTAACAGGAAAAAGGATCAGCGCTCACCGGCAGCAGCAGCGCGGCTTCACTCCGCAGACTGTGAAGCAGCTCTCAGCGCCGCAACCCCCCTCCACGCTCCGGAGCCCCTTACGAGGTTCCTTTCACGTTTGGAGGGTCACTTAAGGCGCCCACCGAGCCTCAAGACCCCAAGCTCTTGCTGCCTGGGGTTTTCCGGAGTGGGTCTCCGCTTCGCCGTAGCGGACGACCCGTTGTCTGCGGAGCCTCCTCTCCCGTTCAGAAGAGGACCGCCATTGCCGTTCGCGCCGCCCCTCGGAAGTCCCAAGTCCAGGTATGCATTTTAGGGCACTGTTTTGTGAAGTATTCTCTGCATTTCCCCCATGCTTTTTGAAACTCTTGTCTAGTGTGATCTCTAATTGCCTCTGTTAATCTAGACTCTCACAGTTTGTCTTGCCATTCCTTTTTTGATGGCACAGTTTCTTTTTTCCAGTTTTTAGCAGTTAGGATCCTTGCCGCTCCTGTGGCATAGAGGAGTATTTTCTGATCTTCTCTTGCTATACCTGTGTCCATTATCCCTAGTAGAAAAGCTTCTGTATTTTTCATAAAGTTATACTTAAATATTTTTTTAAGCTCGTCATATACTGTGTTCCAGAAGCTTTTGATTTTTTCACAGGTCTACCAAGCATGTATAAGTGTCCCCTCTGCACACTTCCTCTATATTTTGATCCTCTTCTCACCTTCCCCTGTCCTGTTCTGCCTTTGATAGACTCCTTCTAGGCTAGGGATATAAAGGGCGTTGTTTTCTGTTCTGCCTTGCATCTGTCGCACGCCTCACCTGGGATAGCTCAGTCAGTAGAGAATGAGACTCTTAATCTCAGGGTTGTGGGTTCAAGCCCCACATTAGGCAAAAGATTCCTGCATTGCAGGGGGTTGGACTAGATGACCCTCGTGGTCCCTTCCAACTCTACAATTCTATGATTTCTGTTCCACTGCAATTAAAGTTCCATGAAAACGACATTATTCAGCTCGCTGTCCACTGTGGCCAAATATAACAATGCAATTAACAATGTAATTAACTACATTATTATTGCATAATTTCAAGAGGGAGGAGGAGATGATAAATAACATAAAGAAAAAAAATGATTATAGAAAATTGGAGACTGGGGAATGGAGGCTGTGAATACTGATCATAATCACCTGCCTGATTTCTATTTCTGTTTGCAGATGGCTATGCAAATCGACTCAATTTCAGGTAGAGCTTCCCATTTTGAGGGAATTTCCCAACAACCCTATTCTAGAAAAAACTGAACTTCTGGTTACGTTAACCTAGCCATACAAAGAATACTGAGGAATGACAGCTTGGTGGAGAAGGGAAGGGAAGATGGTAGCGCTTTCTTATCAATGACAGCTGCATTTCAGTCCCCGTTACCTGGAGTCAAAGAGGGTCCCGTCCATCAAGGTGCCATTATAATGGTACCGCACAAAATCTCCGGTCACGGCCTTGCGCTTGCAAGACGCTGGCACTTCCAAGTGCTCCAGGGAGATGCCATCTTTTGGGTTGTGCAGGTCCACCAGGAGAACATCAAAAACCAGGGAGGCTTGAGGGGGGATGACAGTGCCTGAGAAAAGGAAAGGAGAACCAATTCAGCTCAGGCGGCCACAGGGACCCAGGTCACGTGGAGGAACACTTTAAACCACCCCATTTTTTAGAGGGGACGCCAGCTAATCCGCTTTTGAAATACCATCCCTTTCTTCAAGAGCACTGTATGGCAAAGTGTGCTAAGGTTGCGGTTTCTGCCATTTGTGATAAATCCACAATTGAATGTAGCTGACTTCAGCCCACAAAAGTTGTGGCTTTGAGGCTTTTAGTAATGGGGTCCCCAACATGGTGCCAGTGAACGTCATGGTACCCTCAGACACCCCTCTCAGTGCCCACCACAGCCCCCTACCAGTACATTCTTTTTTATATTTGTAGGGTTTTGTTTGGCTTTGTGAAGAAGAGTTTGGATTTGATATCCCGCTTTATCACTACCCGAAGGAGTCTCAAAGCGGCTAACATTCTCCTTTCCCTTCCTCCCCCACAACAAACACTCTGTGAGGTGAGTGGGGCTGAGAGACTTCAGAGAAGTGTGACTAGCCCAAGGTCACCCAGCAGCTGAATGTGGAGGAGTGGAGACGCGAACCCGGTTCACCAGATTACGAGTCTACCGCTCTTAACCACTACACCACACTGGCTTGTGAGCTGTTGTATGGTTGGGAGGGGTTTGTCTGTGTTTTGGAGGTGTTCACTTGTGTGTGTGTGCTTTACAAGGAGGGGGTCTGGTGCATGCGCCCACCCTTGCATTTCCAAATGTGCCCCCCAGGCCTTGAAAGATGGAGGACCCCAGTCTTAAACATTAGTGCATAGCCCCTTGGCAGACACCATGTTTTTAAAGACATCTCTGTGTGTGGATGCTTTAGCTGAGATCCCTGCATCACAGGGAGTTGGACTAGATGACCCTCAGGGTCCCTTCCAACTCTACAATTCTACGAATTCTTGTCCCTCATCACCAAGTTTTTGTACAGGAGCAAAAACGTACATACATTCTTATGTAAGCGGGACCCTTGAGATCTGCTAGCAGGTACAATCCTTTCCCCCCAAAAAGATATTTATTTCTAAGTACAATAAAGTCTTATTGTCCTTTTTTTTTTTTTGAAAGAAACAAAGAAAGAATTGGTTTGGGGATTTCTTTGACACAGAATCTGAGGTGATTTCTTGCATACTTTCAGAATAATATTTAAATAATATAATAAATTTAAATTCTTCTGCAGATATGTAATAATAATATAATAATTTATTATTTATACCCTGCCCATCTGGCTGGGTTTCCCAGCCACTCTGCGGCTCCCAACAGAATATTAAAAATGCCTTAAAATATAACACATTAAAAACTTCCCTAAACAGGGCTTCCTTCAGATGTCTTCTAAAAGTCAGATAGTTGTTTATTTCCTTGATATCTGGTGGGAGGGCATTCCACAGGGCGGGTGCCACCACCGAGAAGGGCCTCTGCCTGGTTCCCTGCAACCTCACTTCTCGCAGTGAGGGAACCACCAAAAGGCCCTCGGACCTGGACCTCAGTGTCCGGGCTGAACGATGGGGGTGGAGATGTTCCTTCAGCTATACTGGGCCACGGCCATTTAGGGCTTTTAAGGTCAGCACCAACACTTTGAATTGTGCTCAGAAAAGTACTGAGTGAATACAGTTCACCTTGTGGTTCAGATTCACAATTTCTTGACCACCTTACCGTAGCCTTTCTCTCCGTAGGCCAGGAACGGGGGGATCACTATTTGTCGTTTCTCTCCAGCACACATGCCTAGCAGGCCCTCGTCCATCCCTTTGATCAGCCAACCTGAACCCACGTAGGTGTCATAAGTACTGTCTTTTCCATAGCTGGGAGACAGGTGAGGATGGAGAAAGGGAAAGAGACATCAGGCAAGGAAGCGGTTCGGAGAAAACAACGCCACCTTCGCAGCACAGCACTGGTCAAAAACAGCCACCCACTAAAAGGTAAAAAAAACAAAAAGGTAAAGGACCCCTGGACGGTTAAGTCCAGTCAAAGGTGACTATGGGGTTGCAGCGCTCATCTCGCATTCAGGCCGAGGGAGTCGGCGTTTGTCCTCAGACAGCTTTCCAGGTCATGTGGCCAGCATAACTAAACCGCTTCTGGCGCAATGGAACACCGTGATGGAAATCAGAGTGCATGGAAACGTCATTTACCTTCCCGCCACAGTGGTACCTATTTATCTACTTGAACTAGTGTGCTTTCGAATTGCTAGGTTGGCAGGAGCTGGGACAGAGCAACGGGAGCTCACCACCATCACGCAGATTCGAACTGCTAACCTTCTGATCAGCAAGCCCAAGAGGCTCAGTGGTTTAGACCACAGCGCCACCCGCTCCTCATCTTATTCTACATGAGGCTTCCTCAACCTTGGCCCTCCAGATGTTTTGAGACTACGATTCCCATCATCCCTGACCACTGGTCCTGCTAGCTAGGGATCATGGGAGTTGTAGGCCAAAAAACATCTGGAGGGCCGAGTTTGAGGAAGCCTGTTCTACATTGTTCTTAATCACTGCATTTAACTGCAACTAACACCACTACCAGAGATCCAGCATCTTTGACCGGACAGCTGCTCTACCTATTATACAGAACGAGAGTCAACTTAAAAACATAATGCTAAATGCATCTTTGAATCCTGTGGCTGGAATCCTCCTTCTGTTTTTTAAACCACCAGCAGCCTTGGAAGGGTAGGGGTCAATCCAGTTCAGGACTGTAGCCAAGGGACTGCTATAATTGCAACTGCAATGACATTATTTTGCTGTCTTTCACTCTCTGTACCAGACCTCTGAGCCAAAACATGCCATCTCCCCTTCAGCACATCCTACCTGGAGTCGAAGGGGTGCCGTCGAGAAGTGTGCCGTTGTAGTGGTAGCGCACAAAGTCGGAGTTCTCCACTGTGCGGTTGCAGCGCTGCGGCTTGGAGACGGTGGTGATCTGCAGCTTGTCTTCTTTGTTCCAAATGTCAAGCAGGATGACATCGAAGTAGAGGGTGGTGTCCGGGGGAATCAGGCCAGCTATGGGGTTGAAAATGAGGAACGACCATGGAGACTGAAATGATAATTCTCAGGGGGACTGGGAGGCCACCACAACCACTGCCCCTTCGCCAATGGCACCAGGCCATTCAATACAGTGGTACCTCGGGTTACATACGCTTCAGGTTACATACGCTTCAGGTTACAGACTCCGCTAACCCAGAAATAGTACCTCGGGTTAAGAACTTTGCTTCAGGATGAGAACAGAAATCGTGCGGCGGCAGTGGGAGGCCCCATTAGCTAAAGTGGTACCTCAGGTTAAGAACAGTTTCAGGTTAAGAATGAACCTCCAGAACGAATTAAGTACGTAACCCGAGGTACCACTATTTATCTATTTCTATACGGCCATCCATCTGCGTGGCACTTTACCAAGTACAGGAAATGCATAAAATGGAGGAGAAAAGAGTGGTGGATGGGGAAGCCATGTAAAGCGAAACGGGTGGAACCGGAAATGACAAGAAGTAGGGAAGCTCAAGCGTGTTTGGAGACTTGAAACAACTTCTCAGTATAGAAACCTGCTCTTATTATATTAGGGCCTTCCAAAACCCCAAAATGTATTTTATATAATTGACTTTTTATTTCTATTCTTTGTATATCATATTGTTGTTTTATTGTGATGGCCAATGGCTGATGCAAATAAAGAAGAAGAAGAGTTTGGATTTGATATCCTGCTTTATCACTACCCGAAGGAGTCTCAAAGCGGCTAACATTCTCCTTTCCCTTCCTCCCCCACAACAAATACTCTGTGAGGTGAGTGAGGCTGAGAGACTTCAGAGAAGTGTGACTAGCCCAAGGTCACCCAGCAGCTGCATGTGGAGGAGCGGGGAAGCCTACCTGGTTCCCCAGATTACGAGTCTACAGCTCTTAACCACTACATCATGCAAGATTCATTCATTCATTCTCAGGGCCTTGCAATGCAGTACAGTGCTATCCTTGCTATGGCTAGCTCAGTCGGTTAGAGCATGGTGCTGACAATGCCAAGGTTGCAGGTTCAATCCCCGTAAGCGACAGCTGCTTATTCCTGCATTGCAGGGAGTTGGACTAGATGATCCTCAGGGTCCCTTCAAACTCTTATGATTCTCCTGCCCCCATGCTAGGATCTAATTGATCAGATCACTGTGCACACTCCCTGGCATTTTTGTTTTTTTTTAATGTGTCCTTAAAGGCACAGATATGCAGCTAAGATATTGTCAGGCTCAGGCCACGCCTGTCAACCCTGGACTCTTGCCACTCACCCACGCCGATGCTGCCGTAGCCAAGATGAGGGGGCACAATGAGGTGCCTTCTCTCGTTCACACACATCCCCTGCAGACCTCTGTCCATGCCGGTGATGAGCCGCCCCACGCCAGCCACGCCGGCCACTGTGGCACCCCGATCATAGCTGGAAAGGGAAGAAGGCATTGATGGAAGGGATGAGCAGAAACAACAAAAATGGAGCAAAGAGAACTCTAAAATGGCCAGTTAACAGATAACATGATGTGTGGTCATGGCCACTGGCTTAGATTGCTTTAAAGGGGATTGGACCAATTTACGGAGGATGAGCTGATCAAAGTCTACTAGTTATGGCTCCAGGTTCTCAGGCGGCATATTGGCAAATGCCATTTGCTGGGGAGCAACACTACACAGTGGTGTGGTGTGGCGCTGTGGGTTAAACCACAGAGCCTAGGACTTGCCAATCAGAAGGTCGGCGGTTTGAATCCCCGTGATGGGGTGAGCTCCCGTTGCTCGGTCCCTGCTCCTGCCAACCTAGCAGTTCAAAAGCACATCAAAGTGCAAGTAGATAAATAGGCAGGAAGGTAAACGGCGTTTCCGTGCGCTGCTCTGTTTTGCCAGCAGCGGCTTAGTCATGCTGGCCACATGACCTGGAAGCTGTACGCCGGCTCCCTTGGCCAATAAAGCGAGATGAGCGCCACAACCCCAGAGTCAGCCATGACTGGACCTAATGGTCAGTGGTCCCTTTACCTTTAACACCACATGAAGGTAAGGTAAAAGGTAAAGGACCCCTGGACGGTTAAGTCCAGCCAAAGGTGACTATGGGGTTGTGGTGCTCATCTCGCTTTCAGGCCAAGGGAGCCGGCGTTTGTCCACAGACAGCTTTCCGGGTCATGTGGCCAGCATGACTAAACTGCTTCCGGTGCAACGGAACACCGTGATGGAAACCGGAGCACATGGAAATGCTGTTTACCTTCCCGCCACAGCGTACCTATTTATCTACTTGCACTGGTGTGCTTTCGAACTGCTAGGATGGCAGGAGCTGGAATGGGAATGGGAGCTCACTCCATTGCGGGGAATCAAACCGCCAACCTTCTGATCAGCAAGCCCAAGAGGCTCAGTGGTTTAGACCACAGTGCCACCCACATCCCCTGGAACACCAGGTGAGGGCTGTGGCTCTCATATCCTGGCTACAGGCTTATCCCATCCGTGCGGTTGGCTGGCAACTGTGAGAAACAGGATGTTAGACTAGCTAGGCCACCCTTGGCCAACTACCAGATGTTTGGCACTACAATTCCCATCAGGCCCAGCAACAATTCTGGCCAATTCAGAGGCAAAGGAAGTTTGTGTGGTATGGTGGAAGTGGAAACACGTCTCCCTGAGTTCATTTTGAGGCCTGGCCTGGCTGTTCCCTCCTCAGAGTGGACCTCGTGGAAAACTATTTGAGAACCAGAGCTTAAGGCTGAAAAGCAGCATTGTAGTATAAAAAATCCCCACAAACTCTTCCTGTAACTGTTGAGGGAGCAAAAAGGAAAAGAAATCTTGCTGGCTTCAAGATGCGCTTGGATACATTTACGAAAACTATTTTAGGACCGATTCAATTATTTACCCAAATTGCACCGCAACAGCAGAAACCACCTTTTTAAACAAAACTATGCCCTGAAGCAAGGAATGTGGGTGTATGCCCATTTTAGTAAGGCAGAAATTCCGTAAAGTTTTGCTGATGAGGAAAAAAACCCCAAAACCTCCCAAACTATTCCTGCTAGCAGGGAGAGGAGCAAATGAAACCCGATCTCCAACTTCCTTTCAGTCAGAAAAGGAGGAGCAGAATAGCCTGATCCTGCACTCTGAATTCGCCAAGAGGATCAGCCCGCATGTCATGATATGGGGGAGGAAAGGCAGTTAGCACCGAGGTTTCAAATCAAGACCAAGTTTTCTTCCAGATCTCTAGAAAACTAGATCCATTTTATAGGACTGCTGCTTCCAGTGTGTGCATTTTGGACGGGAAAAGGAGTCGCCGTCCTAAGTTGCAAAATCCAGCCTTTTAAAATGCATAAGCAGCTGCAGCCTCATGCGGATGACACGTCTACAGCCCAAACGGCAGATCCCATCATGGACGCCATCTCCTCCCACAGCCTATAGCAGCTCACTGCCTGCCCCCTTCCTTCTGACACACCGCTATCTTGCTTCGTAGCTCAACCTGGCTCTGTGGGCAGTGAGGTTTGATGCTCAAGACACAATTTCAAAATGCCCTAATAGTTTTGTTATCACGCTAATATACCTTAGGATGTGCCAGCTAAATTACACATAAGATTCAGCGATGCTGAACCAAGGGATAATGTAATAGCAAAGGACAGGGATTGTTGCACCCATTCTCAGTCAAACAATTTGTCTTTTGATGCAAGGGAACTACCAGAAAAGTGAGTGAGTGTTCCTTATTTATTAAGGGAGTTCGGACGCATGACAGGTTTAACTAAAAGTTCCACATCTTAATTTTTTTAGTTTTAAAACAAAGCCTGGAAGTTCAGATCTGAAATATCCTTACGTGAAAACGTCCTGCTCTAGATGTGTTCCCTTCTCCCTCTTAAAATTTATTTTATCAATTCTGTCCTTATTCGAATTTTGGTATACTATATCATGTAGAATGTTGGGCTGCAATTTGGTTTGATCCAGCAAAAAAATTATTACACAGATGACTTTAACTTTCCTTTCCTCTGACACGCCCCCCCCCCCCCATATGCACCTTCAAATTCTGCTCCAGAGGGTTGGGAGAAGATTTTGGGGACATGGTGGGGGGGGGGGGGAGAAGAGAAGGGAAGTCCGATTGCCTGAATGGGAATCCATGCATGCAACACTGGCTACAATTCTATGTTCAGAAATTCCAAATAGTGCACCGCGGTAGTATGCTTGCAACCATAGAAAAAGAGTCCGTCCTTTAAAAAACAACCACCAGCCATTCAGCAACGATAATCTTTCCTTTCCTTCTCTCTCCCTTGATACCCATTACCTGGGGGAAAGTCCCACTGAACTCTATGGGACTTATTTCCAAGGACTGCACGGATGGAGAAGGGAGTATCAGGAGAGGTGAAAACTGAAGGTTTATTATCCTTTGAGGTGATCTGATTTTATCATCTGTGGACTTGAGGAATGTGGGTTGCTCTGAGTTTTCACAGGAGCAGCCTACAGCAAAAACAGGCCAGACCTAATAGAAGGACGTCCATTTTGTCTTATTTCAAACACTTCGCCCTCCTCAAAACACTCCTTGCATCTCCTTACCCCCCACAATAATAATTGTTGTTTTTTAACAAGTTCCTGGGACTAAATCTCATTGAGTGTGGTCAGATTCCACAACGATAAAACCTAAATTTAGCCGATGGGAAGAAATTATCTAAAGTATGTTTGCTAAGGCAAGGGTTTGTGGCCTGAATTGCCCCCGCTTTCTCAGAGATTTTTAATGTCCCTTTCCTGAATATCCAGCTTTTCTGAATAGAAATCTCTAACTCAGATAAAAAGAAAAACATGTCAACAGTATTCTATTCAGTTCCCCCCAAAACAAACAAACCTCTTTCCAATGCTCTAGTCACAGAGTCATGACCAATATGCACTTTTAAATATATGCTTTTAATTAAAGTATTTTAATTTGAAGCATTACATGCATTTCGTGTCCACCTTCACCCTTGCTTTGCTCCTCACCAGCGCCCCCACAACATTTATTGCATGCCTGCCCATGTTTGTACCAGGGTGGACCCCTTTTTTTCCAGACCTGGCTCTTTGCAAAGTCCACCCTGCACCCTTCTAGCCAGAAGCTGGCTTGGCAGCTGCAAACCGCTGTGCAAAAGCTTCTGAAGTTATGCGAGGGATCAGCGGCTCCATATTTCTCTTTCCCCCCGAGGCCCCAAAGAGGCAGAAGATAGAAGGCACATACCGCCAGAGGCACGCAATTCCTCTTGCAAGGGAGAGAGAGGGAATGAAGGTTTCTCATTGCTGGCGGGCTGTTGTTTTATTTTAATAAAGGAAGGGCTGTTTTTCTAGGTTGCACGCATGGCTATTTCAAAAGCGCAAAGATGAAACATTAAAACGTGGGTCTCCTGTCTCTCAACTTATGGGGGAATCTCCTAAGGGGAGGGGCAGGGACAGTGTTAGAAACTGAGATATGAAATCTAGGCACAATGGCACCTTAGGTTATGGATGCAACAACAGAATGTCTAGGCGCACTTTTTGATAATACAAAGCTGAAAATGAACTGCAGCTAAAATATTATGCTCCTTTTCCACATGGTCTAGTCCTTCCCCTGCCCACCCCCTTAATATTCTTAAGAGTGTCTCTTCTCCAGTCCTCAGAAAGTAGGGGAGGCAGAAAAAGGTCCTCCTTTCCTTCCACTCTGCAGTTTTACTCTGAAATCTTGCGCCCGGAACTCAGAAACCGCTTTTGCTCATGAAATAATTCCGTCGCAAAATGCGCCTAGAACAATCGGAGTTTTGAACACGGGGGCGGGGAAGATATTTTGCCACTCCTTAATTCCAATTTGCCAGGGACTGCAGGTGAGCCACCACCTAACCCTTTGTCTCTGGATCAAAGGACCCAGTCCTGCCCTGGACGGGCGCTGCTGCGCATTTCTCAGCGAGGGAAACGAGAAGGGGGGAAAGTACCTGGAGTCGAACTTGGTGCCGTCCTGAAAAGTGCCATTGTAATGGTACCGGACGAAGTCGCCCATCTGGACTTCTCGCAGGCACACTTTGGGGATGTAGTATCTGTCGATGACTACGTCCTCCAACGGGCCGGGGTCTCCCAAGCCGCGGACCCCCAGCAGGCTCAGCGCCAAGACGAGGCACAGCAAGCTCATGGTGATGATCTTCGACGGTGCGCCCTCGGGCAGGAAAAGGAAGGCTCGGCAGCTGCGCCTGGCGCTGGAAGCAGCCGAAGGGGGAGCGGACGGGGGGTGGGAGGGAGGGAGGGAGAGAAGAGCAGAGGAGGCGCTTTCCTTAAAAAAAAGAAGAAGAAAAAACCCGAAACGGAGGCCTGGAGGATTGCAAAGCAGCCGCTCCGATTTCTGTAGACGTGTAAAAAAGCGGCCTGCGGTTGGCTTGCAAAAAGGGATCGTGGCGGGATCCGATCGCTCTCAGCAGGCAGGGATTGCTTTGCAACCGACTTGGGAATGTGCGCGTGTCCCCCCGCCCCTTGCTTTTAGGCTTTTGCAGCAAAAACTATTTCAAAGCGTGTCCGGGCAGCCAGAAAAGCCCTGAGAAGAGAGGGCTTGCTTTTAAAAAGTTTTTTTTTGTTTTTTGGTTCGCCAGGTCCTAGTGCTTGTTGGCTACCCGACTGGAGAGTAAGAGAAAAGTCATGCTTACGTGGTCCCCGAGGGTGCGGTGGGGCAGGAACTGAGCTTTACTGTACAACATCCCATGGAGAACCCTCCCCCAGGACCGTTTTTTGGGGTTTTTTTTTTTTTTTTGCACAAACTTAACTTCTGGAATGCGTTGCCTCAGTATGAACTGATGGCTTTGAAAGGGGTTTAAATAACTTTTTAGTGGATATTGGGCATGAAAGCTAAATGGACAGACTGTACGTGTTCAGAGAACCAGCATATCAGATGCTGTTAGAAACAGTCTGGAGGTGTGGATCTTTATATAGACTTTATAGTTGCTTGGCCTGGTTTTTATTTTATTTTTTTCCAGAGTTACTGCATTTCACAAACCTATAATCTGAAAAGTGCCACGGACTGGATTTGGGCGCGTTTTTGCCTAATGATTTGCCCGTGCAAATAAACTTATGTGAGCTAGAACAGACATTTGATTTTAAATCGGCTCCCTTTTTACCCGTTATAAACCGTTTTAACAAAGCTGTATAAGGGGGGGGGGCGGGGAGCGACTCCAAGCTGCTTTCTAAAGCTTTCTCAACTACACTGTGCATTCTTGATTTTTAGATGTTTGTTTTGTTGCTCCTCACTGTGCCTTACAAATACCCTAAAGCAAACCCACATCCAAAAATGCACTGTACAAAATAAAACCGGCATAAAACCAACACGACGACACTCCAATCCAGCAAGTCATCCTCAGCTATGACCCCGGCATTCATAAACATAGACGGGATTTATGCTGGGGGGGGCATAACCTCAGTTAGATAAGCATTTTTTATTGATTTTTATTGATTTAGGGGGGCACCTGCTCCTCCCTGTCCCCCCCTTGGCTATGTCCATGTCACCGTTGAAAGCCAGCATAAAGAGGTAAAGTTGTAACGGTCCTTTTAAAAAATCCAAGAGCCATCCTAATTTCTGTGAGAAATCAGGTCCTCCCTTAAAGAGACCTGGAAACCGACACCCTGTGTTGTGGGTGGGTACGATTGGTCAGCCACAACACCCAATTGGTAGGTCCCTCGTAGCTGGGTGCAATCTGGCCAATGGGACGCAGTCCAAACGGTTCGAGGAACATATTTATACCCATGGATGTGACCCAGAGTTTCCTCTTTCGGAGCATGCATTTGGAAGACCCGCCCACCTCTCCCTGCTTTTAGGGCTTTGCGCTTGACCTTGCTATGCCGTCGTGTGTCGCCTGTCATTGGGACAGGGGCAGGAATTTCCCCACTTGACTGATTGGCTGTTGCCATTTGGGTTTCGCCTGCCGTGTAGCAAATCGTCACAACTTGTAAGGTTGTGGATAGGCTCTGGTTCAGGTGATAGGGCTGGGGGAATGCTCTCGCTCTGCCATCTGTTATGTACTGTGTTGAATAGGATCCAAAATGCAGCAGTCTGATTGGTCCTAGAACAATAGGATTCAGAATGCAGCAGTCTGATTGGTCCTAGAACAATGCAGCAGTGTGATTGGTCCGCAGGAGCCACTCAATCCAGCTCCAGGTGGAAGTGAATCCTCAACCTGATTGGCCTACAGGAGAATCCCGGAATTAGCCAATCATGTGCAGCCCATTGTGTAAATAATGTATATAAAGCAGATATTGTGGGGGAACTTCCATTCCTCCTCACCACTATGAGCTGAATAAAGAGCATGAAATCCACTCTCGACTCAGAGTATATTTCACCATCCCTATGTGAAGGGTATTCCGTTAGAGGAATCCAGGGACTTGATGGTTTGGTCAACCCCTGAGAGGGGGTTGTGCCCATGCCTGAGTCCAGGGGGACATTTGGGTGGCGGAGTTAGCCCGTTCCCGGCTTTCCACTTATCCAGGTGTTCACCCTTGGCTGACCTGTTCCTGAACCCTGGGTCAGCGCTACCTGCATGGCAGGGAGCTAGTCGAACCAGAGCCTATGCAACCACTCACTTTCTGTAATCAATAAAGTTGTGGTCTAAATACTGCCAAAAACCAAAATTTGCGTCAAGTGTGAATTTATTTAGCGGCGTGGTTTCTGGGTCTGAACACACGAGAGTTCACTCAGAGTCTTGCTGAGAAGACTTCTTTCACGCTCTCGCCAACCTGATTTTCTTCATCGGCTGGCACTACCTCAGGCCCACTGATACAGATCTAAGGCAGACTGATTTTATTTTACTTTTTGGCCATTTTTAAACTCCTGACCTGAAGGCCATGAGATTGGGGTTTTTCAATGCCATTTTTTGGCTCCTGACCTATGGGTCATATTTGCAGCCTTTGTTTTTTTCTTGAGCTTCTACCAGCAGGTCACATTTTTGGCCATTTTCCAGCTCCTAACCTATGTGCCATGTTTTCAGCCATTTTTGTTCTCCTGACCTGTGTGGGTCACTTCTTGGAAAATGAGTGAAAATGTGAGCCACAGGTCAGAACTCCAAAAAAGTAATAATGAGAGGAAACAGGACCTGAGGGTGTGGATGGCATGAAAATAAGAAATTTTGGAGGGGAGACCACATTTTGTCCTTGCTCAGGGTGCCATATTACCAAAGTCTGCCCTTGCCTTTGTACTTTTCTTTCTGCCAATTACAGTCACATGAGTGGACAGCAAAGAGCCTACTGGACATGCCCTATGCATCATATCCTTGTCACCTGTGTCACCAACTTTTGTGAGTTGTAAGGGGAAGAACATGTCTACCTGTGTAAGTTCCAGGCATGAATTACAACCCCAACTTTCTAGGACTCTGAACAGGGCCGGATTTAGGTTTGAGGAGGCCCTAAGCTACTGAAGGTAATGGGGCCCTTTATATGTCCAGCTGTCCTTTGCCAACAACAAATTGTCGTCGTTTTTTGTGTTGAATATATGCTATATGGTCATTTATGGATCTAATCGGTATCTAAAGCCATTTGCACCTAACAAAATATGTATTTTATGAAAGTAATTAAATAGAAATGAGCAAACCAGTGATATTTTAGGGAGCAGGCTAGCAGGCGGGGCCCATTACTTATATCATAGGATCCTACACAACACAAAACACTGTTGCTGTATGTAGGTTTTATTTTATTTGTTTTTTATCTTATACTTTGGAAATGTACATCCAGTTTTTCCCCACTTTAATTTTTTGGGGGCCCGCAAGAGAGTGAGGCCCTAAGCTATAGCTTGTTTAGCTTGTACATAAATCCGGCACTGGCTCTGAACCGCACATAAAACCTATATGAGCTGAGGAAGATCATGGAACAAAGTTCATTTCTGAACACATGGTAGGTGATGGAGCTGATGATGGGGATGCGAGGGACACCTGAAGATGGCTACTGTGGTTCTTTCTCCCTGGGACATTGCTGCTTCACAAAGGCGGAGAGGCCACATCTGGTAAGATTTAACAAACATGTTGTCTTTGTTTCTTCCAATGGACCACATGATGCAAAGGGATCATTATTATCTCCCCTGTCATTATCAGTCTGCTTCTGATTAGACCTCCAAAGATTTGCAGAGAGCAACGTCAAAAGCCTAAAGGCGTTTATGAAAACCCTCTATGCCACTCCAAATGCTAGAACAGAAGATGAGGCAGCGTTCATTAGCTCGGTGCTAATTTTTCTCTTGAGTGTTTAAGGCAGACCACTACTGATGCTGCTCCTAATGCTTTTTGGTGGAATCAGGGGAGCTGCTGTCTAGGGAAAGGGTTTTTTCCTCCTGAGTATGGCAGTGTTGGTGATGTTAATATTCTTGCTGCTACGAATGGTGAGCCAGTCACATGTCAATCACTGCACCATCAGTGATCTTCTCTACATCCCACACAAGTACTACCAGCCAGGTGACCTCATCATTGGTGGACTTGCTTCTCATCTTCTGTCCTCTCTTGACCATGAAACCTTCAAAGAATGCCAGGCCATCTATCAGATTCTTAGTCTCTTGTAAGGAATTTATTTTTCTTTCTTTCTCTACCCCCCCCCTTTTTAAAGAGTTTTTAATGCTTTATTGAGATTAAAAAGAAATAACAAGCATAAAAGTTAATGGCAAAAAATAAGTGAAACTATTTGTTACATCATTTCGTTATACATTATTCTTAGATTTCTAACGACTTTCCGTCACCACATTGTGTATTTACCACTTAATCTAGCACACTGTTAATCTTCATTTACTTTTTATTGATTTTAATCCGTATTACTGTTTTTCATGATTATTCATCCTATCACAGAACTTACACAGAACTGCCACTGATGTCATATTGTCAAAATATTCAATAAGGTGTTTTTTTTATACATGTCCCATTTCCTAATAAATGCCTGGTCAGTATTACCTCTCAATTTGTCTGTCATTTTTGCCAACTCAGCGTACTCAAATAACTTCGTTTGCCACTCCAGCTTTGTTGAGATTTCCTCTCCTTTCCAATTTGTGGCAATTAGTATTCTTGTGGCAACTGTAGCATACAAGTTTTTTTTGTTTGTTTGTTGCATTTTTAGGTATATCTGGGCCAAGTATCCCCAGGAGAAAAGCCTCCAGGTTTTTTTTTAAAGAAGGATACCTTAAACATTCTTTTAAGCTCATTGTAAATAACACTCCAAAATCCCTTAATTTTGTTACACATCCACCACATGTGCAACATTGAGCCTTCCGCCTCCGCACACCTCCAACATATATTTGAAATAGTCTTACACATTTTTGATAATTTCAGTGGTGTCAGGTACCAACGGAATTGGATCTTCATAAAGTTTTCTTTTAGAGTGTAACATGTGGTGAATTTCATATTAACCTTCCATAAATTTTCCCAGGCACTCATTGGAATGTTGTAGCCAAAGTCTTGGGCCCATTTGATCATTACAGATTTATCCTCCTCCTCCTTGACTTCCCAGTCAAGGAAGAGTCAGTACATTTTTTTTCCATCCCCCCCCCCCCCAATTGCCAGGTGATATTAATGCCTAACAACATCTGCTCAAAAGTAAGTCCCATTGATTTCAGTGATAAAGGGAGGGGTGCGAAATATTTCCTTCCAAAAAGATTCAGATCAGTCTTAAGAGTTTTCTCCTCCAAGTGCCATTCCCCTTTCATCATTTTTTAAATAAGAGAGAGAGTGTATATCTATATTAAATTTTCTGTTTTACAATTTAGAATATTCATTTAACCAACCTTAAAACATCAGTGACTTCCCTTCTCCTTCCATGGTTCATTTTGCATAACATAAATCCCTGCATATTTTAAATGAGCCAAGCCATTCTGTATTCCATTATTCCATCCATCAAAACTTATTTACACTGTTGAATTTATCTCAATGCTGCCAACTTTTTCAAGTGTACACAATTCCCCCCATATATTCAATAAACATTTTCAAATCTTCTTTAAATGTAAGTTCTTCTTTCTCTCTAATTCTGTATGTTAGATCCGCAAGCTGATATTCCATCGGTTTAAGTTGTCAATTTTTGGGCTAACAATTTTTTTAGCTTAAATGAAAGTTTTAACATCTAAAAGGATCAAAGACTGTTGATGAATCTCCAATGTCCGATGAAGTCAGGTCTGTAGGAACGAAGCAGATTTTCTAGGATCCAGCTTGAAAACAGAGATCAGTCTGCCAAGTGAGATTGCTTCCAGCTGTACTGCTCATTGAGTATTCATCCAGATTGGTTTGCACAAATTTTGCAGGAAAGTTAGATGATGTTGACTAGGCATTTTTCACCATTTCAAAGATTTTTTCCCCTTGTGGTGTGATAGCAGTTCAATATATCTGAATACATGCTATAATAGCGAGTCTGGAAGCACCCAAAAATGTGAGGTTGTGTTCACAGTGATGTGCTGTCCTCTCCCATCTCAACCCTACATTTTAAAGCAGTTCTTAAAAGAGAGGCAGTGTCACTGGACACAGCCTACCTAACCTGGAAATCTAAGACTCCCGGTGCAATTGTATACATGCCTACTCTGTAGTAAGTCCTATCGAGTTTAACAATAAATGAGCATAGGTCTGCAGCCTAAGGGGCAGAGCTGATATAATGGATTTAATTGCTTTATGCTGCTCTGATTGGAAGACTGTGCTCTGAAAGAGGGGCTAAAATTCTAACAATGAATGAATGAATAAAAGCCGCTGCACAGGTGATGCATTCTAGGAAAGGCTTGGTGCTTTGTTATTGCTGTTTTCATTGTTTTCGTTTTAATCTGTTTGTGAGATGCTTTTGTGTCTTTTATACTCTATGCCTTTCGATTTTAAATTTCCTTAAAAACAGAAATGAATGTTTCACAGCGTATCTCCCTGATGTATAACTTTCTTTCTTTTTTTCTGATAATAATTTTTATTAATTTTCCAATAACAACAATCCAATAATAGCCTCATTATAACAATGCCAAATTATAATACCATCCCAAATACCAAATTATATAATTTAGGTGACCCCCGTGTGCTAGAATTAATGGCTTGGTGATATACTTTGTTTCTGCGTTCCAAAATCTTATTGATTTCAATGACATTCCCATCATATTAGTAATTAGTAATACAACAGCTGCAATATTTATAACTTCTATTTGTGTTGACACGTTAAGTAATTTATAAGACTACAAGTGAATAGCTCATACTGTATCGTTGTTCTTCCTGTGTGTGACATTTATTCTGCCCATGATGTTTCTTCCTGTCCTTGTATGTCAATCTTTCCCCGGTTGTTGCTGCAATCCGTCATGCCTTGAGCGGAGCTGATAATCAGTCCCATCCTCTTTGTTTTTGCAACTTTAACAATACAGTGGTACCTCTGGTTATGAACTTAATTCGTTCCGGAGGTCCGTTCTTAACCTGAAACCGTTCTTAACCTGAGGTAACACTTTAGCTAATAGGGGTCTCGTGCTGCCGCCGCACCGCCACCATGCAATTTCTGTTCTCATCCTGAGGTAAAGTTCTTAACCTGAGGTACTACTTCTGGGTTAGTGGAGTCTGTAACCTGAAGTGTTTGTAACCCAAGGTACCACTGTAGCTGCAAAAATAACTCTATCACATTCAGGCTGCTGGTGGCGCTGTGGGTTAAACCACAAAGCCTAGGACTTGCCGATCAGAAGGTCGGCGGTGCGAATCCCCGCGACAGGGTGAGCTCACGTTGCTCGGTCCCTGCTCCTGCCAACCTAGCAGTTCGAAAGCACGTCAAAGTGCAAGTAGATTAATAGGTACCGCTCCAGCGGGAAGGTAAACGGTGTTTCCGTGCGCTGCTCTGGTTCGCCAGAAGCGGCTCAGTCATGCTGGCCACATGACTTGGAAGCTGTACGCTGGCTCCCTTGGCCAATAAAGCGAGATGAGCGCCGCAACCCCAGAGTCAGCCATGACTGAACCTAATGGTCAGGGGTCCCTTTACCTTTACCTAGCAATATAAAAGTAGATGTATAACTTTAATTGCAGGCTCGTTCCAAAGAACTACCAGCATGTTCTGGCCTTGGTGTTTGCTGTCAATGAGATCAATGAGAACCCTCAGATATTGCCCAATGTCACATTAGGATTCCACATCCATGACAGCTACTTCAGTGAAAGGATGACCTACTGGGCCACTTTGGACATACTCTCCACACCCTATAGATTTGTACCCAACTACCAGTGTGGCATACAGAAAAATCTGATGGCAATCATTGGGGGACTTGACTTTGAAACTTCCCTCCACATGGCAGCCATCTTAACAGGCTACAAGATTCCCCAGGTAAGAAACAAACATGGTGGCTTCATAACTCATCCTTACTTATATGTTCTCTTGAGAAAGTTTCATATTTCAGAAGGATATAAGCCCAGCTGACAATTTCAAATTGCATTCAGTGATGAACTTGAGGAGGAGGAGAGGGTGCATTATAAATGCCTTATTGATTAGTAATCATGTAATATGAGTTATGCCATAATTGTGATGTTATTTTTTAGTTGCTTATTTGTTAATATTCTGATTGTTTTGATGATGATGATGATGATGATGATGATGATAATGATAATGATAATGATAATAATAATAATAATAATAATAATAATTTTATTATTTATACCCTGCCCATCTGGCTGGGTTTCCCCAGCCACTCTGAGCAGCTTACAGCATACAGGGCTGCCTTCAGATGTCTTCTAAAAGTTACATTTACCTCTAAAGTTTTATAGTTCTTTATCTCCTTGACATCTGAAGGGAGGGCATTCCACAAGGAGGGCGTCACTACCAAGAAGGCCTCCTGCCTTGTTCCCAGGAACTTCATTTCTCGCAGTGAGGGAAACACCAGAAGACCCTCGGAGGAGGACCTCAGTGTCTAGGCTGAATGATGGGGGTGGAGATGCTCCTTCAGGTATACAGGGCCGAGGCCATTTAGGGCTTTAAAGGTCAGCATCAACACCTTGAATTGTGCTTGGAAACATACTGGGAGCCGGTGAAGATCTTTCAGGACCAGTGTTATATGGTCTCGGTGTCCACTCCCAGTCACCAATCTTGCTGCCACATTCTGGATTAGTTGTAGTTTCCGAGTCACCTTCAAAGGTAGCCCCACGTAGAGCGCATTGCAGTAGTCCAAGCGGGAGATTACTGATGATTTCTTAATTATTTATGCTGTACTTGTGACGTTCTATTATGTTATTTTTATTTATTGTTTGTAAGCTGCTTTGGGATTCATTTGAATGGAAAACAGCATAGAAATACACTAAATACAAATCAATCTTCCACTCAACATCTGAATGTGTATCAGAAGATATGACTGGAATTTTATGCACGGCAAACTGTCTACGCATTGTGTATGTGTGCAAAATAGCTTGTATGCCAATCCTATATGGAGTGAAACAAAGTTCAGGGGTGCAAAGTGCTCATCCGTTCCTTTAATTACTTTGGACAGTGGACAGTGTCCACTGGACAGTGTGGGGCCTTGTAGGAGAGGTGGGTCCCAAACACAATTAGTTGGTCATTGCTTTCCAAACAGGACCAATCATTCAACTACTTTTATATTAAAAAACCTATTTATTTTCTTGTTTTGTCATTGCTATCTACATATAATCAATGTTTCTACTGCATTACTGTAATGAGAAATAAGTATCTGTTTCCTTCTAGCTCACTTATGGCTCCTTTGCCCCAGAGGATGCAGGTCAAAGCCAATCCACTCCCTTCTACCGGACGGTGCCCAATGAAGCCCATCAGTACACGGGGATTGTTGAGTTACTTCTCCACTTTGGATGGACGTGGGTTGGGTTGTTCGCGGTGGATAGTGAGAGTGGAGAGAAATTTATGGAAATCCTGCAAACTCTGCTTTTCCAGAGAGGCATTTGCTTGGCCTTTTCAGAGAGAACTCCAAAAGGCTCATATTTTGAAGAGTATTACGACATGATTTCCCAGTGGCTCCAAACCTATTACATGATTGCGGAAAGCAAAGCCAATGCTGTTGTTGTCTATGGAGAAGACAAGTCCTTGTTTTTTTTGCAAATATGGCTAGTGGCAGGGGAAGTGGAAAACGTGACATCTATGGAGAAGGTATGGATTATGAGTGCTCATCTGGATTTCTCAACAGTGGCCTTTCAGATGAGCCAGAGTATGCAACCATTTCATGGCTCCATCTGCTTCACAGTGCATTCAAAGGAGGTGCAAGGATTCAAGACCCTTCTTCGCTCCCTCAATCCTTTCATGGCAGGTGAAGATGGTTTTCTTCAGCAGTTCTGGCAAGATACGTTCCATTGTTTCTTTTCAAAATCCAGTACTGATTTCAGTGAACCCTGCACTGGACAGGAGAAGCTGAACAGCCTCCCCTCATCTGGCTTTGAGATGAGCATGACTGGCCACAGCTACAGCATCTACAATGCCATCTATGTTGTGGCACATGCTCTACATGCCATGTTCCAATACTGGTCGAAGGACAGAGGAATTGTGAGAAGATGGAGACCGCAGCTTCAGAAATTGCAGCCTTGGCAGGTAATGGCTCTCTTTTTAAAAAATTATTATTTCATTTTATATTGTTGATAAAGCAAAGACAACAATTTTAACAACAGACAAAAATTGAAAGAAGAATACCCAAACTGTAAAATAGGCAGGTAGGATGTGTAGTTGCACGTGAGTTAAATAAAGACTTTAAAGTCCAAATTAAGTCCAATTTTATCAGATCAGCAAGCATAGTTCCAGATTTGCCACGTTTGTGGGGGGTTGTTTTGAAAACGTTGGTTCTGCTGTATATGCCAAATCATATAAAACGTGTCTAGTCCTTGTCAAAAATCTCAAATTATTTGTGATTATCTTTGTTATAGCTATATTCCAGAGTGAGTGGTACAAAGTGTCCAGCATAAGATTTTTGGGCTGTGTTCTATTGAGTTGCAATTACTATGAATGCTGCCAGTTTAATCTTGCCAATTCTTTTGGCAATATATTTAAAATGGTATAATCAGGAATACACAGTGACATTCATTTTGGACAACAAAGCATCTTTTTATAGTAATATTTATCATTTCTGAGAAAATCGGATACAACCCACTCACCTGAGCTTCAGGTCTTCAAAACAGCTAGGTGTGATATTGTCAATGGCAATTTCTATCTCAACTAGAGTCTTAAGAGGGACACCTGTTTTGCCTCTTCCTCCCTCAGTCTAACCCTCTCCCTATTTTCCTGTTCTTTCATTTATACCCTTTCTGCATTGAACTTCATGGATGTTTGCATGATGATTTTAAGCTTTGAAATACATATACAGTGTGGCTTAGTCCTATACAGAGGAATCTACAGAGGAAAGAGAGATCAAAATTTACAGTTATTATTGCTATAGTTATTATTTTGTGATTATATGAAATCTTGTCTACTGCCTTGGAAGAGGCAATGGCAACTTAAAAGGTGATGCTGAACATAAGATAAGTTTGAGTTTTAAACAATTGTCCTTTTCCTGCCATCTCAATGCAGCTCCACCCATTTCTTAGGAGTGTCTCATTTAACAACAGTGCGGGAGAAGAAGTGTCTTTTAGTGAGAACAGGGAATCAGAAGCTGGGTTCGATATTACCAACTTGGTCACTTTCTCAAATAACTCCTTCATCAGAATGAAGGTTGGATGGATGAATTTGGATGCTCCCCCAGGAAAAGAATTTTCCATCAATGAAGACAAAATGGTGTGGCACAGGAGTTTTCAGCAGGTGGGGCTTGATTTCAGCAAATTGCAACTCCAGTGTGTCCTAAATGTGATGCTTGCATCTTTGAAGCCTAGCTGAGACATGGATCATGTATTTTTTATCACTTGCTGTTTATGAAAACCTCTATGAATATCATGAGGCTCTGATGCCCTGAAGGAGGCCAGGACATAGTTCATTATTATATGCTTGTTTGTTTATTGCATTTTTAGTCCACCTTTCCTTTGCTTACATCCCATTTTATCCTAACAACCAACAACCCTGTAAGGTAGTGTAGACTGAGAGCAGCAGTGACTGGTCCAAGGTCACCCAATGAGTTTCATTTGAACCCTGGTCTTCCACTTCCCTGTCTAGCACATTCTTTAAAGATTTGTAGGCCAGCAGAGTGTGACCGAAGCCTAACCTCCAACCAACTTCTTTGGGAAGAAAGAAAAGGGAGCTGAGCCTGGAGACAGACGAGGCAGACTTCTGTAGAGAATGCCTGGTTTGGAGGCTAGTAATTCTCAAGATATAGTAGCAAAAGTCTGGCAGAGTCCAGCACTATCCTTGTTTTTGAGGCTGCTTAAGTTGTGGAATGTGCGTGGTGCTGTGGTCTATACTACAGAGCCTAGGGCTGGCTGATCAGAAGGTTGGCAGTTCGAATCCCAGTGACAGGGTGAGCTCCCATTGCTCTGTCCCTGCTCCTGCCAACCTAGCAGCTCAAAAGCATGTCAAAGTGCAAGTAGATAAATAGGTACTGCTCCAGCGGGAAGTTAAACAGCGTTTCCATGTGCTGCTTTGGTTTGCCAGAAGCGGCTTAGTCATGCTGGCCACATGACCCGGAAGCTGTACGCCGGCTCCCTCGGCCAATAAAGCAAGATGAGCGCCGCAACCCCAGAGTCCCAGAGTCATCCATGACTGGACATAACAGTCAGGGGTCCCTTTACCCTAACCTGTGTTGGCCCAGTGCATTTAGTCTGGGGTTCTCAGTCCCCAACATTTGTGTTTCTTCAGCTGGAAAAACTGAAAGAACCTGAAAGTGTATACAGTAGCTGCTTATTTAAATCACTTAGGATGTCAAAACATCCTTTCAACTCTACTTTAAAACTTTTTGAATTTTATAAGAAATGTATTTTTCCAAATAATAGTATTACTGTTCAGGTGAACTCCCTCCCTCCCTTTGATTTTAAAAAACACACACATTGAAATGGCCATAACTTCATTTTCAAAGTCACAAAAACATCTTCTGTCGCATTAGATGCCATTAATGGCTGTTCACAGCTCATTGTTTACAAAATTCTCTTAATATTCAGCAGGCCATTTCTCCCATCCACTTGATCCCTTGCAGCCCAGAAAATGGTGTTCAGATTCTCCAAAGGTCCATTATTCCCCCTGTGCTAAACATTTCCTTATGATTAATTAAAATTCACAGGTGCCACCCCTCTCTCAATGCAACAAAAATTGCCCTTCTGGTACTAGGAGAAAAAAGAAGGAAGGGGAGAAATTCTGCTGCTATGACTGTGCTCCATGTTCAGAAGGCAAGGTTTCATACCAGAAAGGTAGGAGACATTAGGTAGCTTTCAGATAACCCAGATTTCCTGTGAAGGGTCTGTGGCAGTGTGAAAGGTGTCACAGTTGCTGCTATTGATGTAGTTCTGATATCTATGGTCATTGAAGTTCACAGACTTGGAGCTCTTCATTGCAACCAGGTGATGGCCCAGCAACGAGGCCCAGCATTTTCAAAGAGGTGCTTTGCAAGCCCAAATGATCAGATGGTGGTTGGGGTTTACAAAGCACAGTTACCTGCCCTTCACCTAACATCAGAGATGACATCAGATACAGGGCCGGTAGGTGTAACTTGCTAAAATGGCCCCATGGGCCAGAGGTTTTCTATCACTGGATTACCTGGGTGGTGATGGAGATGAGTTGCAGCAGTGCACCTGCAAAGCACAGGCCTCCTGCTGTCCAGACACACCCCCTTACTGTCCAGGCAAGCGACTGAGATCATTGTCTGGGGGAGGGGGGTTCAAAGCCCTTTCTCCCCATGCTAGTCACTCCTGTGTCTGAAAAGGATTGTCTCTTCCACATCCAACTGGTAAGTCCCATACTGCCAGGATGCATACCTACTCACAAGTTGCACCCTTAAAGGGAATCCTTTCTTCTTTTCAGACATGAATGACTGTGTCGGATGCTCAGAAGATCACTATCCAAACAGGAACCAAACACAATGCATTCCAAAGTCCATCAGCTTCTTGACTTTGGAAGAACCTCTTGGGATGAGCTTAGCTTTTGGCTCTGTATTCTCCTCTTTGCTGACCATCTTGTCCCTCGCCATCTTTATGAAGCATCAGGACACACCGATTGTCAGGGCCAATAATCGGGACCTCACCTACGTTCTCCTCCTGTCTCTCCTTCTCTGTTTTCTCTGTCCCCTCATCTTCCTCAGCCGACCAGACAGAGTGACCTGCCTTGTCCGACAAATGGCTTTTGGTGTGGTTTTCACAGTGACTGTTTCTTGTGTGTTGGCCAAAACCATTACCGTTGTTCTGGCATTCATGGCCACCAAACCAGGATCCAGAATGAGGAAATGGGTGGGGAAAAGACTGGCAAGCGCCATTGTGTTGACTTGTACTATTATCCAAGCTGGTATTTGCACTGTGTGGCTGGGAACCTCTCCCCCATTTCCCCATTTTGACAAGCATTCTGTGACGGGAGAAATTATTCTGGAATGTAATGAAGGGTCAGCTGCCATGTTTTACTGTGTCCTGGGCTACATGGGCCTCCTGGCCACTGTCAGTTTTGTTGTAGCATTTTTAGCCAGGAAACTGCCTGACAGCTTTAATGAGGCCAAATTCATCACCTTCAGCATGTTATTATTTTGTAGTGTTTGGATCTCCTTTGTTCCGGTCTACCTGAGCTCCAAGGGAAAACACATGGTGGCTGTGGAGATCTTCTCCATCTTGGTCTCCAGTGCTGGTTTACTGGGTTCCATCTTTTTCCCCAAATGCTACATTATCATATTGAGGCCTGATCTGAATGACAAACAGCAGTTAATAAAGAAGAAATAGCAAAGTACCCTGTTGTCACTCTTTTCTGTTACCCCAGAACATGGGTAATGAATTTCCTGCTGACTCCTTGATATAATTTCATTTTATTTGTTTATTGAACTCGCTATGTGCATAAAAAATTATCAGATGGTTCTCCCCCACCCCGAGATGTGGTCCCCACCTTTCGGAGCCGAAGGGCACAATTGGAAAACTGAGGAACTCTTGTGGACACAAAAAAACACCAATTTCACAGAAGAAAGTGTGGAGATGCCCAGAAACTCCACCTCCATCCTTTCTTGTAACTTGAATCCATTGGTTTGGGTCCTACTCTCTGTAGCAAGAGACAAGCTTGCTGCATCTTCCATCTGACAGCCCTTGAGGTATTTGAAGATGTGTATCATATCTCCTCTCGGTCTCCTTTTTCCAGGCTAAACATACCCAGCTCCCTCAACTGTTGCTCATAAGGCTTGGTTTCCCACCCATCATCTTCCTGGCTGCCCTCCTGTACACATGTTCAGCACACATTTTACCTCATGAAAATATAATGGGGGACTTTGCCAAAAGCCTGACTGAACTCAAAATAGACTATGACCACAGCATTCTCCTGATCCACCACATTTGTAATGCCATAAAAAAGAAAAGAAATGAGATTGGTCTGGTTTGACAACAACAGGCCCAGGACAGAACCCTTTGGCACATCTATGCTATGAGGAGAAAATGAAAAGGAGGGAAATACCCCTCTTCCCAGAGAGAGTGAGAGATGCCACATATACCTATTCTGAACTCAGAAGTGTGCATGCAGCTCTCTGTGTGTATGAAGCAGTACTTGAAGAAGAGCCAGGAAATAAATTCCCTACCTCATGTTTTGTTTTAAATTTTGCCGCAAAGCAGCAGACCTCCCTTACAGGCCTGTGGTCTGAAGTCTAATGCTGCATCCTTGGAATCAGAGAGTCAGGGCCGAGCTCACAATCCCCTTTGTGTCTCAAACTCTGTTCTTGAATGCACTTTCCTCTTCACAAAGCAGCATGTGAGAAAAGAAGGTTTAGCTGAAATCACAAGGGTAGTCATTGCCCGGGCACAGTTTTTTCCAGGGCATGTTTTGCTCCTCACACCACCCATGCCAGCCCGGTTCTGCTTTGCAAGTCCGATCCCACATCCCAGCCCCTCAAAGCAGTGTGGGGCTGGCAGGGCGTCAGGATGATGTAATGGGCCTGTGCCCTTCCTGCTGCATCCTCCTCATGTCACCCGCCCAGCTTGTCACGGATGCTTTAGTTGTGATCCCTGCATTCCAGGGGGTCGAGCTTGATGACCTTTGGGGGCTCCTTTCAATTCTACCTTTTTCTGTTTATTTAGGCGAATATATATAGGGGCCCTAAAAAGGCCTGCAGACAGGGCCCAACGGACCATATGTCCATCATCACAGCCATGCCTTGAAGTCACTCAGAGTCTGCTCACAATTGTTCCTTTCCAGCCAAATTCTACCAGTGGCAGGATTCATCTTGGCCCCATGGGTTTACCTGCCCCATGCCTGGCCTCACATAACATCAGCTGATGGACATGTGAATGTGGTTTGGACCATGAGCCCAATGGAGAAACTTGGTTGGCCTAACTGCTGCAGGTCAGAGGTCCTTGTTGATTCCCCGCAAGGAGCTTTCTCTACCTGTGTAGATTCTCTTGAGTGACTGACAACGTTTAGGGTTCTGGATTGTGTAAGAAAGTACAGTAAGTAGAGAAAGCTGCAGAGGCCCTCTTCTGAGAACACAGTAGGTGATGAAACTGGCAGCAGGGATGCAATGAAGGGGAAGGGGTAACAGGCTTATTCCTGCTCCCCCCTCATTAAAATGCCTTGAAAACACTTGAAGGAGGCTGCTGAGGGATTATTCTGTGTGGATCATTGTCTCTGCTACTTCCAATGGACCAGCTGAGGCAAAGGGAACAATATTCTCTCCCCGGTTATTATCAATTACATGGTAATAATCTGCTTCTGATTAGACCTCCATAGACTTCCAGGAATCCAGTCTACAAAGAATTAAAACCCTCTCTGCCATCCCCAGCAAATGCTAAGGTGCTGCTGACTCGTTTAGTGAGCTTTCCCCTGGAGTTGGATCCTAGGTCTTGGGAATTTAGCTGGTGCATTCGGAGAGTGCCATTGAAGGCAAGCTGCTGTACTGAGGTTGTTTCTAATGCCAATGCTGAGTAGATGTAAACAGGGAAATCTCTGTCTAGGAAAGTGCATTGTTCCTAGTATGGCAGTGTTGATGCTGTTAATCTTCTCGCTGAATCAAATGGTGAATCTGTCATATGTCAGTAGGAGCATCAGTCACCTCCATATTCCACACAAGTACTATCAGCCAGGTGACCTTATCATTGGTGCACTTGCTTCTCACATCGTGTCCTCTGTTGACTATGAAACCTTCATACAATGGCCATCCATCCATCAGATTCTGAATTCATTGTAAGTATTGCAAATTTGCAATTCCCATGTCATATTAATTCCTAAGTTACCATGTGGGCTCAGAAATACATACTATTTATTTTCGCTATGGGGATTTATAACTTATAGGGAGGGGTGCAAAATATCCCCCCACCGAACATAGGATCAATCTTAAACTTAACCCTCCCCACCACCTGAATTTTAACATCTAAAATGATCAAGACAGACAATAAATTTTTCGTCAAGCCTGTAGGAAAGATGTGAATTGTCTAGGATCCAGCGTGGAAGCAAAGAAAGAGCAGTCTTCCAGTGAGATATGACATTATGTTCTGGGTGGTGTGTTTCTCTCTCACCCCCAAGCTCCTGCACCCCACTTTCCAGAGCAGTGCTTAAGGGAGAGGAGGAGCCATAACCACAACCAGTCACATAGGTGTCATAATCTAGAGAGCCCAGCATTCTGATGTCAAGTGGAAATGGGTGAATGGCCAGTAGGAACCATTGGTCTACCTATTACATGCCTGTCTACACAGAGTAGCAGTGGCTCTCCAGGATTTCAGACAGGGGTCTGCCCCAGCCCCACCTGTGTGCTAAGCAGATGCTCTACCATTGGGTTTTACAGAAGCTTCAAAGAAAATGTACACAGAGTAATTGTGAAAACATTACAGGCAACAGAAGGTTGCCTGGTATTAGGGGCAATAGCTTCATTGATGCATGGGAAACTGAGGTGGGGTTCCAGAAACCTGCAAAAGGGCAACAAACTACAAGAAGGACGCAGCTGGAGAGAATGATTCCTAGTTTCAGTTGTCTCTACTGAAAGGCACAGGGTATGGGAAACAAGCAAGATGAATTGGAGCTTTTAATACAGGATGGCAAATAAGACATATGACCTAGAAGGCGAGTAGGCATTGCCTCAGGGTTCAAGATTTCTTTAACAGATTGGAGAATTGGGTTAACAAAATGAATTTCAATAGGGACAAATGTAAGGTTCTGCACTTAGGCAGCAAGTACCAACTTCACAAATGTAAGTTGAAGGACACCTGGCTTACTAGGATCTCGCCATCTTAGTGGAATTCAAGCTTCACTTGAGTGAACAGTGTGGTGCAGTTTTTGCTGTATGTGTATTTAAAACAAATTCTTTATTGGTTTAATTAAATCTGCCTGTAAGCTGCCTTGTTGCTCCCTAGCACAGAAAGACATGGAACCTAAGTTTCTTTAAACAGATTGACCAAAAATGGTACACAGCAAAACGCTTTGATGTCCAACTCTCATTGCAGTGTTGTACCAAAATACTATCAGCAAATTCTGGCCTTGGTGTTTGCAGTCAAGGAAATCAACAAGAATTCCAATATATTACCTAATGTCACATTAGGATTCCACATCTTTGATAGTTACTTCAGTGAAAGGATGACCTACTGGGCCACTTTGGAGCTGCTCTCTACACACTACAGATTCGTACCCAACTACCAGTGTGACAAACAGAAAAATCTGATGGCCGTCATTGGGGGACTTGACTTTGAGGTTTCCCTCCACATGGCAGCCATCTTAGGTGTCTACAAGATTCCCCAGGTAAGAGTCAAACATGGTGACTCATTCTTCTTTCCTCTGTCCTGTTGAGAAAAGTTTTGCATTCCATCATAGCCCTCTTGACAATTTCAAATTGTATTCAATAAAAGCTTTCATCCGTCTTCATCCATTTCCCAACGTGTGCATGTTATTCAGAGGGTATGAATGGAACATTTTGCAGATGCAGTTGAACACACCTAGTCTATGTATGCGAACAGCTTGGTCTGCTGGCCTCAGGTAGACTCCAACCAGGATGAATTGCAGAGGCTGCTCATCAGTCGCTTGCACATTACCTTAATTAATTTGACCTGGGCAGTTGGGGGCTGTCACTGGTGCTGTCAACAGCTCACTGGTTATCTACTGAGTGAAATCAGAGGACGCAGAGAGAGCTTTTCAATGGTTTCATTTTAATCCACAGGAAGACAGAAAGACGTGAAAGTATGCTCTCACCCTTGAGCTAATATTGCTCAGATTGCAACTCCACCATGCACCGACAATTTCTTCCTAGAAATCAGACCCCTCCTGCTGCCTATGGTGGCTGCTAAGAACAATTCTCTTTTGGGTTCTGCTCTGAGACACACAGAACACATCTGGTCCTTTGGGAAGGAGGGGGCTGTGACAAATTCTTCAGTGACAGCATGTCACTTGGCTGCTGTACTGTTTCTAAGAAATCTGACTCATGTCTTTGTTCATTGCCACCTTGCTCTGGTTCATCATCACTTATTATTTCCCAGGTGCTTTTTCCTTCTCAGGTGTGACCTGTCTCAAACCACCACACCATACTCTCCCCCCTTCCTTCTTTCTGGAAGGTTCTTAGGGTGCTGCTCTCCACCACTCCTCCTCATCTGCCCATTCCCTGACGGGCTTACTAAGACAGCAGGTCCAAAGCACAATGGTTTTGTCATTGCAATCCACACACAACCAATGTTTCTACTGCATTAATGGGAATTAAGTATCCATTTCCTTCTAGCTCACTTATGGCCCCTTTGCCCCAGAGGATGCTGGTCAAAGCCAATCCACTCCCTTCTACCGGATGGTGCCCAATGAAGCCCATCAGTACACTGGGATTGTTGAGTTACTTCTGCACTTTGGATGGACGTGGGTTGGGTTGCTCGCTGCGGATAGTGAGAGTGGAGAGAAATTTATGGAAATCCTGCAAACTCTGCTTTTCCAGAGAGGCATTTGCTTGGCCTTTTCAGAGAGAACTCCAAAAGGCACATATTTTGAAGAGTATTATGACAGGATCTCCCAGTGGCTCCAAGCCTATCATGCTATTGCGGAAAGCAAAGCCAATGCTGTCATTGTCTATGGAGAAGCCAAGTCCATGGGTTTTTTGCAACTATGGCTAGCGGCAGGGGGTGCAGAAAATGTGACATCTATGGAGAAGGTATGGATTATGACTGCTCAACTGGATTTCTCAGCAGTGGCCTTTCAAATGAGCCAGAGTATGCAACCATTTCATGGCTCCATCTGCTTCACAGTGCACTCAAAGGAGGTGCAAGGATTCAAGACCCTTCTTCGCTCCCTCAATCCTTTCATGGCAGGTGAAGATGGTTTTCTTCAGCAGTTCTGGCTGCAGACATTCTATTGTTTCTTTTCAAAATCCAGTACTGAGTTCAGTGAACCCTGCACTGGACAGGAGAAGCTGGACAGCCTCCCCTCGTCTGGCTTTGAGATGAGCATGACTGGCCACAGCTACAGCATCTACAATGCTGTCTATGTTCTGGCACATGCCCTACATGATGCCATGTACAGATCCAGGGCAAAAGACAGAGGAATTGTGAGAAGATGGAGACCGCAGCTCCAGAAATTGCAGCCTTGGCAGGTAATGGCTCTTTTTTTTTGGTATATCTTTTAATTATTATTTCATTTTATATTGTTGATAAAGCAAAGATAACGCAATTTTAACAACAGACAAAAATTGAAAGATAAATACCCAAACTGAAAAATAGGCAGGTAGGATGTGTAGTTGCACGTGAGTTAAATAAAGACTTTAAAGTCCAAATTAAGTCCAATTGTATCAGATCACCAAGCATAGTTCTAGATTTGCCAGGTTTTGGGGGAGGGGGTTGTTTTGAAAACGTTGGTTCTGCTGTATATGCCAAATCATATAAAACGTGTCTAGTCCTTGTCAAAATCTCAAATTATTTGTTTGCTATAGCTATATTCCAGAGTGAGTGGTACAAAGTGTCCAGCATCAGAATTTTGGGCTGTGTTCTATTGAGTTGCCATTACTATGAATGCTGCCACTTTAATCTTGCCAATTTTTTTGGCAACATATTTACAATGGTATCATCAGAAATACACAGTGACATTCATTTTGGACAACAAACCATCTTTTTATAGTAATATTTATCATTTCTGAGAAAATCGGATACAACCCACTCACCTGAGCTTCAGCTCTTCAAAACAGCTAGGTGTGATATTGCCAATGGCAATTTCTATCTCAACTAGAGTCTTAACAGAAACACCTGTTTTGCCTGTTCCTCCCTCAGTCTTACCCTCCCCCCATTTTTCTGTTCTTTCATTTATACCCTTTCTGCATTGAACTTCATGGATGTTTGCATGATGATTTTGGAAGTCCCGTTTAAGCTTTGAAATACATATACAGTGTGGCTTAGTCCTATACGGAGGAATCTACAGAGGAAAGAGAGATCAAAATTTACAGTTATTATTGCTATTGTTATTAATTTGTGATTATATGAAATCTTGTCTACTGCCATGGAAGAGGCAATGGCACTTTAAAAGGCGATGCTGAACATAAGATAAGGTTGAGTTTTAAACAATTTTCCTTTTCCTGCCATCTCAATGCAGCTCCACCCATTTCTTAGGAGTGTCTCATTTAACAACAGTGCGGGAGAAGAAGTGTCTTTTAGTGAGAACAGGGAATCAGAAGCTGGGTTCGATATTACCAACTTGGTCACTTTCCCAAATAACTCCTTCATCAGAATGAAGGTTGGATGGATGAATTTGGATGCTCCCCCAGGAAAAGAGTTTTCCATCAATGAAGACAAAATGGTGTGGCACAGGAGTTTTCAGCAGGTGGGGCATGATTTCAGAAAATTGCAACTCCAGTGTGTCCTAAATGTGATGTTTGCATCTTGGAAGCCTAGCGGAGACGTGGATCCTGTATTTTTTCTCTCTTGTTGTTTATGAAAACCTCTATGAATGTTGTGGGGCTCTAATGCCTTGAAGCAGGCCAGGACATAGTTCATTATTATATGCTTGTTTGTTTATTGCATTTTTAGTTCACCTTTCCTTTGCTTGCTTCCCATTTTATCCTAACAACCAACAACCCTGTAAGGTAGTGTAGACTGAGAGCAGCAGTGACTGGTCCAAGGTCACCCAATGAGTTTCATGGCCAAGTGGGGATTTGAATCCTGGTCTTCCACTTCCCTGTCTAGCACATTCTTTAAAGATTTCTAGGCCAGCAGAGTGTGACCTAAGCCTAACCTCCAACCAACATCTCTGGGGAGAAAGAAAAGGGAGCTGAGCCTGGAGACAGACGAGGCAGACTTCTGCAGAGAATGCCTGGTTTGGAGGCTAGTAATTCTCAAGTTATAGTAGCAGAAGTCTGGCAGAGTCCAGCACTATCCTTGTTTTTGAGGCTGCTTAAGTTGTGGAATGTGTGTGGCGCTGTTGCCTAAACCACAGAGCCTAGGGCTGGCCGATCAGAAGGTTGGTGGTTCGAATCCCAGTGACAGGGTGAGCTCCCATTGTTCGGTCCCTGCTCCTGCCAACCTAGCAGTTCAAAAGCATGCCAAAGTGCAAGTAGATAAATAGGTACTGCTCCAGCGGGAAGGTAAACAGCATTTCCAAGCGTTGCTTTGGTTTGCCAGAAACGGCTTAGTCATGCTGGCCACATGACCCAGAAGCTGTATGCCGGCTCCCTCGGCAATTTCTCCCATCCACTTGATCCCTTGCACCCCAGAAAATGGTGTTCAGATTCTCCAAAGGTCCATTATTCCCCCTGTGCTAAACATTTCCTTACGGTTAATTAAAATTCACAGGTGCCACCCCTCTCTCAATGCAACAAAAATTGTCCTTCTGGTACTAGGAGAAAAAAGAAGGAAGGGGAGAAATTCTGCTGCTATGACTGTGCTCCATGTTCAGAAGGCAAGATTTCATACCAGAAAGGTAGGAGACATTAGGTAGCTTTCAGATAACTCAGATTTCCTGTGAAGGGTCTGTGGCAGAGTGAAAGGTGTCACAGTTGCTGCTATTGATGTAGTTTTGATTTCCATGGTGATTGAAGTTCACAGACTTGGAGCTCTTCATTGCAACCAGCTGATGGCCCAGCATCGGGGCCAAACATTTTCAAAAAGGCGCTTTGCAAGCCCAAATGATCAGATGATGGTTGGGGTTTACAAAGCACACTGTTACCTGCCCTACACCTAACATCAGAGATGACATCAGATATAGGGCCAGTAGGTGTAACTTGCTAAAATGGCCCCATGGGTCAGAGGTTTTCTAACTGGATTACCTGGGTGGTGATGGAGATGAGTTGCAGCAGTGCACCTGCAAAGCACAGGCCTCCTGCTGTCCAGACCCACCCCCTTACTGTCCAGGCAAGAGACTGTGAGATCATTGTCTGGGGGAGGGGGGTCCAAAGCTCTTTCTCCCCATGCTAGTCACTCCTGTGTCTGAAAAGGATTGTCTCTTGCACATCCAACTGGTAAGTCCCATACTGCCAGGAGGATGCATACCTACTCTCAAGTTACACCCTTAAAGGGAATCCTTTCTTCTTTTCAGACATGAATGACTGTGTCGGATGCTCAGAAGATCACTATCCAAACAGGAACCAAACACAATGCATTCCAAAGTCCATCAGCTTCTTGACTTTGGAAGAACCGCTTGGGATGAGCTTAGCTTTTGGCTCCGTATTCTCCTCTTTGCTCACCATCTTGTCCCTCGCCATCTTTATGAAGCATCAGGACACACCGATTGTCAGGGCCAATAATCGGGACCTCACCTACGTTCTCCTCCTGTCTCTCCTTCTCTGTTTTCTCTGTCCCCTCATCTTCCTCAGCCGACCAGACAGAGTGACCTGCCTTGTCCGACAAATGGCTTTTGGTATGGTTTTCACAGTGACTGTTTCTTGTGTGTTGGCCAAAACCATTACCGTTGTTCTGGCATTCATGGCCACCAAACCAGGATCCAGAATGAGGAAATGGGTGGGGAAAAGACTGGCAAGCGCCATTGTGTTGACATGTACTATTGTCCAAGCTGGTATTTGCACTGTGTGGCTGGGAACTTCTCCCCCATTTCCCCATTTTGACAAGCATTCTGTGACAGGAGAAATTATTCTGGAATGTAATGAAGGGTCAGCTGCCATGTTTTACTGTGTCCTGGGCTACATGGGCCTCCTGGCCATTGTCAGTTTTGTTGTAGCATTTTTAGCCAGGAAACTGCCTGACAGCTTTAATGAGGCCAAATTCATCACCTTCAGCATGTTGTTGTTTTGTAGTGTTTGGATCTCCTTTGTTCCGGTTTACCTGAGCACCAAGGGAAAACACATGGTGGCTGTGGAGATCTTCTCCATCTTGGTCTCCAGTGCTGGTTTACTGGGTTCCATCTTTTTCCCCAAATGCTACATTATCATATTGAGGCCTGATCTGAATGACAAACAGCAGTTAATAAAGAAGAAATAGCAAAATATCCTGCTGTCACTCTTTTCTGTTACCCCAGAACATGGGTAATGATTTTGCTGCCGACTCCTTGATATAATTTAATTTTATTTGTTTATTGAACTTGCTATGTGCATAAAAAAATAATCAGATGGTTCTCCCCCACTCCGAGATGTGGTCCCCACCTTTGGGAGCCCAAGGGCACAATTGGAAAACTGAGGAACTCTTGTGGACACAAAAAACCACCAATTTCACAGAAGAAAGTGTGGAGATGCTCAGAAACTCCACCTCCATCCTTTCTTGTAACTTGAATCCATTGGTTTGGGTCCTACTCTCTGTAGCAAGAGACAAGCTTGCTGCATCTTCCATGTGACAGCCCTTGAGGTATTTGAAGATTGGTATCATATCTCCTCTCAGTCTCCTTTTTCTAGGCTAAACATACCCAGCTCCCTCAACCATTGCTCATAAGGCTTGGTTTCCCACCCATCATCTTCCTGGTTGCCCTCTTCTGCACATGTTCAACACACATTTTATCAGCTTCCTCATGAAAATATCATGGTGGACTTTGCCAAAACTCTGACTGGAATCAAAATAGACTATGACCACAGCATTCTCCTGATCCACCACATTTGTAATGCCGTTTTGCTCCTCACACCACCCATGCCAGCCCTCTTCTGCTTTGCAAATCCGATCCCACATCCCAGCCCCTCAAAGCAGCGTGGGGCTGGCAGGGTGTCAGGAGGATGTAATGGGCATGTGCCCTTCCTGCTGCGTCCTCCTCATGTCACCCACACAGCCTGTCACAGATGTTTTAGTTGTGATCCCTGCATTGCAGGAGGTCTACCTTGATGACCTGTGATGGGCCCTTTCAATTCTTCAATTCTCTGTTTATTTAGCTGAATATTTAGGGGCCCTAAAAGGCCTGCAGACAGGGCCCAATGGACCGTATGTCCATCATCACAGCCATCATCACATTTTTTTTATGTGCATAAAAAAAAATCAGATGGTTCTCCCCCCCCCCCGAGATGTGGAAAGTTTTTTCCAGGGCACGTTTTGCTCCTCACACCACCCATGTCAGCCCGGTTCTGTTTTGCAAGTCTGATCCCACATCCCAGCCCCTCAAAGCAGTGTGGGGCTGGCAGGGAGTCAGGAGGATGTAATGGGCATGTGCCCTTCCTGCTGCATCCTCCTCATGTCACCCGCCCAGCTTGTCACGGATGCTTCAGTTGTGATCCCTGCATTCCCCTGGGTTGAGCATGATGACATTTGGGGGCACCTTCCAATTCCACATTTTTTTGTTTATTAAGTGAATATATATAGGGGCCCTAAAAGGCCTGCAGACAGGGCCCAATGGACCGTATGTCCATCATCACAGCCATGGCTTGAAATCACTTAGAGTCTGCTCACAATTGTTCCTTTCCAGTCAAACTCTACCAGTGGCTAGAATTCATCTTGGCCCCATGGGTTTACCTGCCCCATGCCTGGCCTCACATAACATCAGCTGATGGACATGTGAATGTGGTTTGGACCATGAGCCCAATGGAGAGGCTTGGTTGGCCTAACTGCAGCAGGTCAGAGGTCCTTGTTGATTCCCAGCAAGGAGCTTTCTCTACCTGTGTAGATTCTCTTGAGTGATTGACAACTTTTAGGGTTCTGGATTGTGTAAGAAAGTACCGTAAGGACAGCTAGCTACAGAGGCTCTCTTCTGAGAACACAGTAGGTGATGAAACTGGCAGCAGGGATGCAATGGAGGGAAGGGGCAACAGGCTTATTCCTGCTCCCCCCTCATTACAATGCCTTGAAAACACTTGAAGGAGGCTGCTGAGGGATTATTTTGTGTGGATCATTGTCTCTGCTACTTCCAATGGACCAGCTGAGGCAAAGGGAACATTATTCTCTCCCCTGTTATTATCAATTACATGGTAATAATCTGCTTCTGATTAGACCTCCATAGACTTCCAGGAATCCAGTCTAAAAAGAATTAAAACCCTCTCTGCCATCCCCAGCAAATGCTAAGGTGCTGCTGACTCGTTTAGTGAGCTTTCCCCTGGAGTTGGATCCTAGTCTTGGGAATTTAGCTGGTGCATTCAGAGAGTGCCATTGAAGGCAAGCTGCTGTACTGAGGCTGTTTCTAATGCTAATGCTGAGTAGATGTAAACAGGGAAATCTCTGTCTAGGAAAGTGTATTGTTCCTAGTATGCTGTTAATCTTCTCGCTGCCTCAAATGGCGAATCTGTCAAATGTCAATCGGAGCATCAGTCACATCCATATCCCTCACAAGTACTATCAGCCAGGGGACCTTATCATTGGTGCACTTGCTTCTCACATCCTGTCCTCTGTTGACTATGAAACCTTCATACAATGGCCATCCATCCATCAGATTCTGAATTCATTGTAAGTATTTCAATTTTTCAATTCCCATGTGATATTAATTCCTAACTTACCATGTGGGCTCAGAAATACTTTCTATTCATTTTCGCTATGGCGATTTATTACTTATAGGGAGGGGTGCAAAATATCCCCTCCTCTTACACAACATAGGACCAGTCTTAGACTTAACCCTCCCCATCACCTGAATTTGAAGAAGAGGAGTTTGGATTTCATAGCCTGTTTTACCACTACTCTAAGGAGTCTCAAAGTGGCTAACAATCTATTTTCCCTTCCTCCCCCCATAACAAACACTCTGTGAGGTGAGTAGGGCTGAGAGACTTCAAAGAAGTGTGACTAGCCTAAAGTCACCCAGCAGCTGCATGTAGAGGAACTGAGAATCGAACCTGGTTCACCATATTACGAGTCCACCGCTCTTAACCACTGCAGCACACTGGCTTAATGGAGAGGAGGAGCCATAGCCACAACCAGTCACATGGGTGTCATAATCTAGAGAGCGCAGCATTCTGATGTCAAGAGGAAATGGGTGAATGGCCAGTAGGAACCATTGGTCTACCTAGCTCAGGCCTGTTTACACAGAGTAGCAGTGGCTCTCCAGGATTTCAGATAGGGGTCTGCCCCACCTAAGCAGATGCTCTACCATTGGGTTTTACAGAATCTTTAAAGAAGAAGTACACAGAGTAATTGTCCAATCATTATAGGCAACAGAAGGTTGCCTGGTACCGGGGCAATAGCTTCATTGATGCATTGGGAAACTGAGGTGGGGCTCCAGAAACCTGCAACAGGGTAGCAAACTACAAGAAGAAAGCAGCTGGAGGAAATGACTCCTAGTTTCAGTTGTCTCTACAAAAAGGCACAGGGTATGGGAAACAAGCAAGATGAATTGGAGCTTTTAATACAGGATGACAAATATGACCTAGAAAGTGAGTAGGCATTGCCTTGGAGTTCAAGATTTCTTTAACAGATTGGAGAACTGGGTTAACAAAATGAATTTCAATAGGGACAAATGTAAGGTTCTGCACTTAGGAAGTACAAACTTCACAAATATAAGCTGAAGGACACCTGGCTTACTAGGATCTAGCCATCTTAGTGGAACTCAAGCTTCACTTGAGTGAACAGTGTGATGCAGTTTTTGGTGTGTGTGTGTTTGAGTCAATTTCTTTATTGGTTTAATTAAATCTAGCTGTAAGCTGCCTTGTTGCTCCCTAGCACAGAAAGACAGGGAACCTAAGTTTCCTTAAACAGATTGACAAAAAATGGTACACAGCAAAACGCTTTGATGTCCAACTCTCATTGCAGTGTTGTACCAAAATACTATCAGCAAATTCTGGCCTTGGTGTTTGCAGTCCAGGAAATCAACAAGAATTCCAATCTATTACCTAATGTCACATTAGGATTCCACATCTTTGATAGTTACTTCAGTGAAAGGATGACCTACTGGGCCACTTTGGAGCTACTCTCTACACACTATAGATTTGTACCCAACTACCAGTGTGACAAACAGAAAAATCTGATGGCAGTCGTTGGGGGACTTGACTTTGAGATTTCCCTCCACATGGCAGCCATCTTAGGTGTCTACAAGATTCCCCAGGTAAGAGTCAAAGATGGTGACTTCCCCTCATTCTTCTTTCCTCTGTCCAGTTGTAAAAAGTTTTGCATTCCATAATAGCCCTCTTGACAATTTCAGATTGTATTCAATAAAAGCTTTCATCCGCCTTCATCCATTTCCCAACCTTTGCATGTTCTTCAGAGGGTATGAATGGAACATTTTGCAGATACAGTTGAACACACCTAGTCTATGCATGCGAACAGCTTGTTCTGCCGGCCTCTGGTAGACTCCAACCAGGATGAATTACGGCGGCTGCTCAATAGTCGCTTGCACATTACTTTAATTAATTTGACCTGGAGAGTTTGGGGCTGTCACTGCTGCCATCAACAGCTCACTGGTTATCTACCTAGTTAAATCAGAGACACTGAGAGAGCTTTTATATTCTTTTACTTTAATTCACAGGAAGTCATGAAAGTACACTCTTGAGCTGCCACCAAACCAGCTATTGCTTCCTAGAAATCAGACCTCTCCTGCTGCCTATGGTGGCTGCTAAGAAGAATTCTCTTTTGGGTTCTGCAGAGTATGTCTGGTCCTTCTGGAAGGACGAGGCTCTGACAAACTCTGCTGAGAGAGAATGTCACTTGGCTGCTGTACTGTTTCTAAGAAATCTGACTCTTGTCTTTGTTGATTGCTACCTTGCTCTGGATCTTCATCACCTATTATTTCCCAGGTCCTTTTTCCTTCTTGGGTGTGACCCGTCTCAAACCACCACACCATACTCTCCTCCCTCCCTTCTCTCTGGAATGTTATTGGGGTACCACTCCTCCTCATCTGCCCATTCTCTGACGGGCTTACTAAGACAGTGGGTCCAAAGCACAATTGTTTTATCATTGCTATCCACACATAATCAATGTTTCCACTGCTTTAATGGGAAATAAGTGTCTGTTTCCTTCTAGCTCACTTATGGCTCCTTTGCCCCAGAGGATGCTGGTGAAAGCCAATCCACTCCCTTCTACCGGATGGTGCCCAATGAAGCCCATCAGTACACTGGGATTGTTGAGTTACTTCTTCACTTTGAATGGACGTGGGTTGGGTTGTTCGCGTTGGATAGTGAGAGTGGAGAGAAATTCATGGAAATCCTGCAAACTCTGCTTTTCCAGAGAGGCATTTGCTTGGCCTTTTCAGAGAGAACTCCAAAAGGCTCATATTTTGAAGAGTATTATGACATGATTCCCCAGTGGCTCCAAGCCTATCATGATATTGCAGAAAGCAAAGCCAATGCTGTCATTGTCTATGGAGAAGCCAAGTCCTTCTGTTTTTTGCAACTATGGCTAGCAGCAGGGGGTGCAGAAAATGTGACATCTATGGAGAAGGTATGGATTATGAGTGCTCATCTGGATTTCTCAGCAGTGGCCTTTCAAATGAGCCAGGCTATGCAACCATTTCATGGCTCCATCTGCTTCACAGTGCACTCAAAGGAGGTGCAAGGATTCAAGACCCTTCTTCGCTCCCTCAATCCTTTCATGGCAGGTGAAGATGGTTTTCTTCAGCAGTTCTGGCTGCAGACATTCTATTGTTTCTTTTCAAAATCCAGTACTGAGTTCAGTGAACCCTGCACTGGACTGGAGAAGCTGGACAGCCTCCCCTCGTCTGGCTTTGAGATGAGCATGACTGGCCACAGCTACAGCATCTACAATGCTGTCTATGTTGTGGCACATGCCCTACATGATGCCATGTACAGATCCAGGGCAAAAGACAGAGGAATTGTGAGAAGATGGAGACCGCAGCTTCAGAAATTGCAGCCTTGGCAGGTAATGGTTCTTTTGTTGTTGTTGTATATATTTTAATTATTATATCATTTTATATTGTTGATAAAACAAAGACAAACTGTCAGGGAATTGCCATCGGCTCAGGGGCAAGAGGGGAAAAGCCAAATGGATTACAGAGAGCCCCCAAAGATTGTGGGAAGGAGCACTTCCTCAGCAGAGTAAGGTAGCCACGCCTCTAGTAGAGAGGAGATGCAGGGCTCGAAGGAGGCGAGACGGTGCCAGGACACCTTGGCTGAGCAAAGCGGGGAGGAGAGAGGTCTCCCGTTACCCATGCCTTCCTTGCGCAGTAGACTTCCGCGCTGAGAGGGGAGGCGCAGGAGCAGGGACTGAGCAACGGGAGCTCACCCTGTTGCAGGGATTCGAACCACCGACCTTCTGATCGGCAAGTCCTAGGCTCTGTGGTTTAGACTACAGCGCCACCTGCGTCCCACATTAGCTTTATACATCATATTAATTATTAGATTCAGTTCCCAATAATAAAAGGATCCTTCTTACATCCAATAGCTTGTCTGCCCTTCCATTCACTGACATTCAAGGAACCCTTTGGTTTCTTAGTGCTTTCCATGGCTGGGTGACCACTAGGTGCAAGACAGGTGCAGACATGGCCATTATTGCTATTATATTTTATGAAATTCTACACACCGTAGTTTAGAGGCAATTGTAATCTACAATTGCATGAAATTAATTTGAGTTTTAAACAATTGTCCTTTTGGTTCCATTTCAATGCAGCTCCACCCATTACTTAGGAGCATCTCATTTAACAACAGTGCGGGAGAAGAAGTGTCTTTCAATGAGAATCAGGAATTAGAAACTGGATTCGATATTACCAACTTGGTCACTTTCCCAAATAACTCCTTCATCAAAACCAAGGTTGGATGGATGAATTTGGATGCTCCCCTAGGAAAAGAGTTTTCCATCAATGAAGACAAAATGGTGTGGCACAGGAGTTTTCAACAGGTGGGGAATATTTCAGCAAATTGCAACCTAGAAGTATCCTAAACTAATGTCATTGTGGCATAGTTGGGGTTTGGATCCTGTATACTTTTGCACTTACTTCTTACGCAGGCTTGCACAAATGTAGTGAAGCTGTCAACTAGATAGGGACATTATCTTTTGTTCCAGTGCTAAAGAGAATTATTTAAAATTTTGGAGATGAGCTGAGTGGTATCTAAGTCTAACCTGCAGAAAACCTCTTTAGAAAGCAGGCCAGGGGAGCTGGGCCTGCCGATAGACAGGCCGACTTCAGGAGAAAACACTTGGCTGGTTAGGGATAATAATGTTAAAACATGAATGGATCAGAAATTGTACAGCTTCTTCCTTAAATTACACTTAGTCATCTAAAACTGTTCCTTTTAACTGCAGGTTAAAACTCTGGTAAGTTTGCAAAAATGTATTTTTCCAAGCAATTTGGTCATTAAAGTTACTATTCATATCTAATCTCTCCCTTTCAAAAAATATTCTTGTTGAAATGGCCATAACTTCAACTGGGATATAAGGACATATTTAGTCATATTAGTAACAGATGCCATTATGGCTCTTAGTCTGCAGTAAAATGCATTTGCATTCAAAATATTCTTAGTATTCAGTGTGCCATTTCTCCAATTCACTTAATTGCTCATAGCCCAGAAAATGGAATTCAGCTTTTCCAAAAGCCAATCATTTTCTGTGCACTTAACTGCTTTCATACTTAATTCAAATTGGCAGGTGCCACCCCCCTCCCTTTGCAACAAAAAATGCCCTCCTGGTTCCAGCAGAAAGTAGAAGGAGGGGAGAAATTCTGCTGCTATGACTGTGCCCAGTGTCCTGAAGGCAAGATTTCATTTCAGAATGGTATGAGGCACTATATACATGTCGTATTTTTTTGCTCTCAGCTGTGCAGTTCCTCACCACGATCAGCCAGTGATCAGGTTTGCAAAGGGACACAGCACTTGGAAACAGACCCAACCATCAACTAATCACCAGGGCTTGCAAAGTGCAATTTTACCTGCCCTACTCCTAACATCCTAGGTGTGATTTGTCCTAAAAAGCACGATGGGCAAGAGGTTCCCTAGCACTAGATTGCCTGGACAGCGATGGGGGCGGGGGAGTGGAGATTTGTTCTGCCAATGCACCTGTAGAGCACAGGTCTCCCACTGCCCTGCCCTGCCCCCTCACCATCCAGCTAAGCAGCAGAGAAGGGAGCTCCAGGGCACTGCCTTCCCATGCAGCTCACTCCTGAGGAACATCTCCAGTACAGCCAGGTTGTGTATATATTATAAAAATGGAATAAATTTTGATGATATGCACTGTCCAGACTCTTTATGTTCAAAACAGTTTGACTTTCATAATCATATAACTGAGAAGAACATATCTACAATCTCATACTTATTTCACTTTGTTCCTTATAGTGAGTAAAAGTTTCTCCTTATTAACATCTTGGGATCCTCTTTTCAGCAGTCATTCCCTCCCTCCCTCTCTCTCTCTCTCTCTCTCTCTCTCTCTCTCTCTCACACACACACACGTGAAAAAACGACAGTTACTCGAATAGCAGTCACAACAGAATGGAATGCCTCTCTCATGTGATTCACAGTCAGCCAATCAAATGAGAGAGCTACTGCTAAACAAACAACAATTCAACATAAGCAAACATTCCCATTTCAGGAAATCAAACCATTATCCTTAATAGATGAGTCTCTTACTGCTTGTAGTATGAGTAGCTCTCATATACAGACCCCTCACCTGCGATATCCCCTCAGACAGACATGTCTCAGGAGGCCCTGACCCAGCTAACTGGTTCCCTCCCTGACATTTTCAGTTAGCAACTCCTCAAACCTCTCCCATCCTGATCCAACCACCCCTCCAGGACATGTTCTCAGTGCTCATGAAAGTAAGAAGCAGCAATACTCTGCTGTCAGGAGGGGGCTGCAGAGCACCAACCTCCCACACCAACCACTCCTGTGTCTGGCTAGGGACACCTCTCATACATCCAAGTTGAGGTACTGCACAAGTAAAGGTAAAGGTAAAGGGACCCCTGACCATTAGGTCCAGTCATGGCCGACTCTGGGGTTGTGGCGCTCATCTCGCTTTACTGGCCGAAGGAGCCGGCGTACAGCTTCCGGGTCATGTGGCCAGCATGACTAAGCCACTTTGGTAAACCAGAGCAGTGCACGGAAACACCATTTACCTTCCCGCTGGAGCGGTACCTATTTATCTACTTGCACTTTGACGTGCTTTCGAACTGCTAGGTTGGCAGGAGCAGGGGCCGAGCAACGGGAGCTCACCCCGTTGCAGGGATTCAAACCGCCAATCTTCTGATTAGCAAGTCCTAGGCTCTGTGGTTTAACCCACAGCCCACGTCCCACTGCACAAGTAGCTGCCCTCAAATACACTTGACTAACATTCAATTCTTTGTTTTCCCCCAGACATGAATGACTGTGTCGGATGCTCAGAAGGTCACTATCCAAACAAAGACCAAACACAATGTATTCCAAAGACAATAAGCTTCTTGACGTTTGAAGAACCTTTGGGGATGAGCTTAGCTTTCCTCTCTGCCTTTTTCTCACTGCTCACAATATTGGTCCTAGTCATTTTCATTACACATCAGAACACACCACTCGTCAGGGCCAACAACCGGAATCTGACTTACATGCTCCTCACCTCTCTTCTGCTCTGCTTTCTCTGCCCCTTCATCTTCATCAGCCCCCCGAGCACAGTGACTTGCCTTCTTCGACAAGTGACTTTTGGTATCATTTTCACAGTGACTGTTTCTTGTGTGTTGGCCAAAACCATCACTGTGGTTCTGGCCTTTGGGGCCACCAAACCAGGATCCAGAATGAGGAAATGGGTGGGAAAAAGACTGGCAAGCACCACTGTGCTTTCTTGCTCCCTTATCCAAATTGGTATTTGTGCTGTGTGGTTGGGAACATCTCCACCTTTCCCCAATTCTGACTCGCACTCTGTGATGGACAAAATAATACTAGACTGTAATGAAGGGTCGGTTGTCATGTTTTACTGTGTCCTGGGCTACATGGGCTTCCTTGCCTTTGTCAGTTTTGTTGTGGCCTTTTTTGCCAGGAAACTGCCTGAGAGCTTCAATGAGGCCAAATTCATCACCTTCAGCATGTTCCTGTTTTGTAGTGTTTGGATCTCGTTTGTTCCAGTCTACCTGAGCACTAAGGGGAAATACATGGTGGCTGTGGAGATCTTCTCCATCTTGGCCTCCAGTGCTGGCTTATTAGGTTTCATCTTTTCCCCCAAATGCTACATCATTGTGTTGCGGCCTGATCTAAATGACAAACAGCAGTTAATAAGGAGGAAACAGTAGTATATCCCACTGCCAGTCTTTTCTTTCAGACTACTCTATAGTTAATATTCATATGCTCTCCATCATACAGTTATTTTGTATTAATTGCTTTGTACCATTTTTGTTGTCAGCAGTGTCCTCTTTGAGATATTAGACCATTAAAGCCTAGGAATTATCCATGTGCTGAAACTACAGATTGGCACTGCTACAGGTGCCACATAGTACCCATTCATTTCATAGTAGATCCGCCCCTGTATAAACCTTCCTATTTTCAAACCGAACCTGCCTTCCCCTAGTTTGTTTTAGTGTAATAGTCAGTAAGCTAAAAAAGGGAGGTTCATGCAGGAAGGTTTAGAGGACAGATAATGCATATTCTATGGTCATGTGAAGCACTCCTTCTCTGAAAAAAGACAGGCTCACTGTTCTTTTCTTATTCTTTGTAGTTTACTTTGTGTGCCCTTTGTGTGTCGTCTCAGGAATTGACAGAGATGGCTTTTCATGAAACATCACAAAACATGTTTTTCTCCATTCTTCCGATCTTCCCAGCAATAACAGCACCTAGTTATTATCTCATTGGTAATTATCACACTTGTCATCACTGAATCTCCTTTGGATAAGGTCCTCATAGATTTTGAGAGAATACTAGTCAAAGTCTAGTAATAAAAAATCCCTTCCTGCCATTTCAAACAATGGGGAGGGCAGAGGAAGAGGCAGGATTTCCACTTTTCACTTGGAGAGTTGTAATTCAGTCTTTTAATCTGTGGATTGGTGGAATGACATGGCATTTGTGTGAGGGCAAAAGATTCTAGTGAGGTTGGTTCTGAAGCTAACAGGCATGTTCTCGATGGAAGTAAAGGTGTGTGACTAGAAGGAACATTTGCCTCAGCATGCTGCTGATTATTGTGTCCATTCTCTCCTTTCTGCCACATGTGATGTGCAAACATAACAAACGTTGCACCACCAATCATTCGCTCAGCATTCCACATGAATTCTATCAGCCTGGTGACTTTATAATTGGTGGACTTGCTTCTCATATCTTTGGCTCTTTTGCTAAAGAAGACTTCAGAGAAATCCTTATCACCCATCAAGTCCGTACTTTCTTGTAAGTAGTAATCAAGTACACATCAAGGAATCATTTGATTCTGATTCCCCAATGCTAACCATGCTTACTCAGAAACAAGCCCCCATGATTTCAGTGGGATTTCTTTTCCCTAGTGAAGGCAGGAATAAGAGTTAGGTGCAAAACTGAGGAGGAAGGGAAATGGTGATCTGAAACTGCTGGTAAGATGAGATAGCTTGGACTTGCTGATCAGTTCTGATCCCCCATTTCCTCCCTCCTCTTCACAATTCTCTTCCAGGCAGCGCTTCATTAGAGGAGCAAAGGTTTAGTTTTACTTGGAAATCTGAGCTTCCGATGTGGAAGCCCTTCTTGAAATGAGGGGCTTCTGAATGCACTGAAAAGCCAAAGAAGTAAGAGAAGCAGAGTCCCCAAAGAGGTGCAAACACCAGAGTCACTTTCAGATGACTTGTTTATTTAGCATTCATCCATATTAGACACTGTTGGTTTTTAATGAGCACTCATTCTGATTTGTTTGTGTGGAGCTTCAATGATGTGTGAAGCTTGCATTGTCCCACACTTCGCACTGAATTTCCTCATAGGTGTTAGAATCACAACTCAAAACATTGGCAACCTGGAAGCACCCTCGGAGAAGTAACCAACATCCAACTGTTGAAAGCTTCCAGTACCCATTACCAGGCAGGAGGGGAGATATAGGGGATGGGGGAGGTGACAGGATACTCCCCAAAGTGGCAAGTGGTAAGATAGCTCTCTGGCTTCACTTTGAGTTCTTGAGAGAGGCTTGCTTTGACCCCACAGTGTGTTATGGTGAGGGATGGGGAGAGAAATAGAAATTCCACAGCTCTCCACAGCTACATCCTGATTTCAGAGGTAAGGGTGCATGTTGGAGTTAAAGTGAGGTACCCTTCTCAGGTCTGAACATTAAACCAATCCTGAGAAGAGTTTTGGCTGAGGAATCTTACAAATGTAAACAAATTATGCATAGCTCGGATGAGGTAAAGAGTGGCAGCCAGTTCAGTAGATAGTCTTGTAAGAGCAGCCACACTACAGAATAGGAATAGGTTACCAAGGGGTAGGATGTTAGAGAAAAGGTGTGAACCCTTCCCTGGTCTAAATATTAAACCAAGCCTGAGAAGAGTTTCTGGTGAGGAATCTTAAAAGCTCATCTTGCCTTTGAAGTAGGGTTTTTAGAGCACCATTTGTTCTCCTCTAAGCCGGGCTATGACAAACACACATGACACCCCAAGTTGAAAATATGTCAAGTTGAAAATGTTTCACGGATCTAGAAATGTTGATTACTATCCTACCTCTCTCTCCTCATTTTCAAATGGATCTGAACCAACAAATGAGTTCTCTGCTAAGATTGATACAAAGCTCTTAAGGAGTAAAGGGGGGGCATCCTAAGCAGCAGATAGTATTGGAGGAGCAGCAACATTCTAGCCTAGGAGCAATTTTCCAATGGCTTGCATATCTCTCAGTTATACATCATAAAATTATCCATTGCAGTATTATGCCTAAGAACTATCAGCATATTCTGGCTTTGGTGTTTGCGGTCAAGGAGATCAATGAGAATCCCACGATCTTGCCTAATATCACCTTGGGATTCCACATCTATGACAGTTACACCAATAATAGGATGACCTATCGGGCCATTCTGGACCTTATTTCCATGCATCCCAGATATGTACCCAACTACAGGTGTGGCATTGAAAAAAATCTGATGACTGTCATTGGGGGACTTGACTTTGGAACATCCCTCTACATAGCAACCATATTGGGTGTCTACAAGATTCCCCAGGTAAAATACTGATTTGGGCACTTCGCAGCTCACTTATTATTATGTTTCCTAACCAGTGTTCGGAGTTTCCGTGCGCTGCTCTGGTTCGCCAGAAGCGGCTTAGTCCTGCTGGCGACATGACCCAGAAGCTGTATGCTGGCTCCCTCGGCCAATAAAGTGAGATGAGCGCCGCAACCCCAGAGTTGGTCATGACTGGACCTAATGGTCAGGGGTCCCTTTACCCTTTACCTTTAACCAGTGTTCACCCAGTGTTCACCATAGCTCAGTGCAGGCACCTCTCAGTTGGGCACCAATGCCATTCTATGAGAACAAGAGAGAAGTTCATGGTGGGCTCCAGCACCTATTTTTCTTGAAAAATAGCATTGGGTTTTAAACACGTAATTTAATGGTAAGTCACTTTAGGAGGATTTCTATATTTAAAGGATTTAGATATAAAAAAATATAAATAGCTAAAATAATTTTTTTTCTAAGTTCGCCTTGTATCTGAAAGAAAACATGATTGGTGCCTGGTGAGCAATAAATGGGTTGCTGTGACCATAAGGTTGTCTCTGATGTCACCTTTTACACCTTCCATGAGGAGGAAAGAGAGAATAGCCTCCGCCAGGGCCGTCCCTACCATTGTACCAAGTGAACAATCATATCAGGCCGTTCTGATAGGGGTCACATATCAGTGGTGGTTGAGACAAGACACATGACTCTAGTTCTGTAGGCTGCAGTTCAGCCATGCAAACACCAGATGTTTCCAAATCAACCTCTCTCTATCCAGGCAAACAAGAGGCAGTATTACTGTTGAGAGACACATACTAGCCAAGTATATGAACTGTGTGACACAGGATGAGTGAGACATGTGTCCTGGGGACATCCTCTGTAGAGTATCCTGAGGGCAGCATAAGGCCCTGGGTGTGAGGTTACTCATCCTTCTACAATCCAGTGTCTATGACTCTTTCTTGAAGGTTGCAACACAGCCTCTCCTGGTTCCTATCTTGGGAAATGCAGTTTTCTCTTTTTGACAGAACAGAAACCACATATGAGTTCCTTCTACTACATTCATGAACCAATTTATATTTCTTCCTTTCCTTTCCTTTCAGCTCAGTTATGGCTCCTTTGCTCCAGAGAACACGGATCAAAGCCGACCCACTTCCTTCTACCGGATGGTGCCCAACGATGACCATCAGTACACTGGGATTGTTGAGTTACTTCTCCACTTTTCATGGACATGGGTAGGATTACTTGCAGGCAATAATGAGAGTGGAGAGAAGTGTATGCAGACTCTGCAACCTCTGCTTTCCAGTAAACATATTTGCTTGGCCTTCTTAGAGAGAACTCCCCAAGCTAGTTATGCGTATAATAACCTTCCTTTACTGTATCTCCAAGTGAATCAAGTGATTGTGAAGAGCAAAGCCAGTGCTGTTATTTTCTGCGGGAATTCTGCATCCATACTTGCCTTACAACCAATGTTAGCACAATGGGAAGGGGGAAATGTGGCTGGGACACCTATGAGGAAAGTGTGGATTCTGACTGCTCAGCTCGATTTCATAGGAACCACTTATCCAAAAAGATGGGATATGCAAGTCTTCCAAGGTTCCATCTCCTTTACAGTTCATTCAAATGAGGTACAAGGATTCAGAGCCTTTCTTCAGCTCCTAAACCCCTTTGAGGAAAATGGAGATGGTTTTCTCAAGCAGTTCTGGACCCTGGTTTTTCACTGTTTATTTCCAAAGTCCAACACAGAGGAGAAGCCCAGTGGAAGCTGCACTGGAGAGGAGAAGCTGGAGGAGCTCCCTTCATCTGATTTTGAGATGAGCATGACTGGCCACAGCTACAGTGTCTATAATGCTGTCTATGCCATGGCACATGCTTTACATAACACATTCTTGCACAGGTACAAGCAGAGGGCAGCGATGGAAGGAGAGATGCAGGAGCTTCCGAAGTTGCAAGCTTGGCAGGTACTGGTTACCATTTGACATGGGTGGGATCATGACGTCCAGTCAGGCTGCTTTAACCTCGGCCCTCCAGATGTGTATAAAACCTTTGGTCCATCCCACAAATTGGTAACATCAAAATCTCCCCAGTAACCCAAACAGCCCAATCACTGCCAATGGCCATCTAAACGATCCTGACCAGCAACAGAGGGGTGGCCTGTCAGACCCCACGGCAACACGTGCTCTCTATGAAGGAGAACATGCTTTGCCAATCTTTGATCGTTTACATGGGAATTAAACACTAGTTCCTATTTACAGAGTTATGTGGAAGAGAGCTTGCGTTGTTTGACCCTTTAAGTAGTTCCCTTTCGCCTGCTATAAAAACTATGCAGTGGACTATCTTTTATATTTTAAACAGAGAATAACTTTTACTCAGTGTACTTGCACGGGTTAGATTAAATATACCAGACAGGCAGGTGTTCCTTATGTTACCAATACATCTGACATAGATTTGAACCTAAGACAAAAACTGCTACAGACTGACTAACTCTGAGACAGGAAGCAGCATAACAGAACATAACTGCTGCTCTGTTAAGACTGTTCATAACTGCCATAATTGTACCAACTGAAATAAGTGCCTCCCGCAAAGAACATCACAGAGTTCTCTAGCCCTTGTGAGCATTAAGCCTTTCCTTAGCATTTTGGATGCTTTCATCTCACAGTTTAGGGGCTGGGGGAGTGAGGTCCTCCATTGCTCTTTCCCTTTTACAAGCTCTCATCCCCTTACGCTGCTATTGGGGGCCTTTAAGGCACTTATTGGTTAACTGGAAAAGTCCTACCAAGCCAGCAATTCCAGTGGCTTCTCCAATTGCTTTGTGGTTCTTCCGACCAGGGAGAGGGGAGGAAGGAGAGAGTTTTAGCCACTAGTGTTTCTTGTAGTGAAGTGGGCAACAATGAATTCAGTGCCTTTGATGATGAATTTGTTGTGCAAGACGGTCCGGAGTGGAATGGCAAGATGTTATTGAGACTTTTTGGGGCTACTGCATCTGTAATCAAAAGCTTCCACCCTGTGGCTTCAGCCCTTGTAATTGTTTCTTGTTCTACAGGGAACTATGTGCTTTAGCTTCTTTAAAAGGTGTATAAACCACCCTTCAAAAGATTTAAAGCTCTACTCCCAGCTTTAAAATCCCTGTCATTTACAGGCAGACTCTGCCCCAAACTGAGTTCAGTAAGGAGTGACATTAGGGCTTTAATTCATTGCTCCTTTGTTTCCCTTTCAATGCAGCTTCACCCCTTTCTTAGGAGTGTCTCATTTAACAACAGTGCTGGAGAAAAAGTATCTTTCGGTGAAAACTGGGAATTTGAAACTGGATTTGATATTACGAACTTGGTCACTTTCCCAAATAACTCCTATGTGAGAATCAAGGTTGGGAGGATAAATCTGGAGGCTCCCCCAGGAAAGCAATTTTCCATTCATGAGGACAAAATGGTGTGGCATAAGAGTTTTCTCCAGGTGAGGAATGACAGCAATGTCCATGAGATGTGGGTAAACAAAATATTATTGCATTGCAGATCATGAGTCTAGCAAAGTGTGGTACATATCTTGAACTACATGTGGAACATGGACTCCTTATTTTGCTTTTGTTTTCTTTTAATAGAAGGTTAGGACCTGTTACCCGTTTGGGTTCAGCATTGTTTTGATCAAATCATAATGAGAAATTTGCATGTTTTCTAGGTCTTCATACTACACCCCTGATTGCTCCTTGTCTTTGGCAGGAAGATATGAAGAAAGCTTTTGAAAGGAGTCAGCTGAAGCCTCTTTTCAGTTTGGAAATGTGATAATAACACATTGTTCCAAATCCCAGAGAGGCTTCTAACCATGTTCAGACATGTGTGTTAGACTGCTCCTTACACCCCCCTACTCAGCACAGGAAGATCAGAGGGGGGACAAGTACAACAAGAATGTCTCTGGACATTGGGTGCAGGGCTGGTGAATATTCACCCACCCCTCAATTTGAGGAGGCTCAAAAGAAAGCCATTTTAAGCACCTCCCCACCCCTCAATTGTGGATAGTAGTATTTTTCACCCTGAATTGGTTCTGAGGAGATCATTCGCACCTCTTAGTCAATACTAAAATCCCACTGCGCATACAATACTAAGAATGCTTGGAATGCCATGCGTTCCTAATTGTAGCTGAGATAATGGGAGGCAAAGATCCTATACATCTATATGTGCTAAACTGTTCCCATGCTTATTCCAATGGACAGGTTCCACCTCATTCTGTGTGTAGCCCAAGTTGCCCTCCTGGATACAGAAAGAAAAAGAAGGAGGGGGAGAAATTCTGCTGCTATGATTGTGCTCCATGTCCCGAAGGAAGGATTGCTTCCCAGAAGGGTAAGAGACACAACTCTCCCCCCTTCCCCCCACACACTACAGTGGCCAGGCCACCCCGATCTCCACAGTTGACATACCAGATGAAGCTGGTAAGAGGCCCCAGTAGCTAGACATGCTAGTTGGCTTGGGGTTCAAACATATTGCATTGTATCTGGTTTGTTGGGAAATACCTAAGATATTCCCGATTTCATTCGAAGAGGTCCATATTGGTGGAATTTGTATTTGCTCTTTAAGACATGATGAGTCTGCATCTAATCTTTTCTTTTTTACCTCAGACATGAATGACTGTATTGGATGCTCAGAAGATCACTACCCAAACAAGGACCAGACACAATGCATTCCAAAGACAATCAGCTTCCTGACTTTTGGAGAACCACTTGGGATGTGCATAGCATTTCTCTCTCTCCTTTTCTTTCTGCTCACACTTTTGGTCCTAGTAATCTTTGCTAAGCATCAAGACACACCACTCGTCAGGGCCAACAATCGAGATCTGACCTACACTCTCCTCACGTCTCTCCTCCTTTGCTTTCTCTGCCCCTTCATCTTCCTCAGCCAACCAGAACGAGTGAGCTGCCTGCTCCGACAAATGACTTTTGGTGTCGTTTTCACAGTGACTGTTTCTTGTGTGTTGGCTAAAACCGTCACTGTTGTTTTGGCCTTTGTGGCCACCAAACCAGGTTCCAGAATGAGGAAATGGGTAGGGAAAAGACTGGCAAGTGCCATTGTGTTGATTTGTACTATTATCCAAGCTGGTATTTGCACTCTGTGGCTGGGAACCTCTCCCCCATTTCCCCATTTTGACAAGCTTCATGTGACGGGAGAAATCATTCTGGAATGTAATGAAGGGTCAGCTGCCCTGTTTTACTGTGTCCTGGGCTACATGGGCTTCCTGGCGATTGTCAGCTTTGCTGTAGCATTTTTAGCCAGGAAACTGCCTGACAGCTTTAATGAAGCCAAATATATCACCTTCAGCATGTTGTTGTTTTGTAGTGTTTGGATCTCCTTTGTTCCAGTCTACCTGAGCTCCAAGGGAAAACACATGGTGGCTGTGGAGATCTTCTCCATCTTGGCTTCCAGTGCTGGCTTAATGGGTTCCATCTTTGCTCCCAAATGCTACATTATTATGCTGAGGCCTGACCTAAACATCAGAGAGCAATTAATGAAAAACTGAATTAGATTTTTTTTAGAGGCGGGGCATTTAAAAGCAACCAACCAAGCAACCCATTTTCTTCCCTTTCTTCATGGTTCCCCATGTTTGTTGTGTTGTGGTTGATACTTCACAAATCGTACCGGAACATTGTTGTCCTTTCACAAACGATCTCAGGCTACAGGCTACAGTTTAATTGGCAATAATATCCATGGAAGTTACTGCAGTTCACTACATGTATATGGGATTGCAGTTTTAATAAAATATTCTAGTATACATTGTATACACAATATTTACTCACGATATATTTGTATTACCCAACATTTAGCAAGAGGAGATTTATTTTGAAGTGACGTTCACAAATGTTTGTTCTATTTCCAAATCCTTTTCCTCAGCCATGAGGCCAGGTCACTATGACAGCATAAAGACATTGTATGAGCTACATGAAAATGCTATCAATAAGATACAACACATACATACCCCTTTTATTTTACCTTATTTTACCATATCTTATTCTTATAATATATCTAGTCATATGGTGTACGTGTGATAAAAAATCAAAGGAATTGAGATCAACATTTTGTTTTGATCCACCATGTGTTCAGAATATTTGTACATGCAGCTCTCTGTGTGTATGAAGAAGTAGTTGAAGAAGAGCCAGGAGATAAATTCCCTACCTCAAGTTTTGTTTTAAATTTTGCCTGCCTTACAGGCCTGTGGTCTGAAGTCTAGGGCTGCTTCCTTGGAATCCGAGAGTCATGGCTGAGCTCAAAATCCCCTTTGTGTCTCAAACTCTGCTCTTGAATGCACTTTCCTCTTCACAAAGCAGCATGTGAGAAAAGAGGGTTTAGGTGAAATCACAAGGGCAGTCTTTGCCCTGGGCACAGTTTTTTCCAAGGGCACGTTTTAAAACCCTCTCTGCCATCCCCAGCAAATGCTAAGGTGCTGCTGACTCGTTTAGTGAGCTTTCCCCTGGAGTTGGATCCTAGGTCCTGGGAATTTAGCTGGTGCATTCAGAGAGTGCCATTCAAGGCAAGCTGCTGTACTGAGGCTGTTTCTAATGCCAATGCTGATTAGATGTAAACAGGGAAATCTCTGTCTAGGGAAATGTATTGTTCCTAGTATGGCAGTGTTGATGCTGTTAATCTTCTCGCTGCCTCAAATGGTGAATCTGTCAAATGTCAATCGGAGCATCAGTCACCTCCATATCCCACACAAGTACTATCAGCCAGGTGACCTTATCATTGGTGCACTTGCTTCTCACATCCTGTCCTCTGTTGACCAAGAAACCTTCAAACAATGGCCATCCATCAGATCCTTAATCCATTGTAAGTATTTCAATTTTTCAGTTCCCATGTACTATTAATTCCTAAGTTACCATGTGGGCTCAGAAATACTTCCTATTTATTTTCGCTATGGGGATTTATTACTTATAGGGAGGGGTGCAAAATATCCCCTGCTCCCCAGAACATAGGATCAGTGTTAGACTTAACCCTCCTCACCACCTGAATTTTAACTTCTAAAATGATCAAGACAGACAATAAATTTCTAGTCAAGCCTGTAGGAACGAGGAGAATTATCTAGGATCCAACTTGGATGCAAAGAAAGATTAGTCTTCCAGTGAGATACCACATTACGTTCTGGGTGGTGTGTTTCTCTCTCACCCCCAAGCTCCCCCACCCCATTTTCCAGAACAAGAAGAAGTGTTTGGATATGATATCCCGCTTTATCACTACCCGAAGGAGTCTCAAAGCGGCTCACAATCTCCTTTCCCTTCCTCCCCTATAACAAACACTCTGTGAGGTGAGTGAGGCTGAGAGACTTCAGAGAAGTGTGACTAGCCCAAGGTCACTCAGCAGCTGCATGTGGAGGAATGGAGAATCGAACCTGGTTCACCAGATTACGAGTCCACCGCTCTCAACCACTACACCACACTGGTTTAACAGAGAGGGGGAGCCATGGCCACGACCAGTCACATGGGTGTCATAATCTAGAGAGTCCATGATTCTGATGTCAAGAGGAAATGGGTGACTGGCCAGTAGGAACTCTTTTCTGTTACCCCAGAACATGGGTAATGATTTTGCTGCCGACTCCTTGATATAATTTCATTTTATTTGTTTATTGAACTCGCTATGTGCATAAAAAATTATCAGATGGTTCTCCCCCACCCCGAGATGTGGTCCCCATCTTTGGGAGCCCAAGGGCACAATTGGAAAACTGAGGAACTCTTGTGGACACAAAAAACCACCAATTTCACAGAAGAAAGTGTGGAGATGCTCAGAAACTCCACCTCCATCCTTTCTTGTAACTTGAATCCATTGGTTTGGGTCCTACTCTCTGTAGCAAGAGACAAGCTTGCTGCGTCTTCCATGTGACAGCCCTTGAGGTATTTGAAGATGGGTATCATATCTCCTCTCAGTCTCCTTTTTCCAGGCTAAACATACCCAGCTCCCTCAACCGTTGCTCATAAGGCTTGGTTTCCCACCCATCATCTTCCTGGCTGCCCTCCTCTGCACATGTTCAGCACACATTTTACCTCATGAAAATATAATGGGGTACTTTGCCAAAAGCCTGCCTGAACTCAAAATAGACTATTACCACAGCATTCTCCTAATCGACCATATTTGTAATGCCATAAAAAATAAAATAAATGAGATTGGCCTGGTATAACTACAACAGGCCCAGGACAGAACCCTTTGGCATCTCTGTGGCATCAGGAGATAATATCCCTATGCTATGAGGAGAAAATGAAAAGGAGGGAAATACCCCTCTTCCCAGAGAGAGTGACAGATGCCACATATACTTATTCTGAGCTCAGAATTGTACATGCAGCTCTCTGTGTGAATGAAGAAGTACTTGCAGAAGAGCCAGGAAATAAATTCCCTACCTCAAGTTTTGTTTTAAATTTTGCCTCCCTTACAGGCCTATGGTCTGAAGTCTAGTGCTGCTTCCTTGGAATCAGAGAGTCAGGGCCGAGCTCACAATCCCCTTTGTGTCTCAAACTCTGCTCTTGAATGCACTTTCCTCTTCACAAAGCAGCATGTGAGAAAAGAGTTTAGGTGAAATCACAAGGGCAGTCTTTGCCCTGGGCACAGTTTTTTCCAAGGGCACGTTTTGCTCCTCACACCACCCATGCCAGCCCTCTTCTGCTTTGCAAGTGCGATCCCACATCCCAGCCCCTCAAAGCAGCGTGGGGCTGGCAGGGCATCAGGACGATGTAATGGGCATGTGCCGTTCCTGCTGCGTCTTCCTCATGTCACCCACCCTGCCTGTCACGGATGCTTTAGTTGTGACCCCTGGATTCCAGGGGGTCGAGCTTGATGACCTTTGGGGGATCCTTTCAATTCTACATTTTTTTGTTTATTTAGGTGAATATATAGGGCCCCCCATGGGACGCGGGTGGCGCTGTGGGTAAAACCTCAGCGCCTAGGACTTGCCGATCACATGGTCGGCGGTTCGAATCCCCGCGGCGGGGTGCGCTCCCGTCGTTCGGTCCCAGCGCCTGCCAACCTAGCAGTTCGGAAGCACCTCCGGGTGCAAGTAGTTAAATAGGGACCGCTTACCAGCGGAAAGGTAAACGGCGTTCCGTGTGCTGCGCTGGCTCGCCAGATGCAGCTTGTCACGCTGGCCACATGACCCGGAAGTGTCTGCGGACAGCGCTGGCTCCCGGCCTATAGAGTGAGATGAGTGCACAACCCTAGAGACTGGCAAGACTGGCCCGAACGGGCAGGGGTACCTTTACCTTTTACTATAGGGGCCCTAAAAAGGCCTGCAGACAGGGCCCAATGGACCGTTTGTCCATCATCACAGCCATGCGTTGAAGTCACTCAGAGTCTGCTCACAATTGTTCCTTTCCAGTCAAATTCTACCAGCGGCTAGAATTCATCTTGGCCCCATGGGTTTACCTGCCCCATGCCTGGCCTCACATAACACAAGCTGATGGACATGTGAATGTGGTTTGGATCACGAGCCCAATGGAGAGGCTTGGTTGGCCTAACTGCTGCAGGTCAGAAGTCCTTGTTGATTCCCCGCAAGGAGCTTTCTCTACCTGTGTAGATTCTCTTGAGTGATTGACAACTTTTAGGGTTCTGGATTGTGTAAGAAAGTACCGTAAGGACAGCTAGCTACAGAGGCTCTCTTCTGAGAACACAGTAGGTGATGAAACTGGCAGCAGGGATGCAATGGAGGGGAAGGGGCAACAGGCTTATTCCTGCTCCCCCCTCATTACAATGCCTTGAAAACACTTGAAGGAGGCTGCTGAGGGATTATTCTGTGTGGATCATTGTCTCTGCTACCTCCAATGGACCAGCTGAGGCAAAGGGATCATTATTCTCTCCCCTGTTATTATCAATTACATGGTAATAATCTGCTTCTGATTAGACCTCCATAGACTTCCAGGAATCCAGTGTAAAATGAATTAAAACCCTCTCTGCCACCCCCAGCAAATGCTAAGGTGCTGCTGACTCGTTTAGTGAGCTTTCCCCTGGAGTTGGATCCTAGTCTTGGGAATTTAGCTGGTGCATTCGGAGAGTGCCATTGAAGGCAAGCTGCTGTACTGAGGCTGTTTCTAATGCCAATGCTGAGTAGATGTAAACAGGGAAATCTCTGTCTAGGAAATTGTATTGTTCCTAGTATGGCAGTGTTGATGCTGTTAATCTTCTCGCTGCCTCAAATAGGGAATCTGCCAAATGTCAATCGGAGCATCAGTCACCTCCATATCCCACACAAGTACTATCAGCCAGGTGACCTTATCATTGGTGCACTAACTTCTCACATCTTGTCCTCTGTTGACTATGAAACCTTCATACAATGGCCATCCATCCATCAGATTCTTAATCCATTGTAAGTGTTGCAAATTTTCAATTCCCATGTGATATTAATTCCTAAGTTACCATGTGGGCTCAGAAATACTTCCTATTTATTTTATCTATGGAGATTTATTACTTATAGAGAGGGGTGCAAAATATCCCTCCCCACCACCTGAATTTTAACATCTAAAATGATCAAGACAGACAATAAATTTCTCGTCAAGCCTGTAGGAATGAGGTGGATTATCTAGGATCCAACTTTGAAGCAAAGAAAGAGCAGTCTTCCAGTGAGATATGACATTATGTTCTGGGTGGTGTGTTTCTCTCCCACCCCCAAGCTCCCCCACCCCATTTTCCAGAGCAGTGCTTAGTGGAGAGGAGGAGCCATGGCCACGACCAGTCACATGGATGTCATAATCTAGAGAGCCCAGCATTCTGATGTCAAGAGGAAATGGGTGAATGGCCAGTACGAACCATTGGTCTACCTAGCTCAGGCCTGTCTACACAGAGTAGCAGTGGCTCTCCAGGATTTCAGACAGGGGTCTGCCCCAGCTCCACCTGTGTGCTAAGCAGATGCTCTACCATTGGGTTTTACGGAATCTTCAAAGAAAAGGTACACAGAGTAATTGTCAAAACATTACAGGCAACAGAAGGTTGGCTGCTATCGGGGGCAATAGCTTCATTGATGCATGGGAAACTGAGGTGGGGTTCCAGAAACCTGCAAAAGGGCAACAAACTACAAGAAGGACGCAGCTGGAGAGAATGATTCCTAGTTTCAGTTTTCTCTACTGAAAGGCACAGGGTATGGGAAACAAGCAAGATGAATTGGAGCTTTTAATACAGGATGGCAAATAAGACATATGACCTAGAAGGCGAGTAGGCATTGCCTCAGGGTTCAAGATTTCTTTAACAGATTGGAGGATTGGGTTAACAAATGAATTTGAATAGGGACAAATGTAAGGTACTGCACTTAGGCAGCAAGTACCAACTTCACAAATATAAGTTGAAGGACACCTGGCTTACTAGGATCTCGCCATCTTAATGAAATTCAAGCTTCACTTGAGTGAACAGTGCGGTGCAGTTTTTGCTGTATGTGTATTTAAAACAAATTCTTTATTGGTTTAATTCAATTTGCCTGTAAGCTGCCTTGTTGCTCCCTAGCACAGAAAGACAGGGAACCTAAGTTTCTTTAAACAGATTGACCAAAAATGGTACACAGCAAAACGCTTTGGTGTCCAACTCTCATTGCAGTGTTGTACCAAAATACTATCAGCAAATTCTGGCCTTGGTGTTTGCAGTCAAGGAAATCAACAAGAATTCCAATATATTACCTAATGTCACATTAGGATTCCACATTTTTGATAGTTACTTCAGTGAAAGGATGACCTACTGGGCCACTTTGGAGCTGCTCTCTACACACTACAGATTCGTACCCAACTACCAGTGTGACAAACAGAAAAATCTGAGCGCAGTCATTGGGGGACTTGACTTTGAGATTTCCCTCCACATGGCAGCCATCTTAGGTGTCTACAAGATTCCCCAGGTAAGAGTCAAACATGGTGACTCATTCTTCTTTCCTCTGTCCTGTTGAGAAAAGTTTTGCATTCCATCATAGCCCTCTTGACAATTTCAAATTGTATTCAATAAAAGCTTTCATCCGTCTTCATCCATTTCCCAACGTGTGCATGTTCTTCAGAGGGTAGGAATGGAACATTTTGCAGATACAGTTGTACACACCTGCTCTATGTTTGTGAACAGCTTGATCTGCCAGCCTCAGGTAGACTCCAACCAGGATGAATTACGGAGGCTGCTCATCAGTCACTTGTACATTACCTTAATTAATTTGACCTGGACAATTTGGGGCTGTCAGGGGTGCCAACAGGTCACTGGTTATCTACCTAGTGAAATCAGAGGAGCAGAGAGAGCTTTTCAATGGTTTCATTTTAATCCACAGGAAGACAGAAAGACGTGAAAGTATGCTCTCACCCTTGAGCTAATATTGCTCAGATTGCAACTCCACCATGCACCGACAATTTCTTCCTAGAAATCAGATGCCTCCTGGTGCCTATGGTGGCTGCTAAGAACAATTCTCTTTTGGGTTCTGCAGAGCGTGTCTTGACCTTGTGGAAGGAGGGGGCTCTGACAAACTCTCTTGAGAGAGAATGTCACTTGGCTGCTGTACTGTTTCTAAGAAATCTGACTCCTGTCTTTGTTCATTGCTAACTTGCTCTGGTTCATCATCACTTATTATTTCCCAGGTGCTTTTTCCTTCTCAGGTGTGACCTGTCTCAAACCACCACACCATACTCTCCCCCCTTCCTTCTTTCTGGAAGGTTCTTAGGGTGCTGCTCTCCACCACTCCTCCTCATCTCCCCATTTCCTGACGGGCTTACTGAGACAGCAGGTCCAAAGCACAATGGTTTCGTCATTGCAATCCACACATAACCAATGTTTCTACTGCATTAATGGGAATTAAGTGTCCGTTTCCTTCTAGCTCACTTATGGCTCCTTTGCCCCAGAGGATGCTGGTCGAAGCCAATCCACTCCCTTCTACCGGATGGTGCCCAATGAAGCCCATCAGTACACTGGGATTGTTGAGTTACTTCTGCACTTTGGATGGACGTGGGTTGGGTTGCTCGCTGCGGATAGTGAGAGTGGAGAGAAATTTATGAAAATCCTGCAAACTCTGCTTTTTCAGAGAGGTATTTGCTTGGCCTTTTCAGAGAGAACTCCAAAAGGCACATATTTTGAAGAGTATTATCACATGATTCCCCAGTGGCTCCAAGCCTATCTTGCTATTGCGGAAAGCAAAGCCAATGCTGTCATTGTCTATGGAGAAGCCAAGTCCATGTTTTTTTTGCAACTATGGCTAGCGGCAGGGGGTGCAGAAAATGTGACATCTATGGAGAAGTTATGGATTATGACTGCTCAACTGGATTTCTCAGCAGTGGCCTTTCAAATGAGCCAGGCTATGCAACCATTTCATGGCTCCATCTGCTTCACAGTGCACTCAAAGGAGGTGCAAGGATTCAAGACCCTTCTTCGCTCCCTCAATCCTTTCATGGCAGGTGAAGATGGTTTTCTTCAGCAGTTCTGGCTGCAGACATTCTATTGTTTCTTTTCAAAATCCAGTACTGAGTTCAGTGAACCCTGCACTGGACAGGAGAAGCTGGACAGCCTCCCTCGTCTGGCTTTGAGATGAGCATGACTGGCCACAGCTACAGCATCTACAATGCTGTCTATGTTCTGGCACATGCCCTACATGATGCCATGTACAGATCCAGGGCAAAAGACAGAGGAATTGTGAGAAGATGGAGACCGCAGCTTCAGAAATTGCAGCCTTGGCAGGTAATGGCTCTTTTGTTGTTGTATATCTTTTAATTATTATTTCATTTTATATTGTTGATAAAGCAAAGATAACGCAATTTTAACAACAGACAAAAATTGAAAGATGAATAACCAAACTGTAAAATAGGCAGGTAGGGTGTGTAGTTGCACGTGAGTTAAATAAAGACTTTAAAGTCCAAATTAAGTCCAATTGTATCAGATCACCAAGCACAGTTCCAGATTTGCCAGGTTTTGGGGGAGGGGGTTGTTTTGAAAACGTTGGTTCTGCTGTATATGCCAAATCATATGAAACTTGTCTAGTCGTCAAAATCTCAAATTATTTGTGATTATCTTTGCTATAGCTATATTCCAGAGTGAGTGGTACAAAGTGTCCAGCATCAGATTTTTGGGCTGTGTTCTATTGAGTTGCCATTACTATGAATGCTGCCACTTTAATCTTGCCAATTTTTTGGCAACATATTTACAATGGTATCATCAGAAATACACAGTGACATTCATTTTGGACAACAAACCATCTTTTTATAGTAATATTTATCATTTCTGAGAAAATCGGATACAACCCACTCACCTGAGCTTCAGCTCTTCAAAACAGCTAGGTGTGATATTGTCAATGGCAATTTCTATCTCAACTAGAGTCTTAAGAGGGACACCTGTTTTGCCTGTTCCTCCCTCAGTCTAACCCTCCCCCCATTTTTCTGTTCTTTCATTTATACCCTTTCTGCATTGAACTTCATGGATGTTTGCATGATGATTTTGGAAGTCCTGTTTAAGCTTTGAAATACATATACAGTGTGGCTTAGTCCTATACGGAGGAATCTACAGAGGAAAGAGAGATTAAATTTTACTGTTATTATTGCTATTGTTATTAATTTGTGATTATATGAAATCTTGTCTACTGCCATGGAGGAGGCAATGGCACTTTAAAAGGCGATGCTGAACATAAGATAAGGTTGAGTTTTAAACAATTGTCCTTTTCCTGCCATCTCAATGCAGCTCCACCCATTTCTTAGGAGTGTCTCATTTAACAACAGTGCGGGAGAAGAAGTGTCTTTTAGTGAGAACAGGGAATCAGAAGCTGGGTTCGATATTACCAACTTGGTCACTTTCCCAAATAACTCCTTCATCAGAATGAAGGTTGGATGGATGAATTTGGATGCTCCCCCAGGAAAAGAGTTTTCCATCAATGAAGACAAAATGGTGTGGCACAGGAGTTTTCACCAGGTGGGGCATGATTTCAGGAAATTGCAACTCCAGTGTGTCCTAAATGTGATGTTTGCATCTCGGAAGCCTAGCGGAGACATGGATCCTGTATTTTTTCTCTCTTGTTGTTTATGAAAACCTCTATGAATGTTGTGGGGCTCTGATGCCTTGAAGCAGGCCAGGACATAGTTCATTATTATATGCTTGTTTGTTTATTGCATTTTTAGTCCACCTTTCCTTTGCTTGCTTCCCATTTTATCCTAACAACCAACAACCCTGTAAGGTAGTGTAGACTGAGAGCAGCAGTGACTGGTCCAAGGTCACCCAATGAGTTTCATGGCCAAGTGGGGATTTGAATCCTGGTCTTCCACTTCCCTGTCTAGCACATTCTTTAAAGATTTCTAGGCCAGCAGAGTGTGACCTAAGCCTAACCTCCAACCAACTTCTCTGGGGAGAAAGAAAAGGGAGCTGAGCCTGGAGACAGATGAGGCAGACTTCTGCAGAGAATGCCTGGTTTGGAGGCTAGTAATTCTCAAGATATAGTAGCAGAGGTCTGGCAGAGTCCAGCACTATCCTTGTTTTTGAGGCTGCTTAAGTTGTGGAATGTGTGTGGCGCTGTTGCCTAAACCACAGAGCCTAGGGCTGGCCGATCAGAAGGTTGTTGGTTCGAATCCCAGTGACAGGGTGAGCTCCCATTGTTCGGTCCCTGCTCCTGCCAACCTAGCAGTTCAAAAGCATGCCAAAGTGCAAGTAGATAAATAGGTAATGCTCCAGCGGGAAGGTAAACAGCATTTCCAAGCGCTGCTTTGGTTTGCCAGAAGCGGCTTAGTCATGCTGGCCACATGACCCAGAAGCTGTACGCCGGCTCCCTCGGCCATTTCTCCCATCCACTTGATCCCTTGCAGCCCAGAAAATGGAGTTCAGGGCCTCCAAATGTCCATTACTCCCCCTGTGCTAAACATTTCCTTACGGTTAATTAAAATTCACAGGTACCACCCCTCTCTCAATGCAACAAAAATTGCCCTTCTGGTACTAGGAGAAAAAAGAAGGAAGGGGAGAAATTCTGCTGCTATGACTGTGCTCCATGTTCAGAAGGCAAGATTTCATACCAGAAAGGTAGGAGACATTAGGTAGCTTTCAGATAACTCAGATTTCCTGTGAAGGGTCTGTGGCAGAGTGAAAGGTGTCACAGTTGTTGCTATTGATGTAGTTCTGATTTCCATGGTGATTGAAGTTCACAGACTTGGAGCTCTTCATTGCAACCAGCTGATGGCCCAGCATCGGGGCCAAACATTTGCAAAGAGGTGCTTTGCAAGCCCAAATGATCAGATGATGGTTGGGGTTTGCAAAGCACACTGTTACCTGCCCTACACCTAACATCAGAGATGACATCAGATATAGGGCCAGTAGGTGTAACTTGCTAAAATGGCCCCATGGGTCAGAGGTTTTCTAACTGGATTACCTGGGTGGTGATGGAGATGAGTTGCACTGGTACGCCTGCAGAGCACAGGCCTCCTGCTGTCCAGACCCACCCCCTTACTGTCCAGGCAAGAGACTGTGATATCATTGTCTGGGGGAGGGGGGTCCAAAGCTCTTTCTCCCAATGCTAGTCACTCCTGTGTCTGAAAAGGATTGTCTCTTGCACATCCAACTGGTAAGTCCCATACTGCCAGGAGGATGCATACCTACTCTCAACTTGCACCCTTAAAGGGAATCCTTTCTTCTTTTCAGACATGAATGACTGTGTCGGATGCTCAGAAGATCACTATCCAAACAGGAACCGAACACAATGCATTCCAAAGTTCATCAGCTTCTTGACTTTGGAAGAACCGCTTGGGATGAGCTTAGCTTTTGGCTCCGTATTCTCCTCTTTGCTCACCATCTTGTCCCTCGCCATCTTTATGAAGCATCAGGACACACCGATTGTCAGGGCCAATAATCGGGACCTCACCTACGTTCTCCTCCTGTCTCTCCTTCTCTGTTTTCTCTGTCCCCTCATCTTCCTCAGCCGACCAGACAGAGTGACCTGCCTTGTCCGACAAATGGCTTTTAGTGTGGTTTTCACGGTGACTGTTTCTTGTGTGTTGGCCAAAACCATCACCGTTGTTCTGGCATTCATGGCCTCCAAACCAGGATCCAGAATGAGGAAATGGGTGGGGAAAAGACTGGCTAGCGCCATTGTGTTGACTTGTACTATAATCCAAGCTGGTATTTGCACTGTGTGGCTGGGAACCTCTCCCCCATTTCCCCATTTTGACAAGCACTCTGTGATGGGAGAAATTATTCTGGAATGTAATGAAGGGTCAGCTGTCATGTTTTACTGTGTCCTGGGCTACATGGGCTTCCTGGCCATTGTCAGTTTTGTTGTAGCATTTTTAGCCAGGAAACTGCCTGACAGCTTTAATGAGGCCAAATTCATCACCTTCAGTATGTTGTTATTTTGTAGTGTTTGGATCTCCTTTGTTCCGGTCTACCTGAGCTCCAAGGGGAAACACATGGTGGCTGTGGAGATCTTCTCCATCTTGGTCTCCAGTGCTGGTTTACTGGGTTCCATCTTTTTCCCCAAATGCTACATTATCATATTAAGGCCTGATCTGAATGACAAACAGAAGTTAATAAAGAAGAAATAGCAAAGTACCCTGTTGTCACTCTTTTCTGTTACCCCAGAACATGGGTAATGATTTTGCTGCCGACTCCTTGATATAATTTCATTTTATTTGCTTATTGAACTTGCTATGTGCATAAAAAAAATCAGATGGTTCTCCCCCACCCCGAGATGTGGTCCCCACCTTTGGGAGCCCAAGGGCACAATTGGAAAACTGAGGAACTCTTGTGGACACAAAAAACCACCAATTTCACAGAAGAAAGTGTGGAGATGCTCAGAAACTCCACCTCCATCCTTTCTTGTAACTTGAATCCATTGGTTTGGGTCTTACTCTCTGTAGCAAGAGACAAGCTTGCTGCATCTTCCATGTGACAGCACTTGAGGTATTTGAAGATTGGTATCATATCTCCTCTCGGTCTCCTTTTTCTGGGCTAAACATACCCAGCTCCCTCAACCATTGCTCATAAGGCTTGGTTTCCCACCCATCATCTTCCTGGTTGCCCTCTTCTGCACATGTTCAACACACATTTTACCAGCTTCCTCATGAAAATATAATGGGGGACTTTGCCAAAAGCCTGACTGAACTCAAAATAGACTATGACCACAGCATTCTCCTGATCCACCACATTTGTAATGCCGTTTTGCTCCTCACACCACCCATGCCAGCCCTCTTCTGCTTTGCAAGTCTGATCCCACATCCCAGCCCCTCAAAGGAGCGAGGGGCTGGCAGGGCATCAGGAGGATGTAATGGGCATGTGCCCTTCCTGCGGCGTCCTCCTCATGTCACCCACCCAGCCTGTCACAGATGTTTTAGTTGTGATCCCTGCATTGCAGGAGATCTACCTTGATGACCTGTGATGGGCCCTTCCAATTCTTCAATTCTCTGCTTATTTAGCTGAATATTTAGGGGCCCTAAAAAGGCCTGCAGACGGCCCAACGGACCGTATGTCCAACATCACAGACAGGGATTTGAAAAGGGAAGATATCATTCACCAGGAAATAGTCCTCAGTCTTTGATCGCTTATATGGGAATTAAACGGTAGTTCCAATTTACAGAGTTACCGTATTTTTTGCTCTATAAGACTCACTTTTCCCACCTAAAAGTAAGGGGAAATGTGTGTGCGTCTTATGGAGTGAACGCAGGCTGCGCAGCTATTCCAGAAGCCAGAACAGCAAGAGGGATTGCTGCTTTCACTGCAAAGCGATCCCTCTTGCTGTTCTGGCTTCTGAGATTGAGAATATTTTTTTTCTTGTTTTCCTCCTCCAAAAACTAGGTGCGTCTTTTGGTCTGGTGCATCTTATAGAGTGAAAAATACGGTATGTGGAAGAGAGCTTGGGTTGTTTGACCCTTTAAGTAGTTCCTTTCTCCCTCCTATAAAAACTATGCAATGGACTCTCTTTTATATTTTAAATAGAAAATAACTTTTATTCAGTGTACTAGCAAGGGTTAGATTAAATATACCAGACAGGCAGGTGTTCCTTATATTACCAATACATCTTACATAGATTTGAATCTAAGACAAAAAATGCTACAGACTGACTAACTCTGAGACAGGCAGCAGCATAATAGAACATAACTGCTGTTAAGACTGTTCATAACTGCCATAATTGTACCAACTGAAAAAGTGCCTCTGGCACAGGACATCACAGAGTTCTACAGCCCATGTGAGCATTAAGCCTTTCCTTAGCATTTTGGATGCTTTCATCTCACAATTTAGGGGCTGGGGGAGTGAGGGCGTCCATTGCTCTTTCCCTTTTACAAGCTCTCATCCCCTTACGCTGCTATCGGGGGGCCTTTAAGACACTTATTGGTTAGCTGGAAAAGTCCTACCAAGCTAGCAATTCCGATGGCTTCTCCAATTGTCTGTGGTTCTTCCAACCAGGGAGAGGGGAGGAAGGAGATAGTTTTAGCCACCAGTGTTTCTTGTAGTGAAGTGGGCAGCAATGAATTCAGTGCCTTTGATGATGAATTTGTTGTGCAAGACGGTTCAGAGTGGAATGGCAAGATGTTATTGAGACTTTTTGGGGCTACTGCATCTGTAATCAAAAGCTTCCACCCTGTGGCTTCAGCCCTTGTATTTGTTTCTTGTTCAGCAGGGAACTATGTGCTTTAGCTTATTTAAAAGGTGTATAAACCACCCTTCAAAAGATTTAAAGCTCTACTCCCAGCTCTACTCCCAGACACTGCCCCAAACTGAGTTCAGTAAGGAGTGACATTAGGGCTTTAATTCATTGCTCCTTTGTTTCCCTTTCAATGCAGCTTCACCCCTTTCTTAGGAGTGTCTCATTTAACAACAGTGCTGGAGAAAAAGTATCTTTCGGTGAAAACTGGGAATTTGAAACTGGATTTGATATTACGAACTTGGTCACTTTCCCAAATAACTCCTATGTGAGAATCAAGGTTGGGAGGATAGATCTGGAGGCTCCCCCAGGAAAGCAATTTTCCATTCATGAGGACAAAATGGTGTGGCATAAAAGTTTTCTCCAGGTGAGGAATGACAGCAATGTCCATGAGATGTGGGTAAACAAAATATTATTGCATTGCAGATCATGAGTCTAGCAAAGTGTGGTACATATCTTGAACTACATGTGGAACATGGACACCTTATTTTGCTTTTGTTTTCTTTTAATAGAAGGTTAGGACCTGTTACCCGTTTGGGTTCAGCATTGTTTTGATCAAATCATAATGAGAAATTTGCATGTTTTCTAGGTCTTCATACTACACCCCTGATTGCTCCTTGTCTTTGGCAGGAAGATATGAAGAAAGCTTTTAGAAGGAGTCAGCTGAAGCCTCTTTTCAGTTGGGAAATGTGATAATAACACATTGTTCCAAATCCCAGAGAGGCTTCTAACCATGTTCAGACATGTGTGTTAGACTGCTCCTTACACCCCCCTACTCAGCACAGGAAGATCAGAGGGGGGAGAAGTACACCAAGGATGTCTCTGGACATTGGGTGCAGGGCTGGTGAATATTCACCCACCCCTCAATTTGAGGAGGCTCAAAGAAAGCCATTTTAAGCACCTCCCCACCCCTCAATTGTGGATAGTAGTATTTTTCACCCTGAATTGGTTCTGAGGAGATCATTCGCACCTCTTAGTCAATACTAAAATCCCACTGCGCATACAATACTAAGAATGCTTGGAATGCCATGCGTTCCTAATTGTAGCTGAGATAATGGGAGGCAAAGATCCTATACATCTATATGTGCTAAACTGTTCCCATGCTTATTCCAATGGACAGGTTCCACCTCATTCTGTGTGTAGCCCAAGTTGCCCTCCTGGATACAGAAAGAAAAAGAAGGAGGGGGAGAAATTCTGCTGCTATGATTGTGCTCCATGTCCCGAAGGAAGGATTGCTTCCCAGAAGGGTAAGAGACACAACTCTCCCCCCTTCCCCCCCACACACTACAGTGGCCAGGCCACCCCGATCTCCACAGTTGACATACCAGATGAAGCTGGTAAGAGGCCCCAGTAGCTACACATGCTAGTTGGCTTGGGGTTCAAACACATTGCATTGTATCTGGTTTGTTGGGAAATACCTAAGATATTTCCGATTTCATTCGAAGGGATCCATATTGGTGGAATTTGTATTTGCTCTTTAAGACATGATGAGTCTGCATCTAATCTTTTCTTTTTTACCTCAGACATGAATGACTGTATTGGATGCTCAGAAGATCACTACCCAAACAAGGACCAGACACAATGCATTCCAAAGACAATCAGCTTCCTGACTTTTGGAGAACCACTTGGGATGTGCATAGCATTTCTCTCTCTCCTTTTCTTTCTGCTCACACTTTTGGTCCTAGTAATCTTTGCTAAGCATCAAGACACACCACTCGTCAGGGCCAACAATCGAGACCTGACCTACACTCTCCTCACGTCTCTCCTCCTTTGCTTTCTCTGCCCCTTCATCTTCCTCAGCCGACCAGACAGAGTGACCTGCCTTGTCCGACAAATGGCTTTTGGTGTGGTTTTCACAGTGACTGTTTCTTGTGTGTTGGCCAAAACCATTACCGTTGTTCTGGCATTCATGGCCACCAAACCAGGATCCAGAATAAGGAAATGGGTGGGGAAAAGACTGGCAAGCGCCATTGTGTTGACTTGTACTATTATCCAAGCTGGTATTTGCACTGTGTGGCTGGGAACCTCTCCCCCATTTCCCCATTTTGACAAGCTTCATGTGACGGGAGAAATCATTCTGGAATGTAATGAAGGGTCAGCTGCCCTGTTTTACTGTGTCTTAGGCTACATGGGCTTCCTGGCCATTGTCAGTTTTGTTGTAGCATTTTTAGCCAGGAAACTGCCTGACAGCTTTAATGAAGCCAAATATATCACCTTCAGCATGCTGTTGTTTTGTAGTGTTTGGATCTCCTTTGTTCCGGTCTACCTGAGCTCCAAGGGAAAACACATGGTGGCTGTGGAGATCTTCTCCATCTTGGCCTCCAGTGCTGGCTTAATGGGTTCCATCTTTGCTCCCAAATGCTACATTATTATTCTGAGGCCTGACCAGAACACCAGAGGGCAATTAATTAGAAACTGAATGAGAGCGAAAAATAATAATTTCACAGGGGTGGCATTTAAAACCAGCCAATCAACCTGTTTGTGTTTCCTTTTTGGTGGTGTTCCAGGACTGTTGCTTAATGGATGATACTTCACAAATGGTACCAGAACATTCATTTCCTATCACAGAACACCTCAGGTTGTAGCCTTACAATTACTTGGGAATCATCTCCATTGAAATTAATGAAATTCACTATGTGTATATAGGATTACAGTTTCAATAAAATATTCTAGTATGCAAAGGAAGCAATCACATACAAAAGAAGATGGTGTAAAGCAAGTCCAGCATAAGATATACAAGTGTAAACTACTCCAGATGCAAGCCCAATTCAGCAGCAGCACTATTGTGGCCTGAGGAGGCCTAACTTGGCAAAAGAGAACCAACCTCTAAAGTATTGTGGGAGTTATAACATCCTATTTGACAGCTTAACTTACTCCGCTTTGCCAAGTTACATGATGAAACGGACAGGACATTTATTTACTTATTTAGCCTATCTCCTTTTCACAGTGACTGTTTCTTGTGTGTTGGCCAAAACCACCACTGTGGTTCTGGCCTTTGGGGCCACCAAACCAGGATCCAGAATGAGGAAATGGATGGGGAAAAGACTGGCAAGCACCACTGTGCTTTCTTGTTCCCTTATCCAAATTGGTGTTTGTGCTGTGTGGTTAGGAACCTCTCCACCTTTCCCCAATTCTGACTTGCACTCTGTAAAGGACAAAATAATACTAGACTGTAATGAAGGGTCAGTTGTCATGTTTTACTGTGTCCTGGGTTACATGGGCTTCCTTGCCTTTGTCAGTTTTGTTGTAGCATTTTTAGCCCGGAAACTGACTGACAGCTTTAATGAGGCCAAATTCATCACCTTAAGCATGCTCTTGTTTTGTAGTGTTTGGATTTCCTTTGTTCCAGTGTACCTGAGCACTAAGGGGAAATACATGGTGGCTGTGGAGATCTTCTCCATCTTGGCCTCCAGTGCTGGCTTATTAGGTTTCATCTTTTCCCCCAAATGCTACATCATTGTGTTGCGGCCTGATCTAAATGACAAACAGCAGTTAATAAGGAGGAAACAGTAGTATATCCCACTGCCAGTCTTTTCTTTCAGACTACTCTATAGTTAATATTCATAGGCTCTCCATCATACAGTTATTTTGTAGTAATTGCTTTGTACCATTTTTGTTGTCAGCAGTGTCCTCTTTGAGATATTAGACCATTAAAGCCTAGGAGTTATCCATGTGCTGAAACTACAGATTGGCACTGCTACAGGTGCCACATAGTACCCATTCATTTCATAGTAGATCCGCCCCTGTATAAACCTTCCTATTTTCAAACCGAACCTGCCTTCCCCTAGTTTGTTTTAGTGTAATAGTCAGTAAGCTAAAAAAGGGAGGTTCATGCAGGAAGGTTTAGAGGACAGATAATGCATATTCTATGGTCATGTGAAGCACTCCTTCTCTGAAAAAAGACAGGCTCACTGTTCTTTTCTTATTCTTTGTAGTTTACTTTGTGTGCCCTTTGTGTGGCGTCTCAGGAATTGACAGAGATGGCTTTTCATGAAACATCACAAAACATGTTTTTCTCCATTCTTCCGATCTTCCCAGCAATAACAGCACCTAGTTATTATCTCATTGGTAATTATCACACTTGTCATCACTGAATCTCCTTTGGATAAGGTCCTCATAGATTTTGAGAGAATACTAGTCAAAGACTAGTATTAAAGTATCCCTTCCTGCCATTTCAAACAATGGGGAGGGCAGAGGAAGAGGCAGTATTTCCACTTTTCACTTGGAGAGTTGTAATTCAGTCTTTTAATCTGTGGATTGGTGGAATGACATGGCATTTGTGTGAGGGCAAAAGATTCTAGTGAGGTTGGTTCTGAAGCTAACAGGCATGTTCTCGATGGAAGTGAAGGTGTGTGACTCGAAGGAACATTTGCCTCAGCATGCTGCTGATTATTGTGTCCATTCTCTCCTTTCTGCCATGTGTGATGTGCAAACATAACAAACGTTGCACCACCAATCATTCGCTCAGCATTCCACATGAATTCTATCAGCCTGGTGACTTTATAATTGGTGGACTTGCTTCTCATATCTTTGGCTCTTTTGCTAAAGAAGACTTCAGAGAAATCCTTATCACCCATCAAGTCCGTACTTTCTTGTAAGTAGTAATCAAGTACACATCAACAATTCTTTTGATTCTGATTCCCCAATGCTAACCATAAATTTCGGTAGGATCCCCCCCCCCCGTCAGAGGTATGAATAGTAGAGGTGCTAAACTGAGGAGTTACCTTAGAGGAAGGGAAATGGTGATCTGAAACTGCTAGTAAGATGAGATAGCTTGGACTTGCTGATCAGTTCTGATCCCCCATTTCCTCCCTCCTCTTCACAATTTTCTTCCAGGCAGTGCTTCATTAGAGGAGCAAAGGTTTAGTTTTACTTGGAAATCTGAGCTTCCAATGTGGAAGCCCTTCTTGAAATGAGGGGCTTCTGAATGCACTGAAGAGCCAAAGAAGTAAGAGAAGCAGAGTCCCCAAAGAGGTGCAAACAGCAGAGTCACTTTCAGATGACTTGTTTATTTAGCATTCATCCATATTAGACAGTGTTGGCTTTTTAATGAGCACTCATTCTGATTTGTTTGTGTGGAGCTTATATAATGTGTGAAGCTTGCATTGTCCCATACTTTGCGCTGAATTTCCTCATAGGTGTTAGAATCACAACCCAAAACATTGGAAGCACCCTCGGAGAAGTAATCAACATCCAACAGTTGAAAGCTTCCAGTACCCATCACCAGGCAGGAGGGGAGATATAGGGGATGGGGGAGGTGACAGGATACTCCCCAAAGTGCAAGTGGTAAAATAGCTCTCTGGTTTCACTTTGAGTTCTTGAGAGAGGCTTGCTTTGACCCCAGAGTGTGTTATGGTGAGGGATGGGGAGAGAAATAGAAATTCCACCTGTTTCTAGGCTCTCCACAGCACCATCCTGATTTCAGAGGTAAGGGAGCATGTTGGGGGTAAAGTGAGGTGCCCTTCTCTGGTCTTAACATTAAAGCAATCCTGATAAGAGTTTTGGGTGAGGAATCTAACAAATGTAAACAAATTATGCATAGCTCTGATGAGGTAAAGAGGGACGGCCAATTCAGTAGATACTCTTGTAAGAGCAGCCACACTACAGTATAGGCAAAGGCTCCCAAAGGATAGCATGTTGGAGAAGAGGTGTGAGCCCTTCCCTGGTCTATCCCTTGGAATATTAAACCAAGCCTGAAAAGAGTTTTTGGTGAGGAATCTTAAAAGCTGATCTTACCTTTGAAGTAGGGTTTTTAGAGCCCCATTTGTTCTCCTCCAAGCCAGGCTATGACAAACACACATGGTACCCCAAGTTGAAAATATGTCAAGCTGAAAATGTTTCACGGATCTAGAAATGTTGGTTACTATCCTTCCTCTATCCATTACAGTATTATGCCTAAGAACTATCAGCATATTCTGGCTTTGGTGTTTGCGGTCAAGGAGATCAATGAGAACCCCATGATCTTGCCTAATATCACCTTGGGATTCCACATCTATGACAGTTACACCAGTAAAAGGATGACCTACCGGGCCATTCTGGACCTTATTTCCATGCATCCCAACTACAGGTGCGGAATTGAAAAAAATCTGATGACTGTCATTGGGGGTCTTGACTTTGGAACATCCCTCTACATAGCAACCATATTGGGTGTCTACAAGATTCCCCAGGTAAAATACTGATTTGGGCACTTCACAGCTCACTTATTATTATCTTTCCTAACCAGTGTTCGGCGTTTCCGTGCGCTGCTCTGGTTCGCCAGAAGCGGCTTAGTCCTGCTGGCCACATGACCCGGAAGCTGTACGCCGGCTCCCTTGGCCAATAAAGCGAGATGAGCACCGCAACCCCAGAGTAGGTCACGACTGGACCTAATGGTCAGGGGTCCCTTTACCCTTGACCTTTAACCAGTGTTCACCCAGTGTTTGCCATAGCTCAGTGCAGGCACCTCTCAGTTGGGCACCATTGCCATTCTATGAGAACAAGAGAGAAGTTCAAGGTGGGCTCCAGCACCTCTTTTTCTAGAAAAATTGCACTGGGTTTTAAAAACGTAATTTAATGGTAAGTCACTTTAGGAGGTTTTCTATATTTAAAGGATTTAGATATATAAAAATATAAATAGCTAAAATAATTTTTTTTTATAAGTTCACCTTGCATCTGAAAGAAAACATTATTGGTGCCTGGTGAGCTATAAATGGGTTGCTGTGACCAAAAGGTTGTCTCTGATGTCACCTTTTACACTTTCCATGAGGAGGAAAGTGAGAGAATAGCCTGTCGACATGCAGAGGGCCGGGAGGCCAGCTGGCTAGCCCCGGCTGGGCCGTCTCCTTCCAGTGGCCCGGTGCGAAGACCATCGCCTCTGCTCCGACATAAATCAGTGAGCCGGGCTTCACAGCCAGGGCACACAATCAGCAGATCGAACTGTGCACACGGAATAGGCGTGAGGCTTGTGGAAGCATTCTAAAACTAAAGATTTATTAATCATAAATCAGGACAAAAAAACATGTCATCTCTCTCTCACATGTTGTCTCAGAGAGAACAGCAAAAGCAAAAGCAATACACACAACGGAAGTTCCCAGCATACTGTGCTGGAATGTAAACAGACATGTGACACGTAACAATCCCATGTCTGTTCCTTAAGGTGGAATGGAAATGTCAACATAGCCTCTGCCAGGGCCGTCCCTACCATAGTATCAAGTAAATAACCATATCAGGCTGTTTGTGATGGTCTGGGATTCGGACTCGGAGGCTGAACCTGAGGAATCCCAGCCTGCACAGGATTCCCCGCCTCCAGAACCAGCTGAGCCAGGGCTGGGGCTTCAGCCTGATGCGTCCTCACCTGTGCTGGCTCCTCAGGTGCAGGCACCAGCTGAGTCTGCTCTGGCTCCTGAGGTGATGGAGGACCCATTGCCTGCAGGTGCTCCACTCTCAGCCCCGTCAGGGGAAGCTCTGGGTCCGGTAACCCTCCAGCCTCTCCTGAGCTGCAGAGGCTCAGGACAGAGAGGCGGAGGGAACTAAGTTCCCGCAGCAGGAGTGCTCACCTCCAGGCCAGGGGAGGCGAGTCACCTGTGGACTGGGGCCGCCATATGCCTCAGGGCAGATAAAAGCCAGCCAGCCCCAGTCCCAAGTTGTGGGACCAACATTGTTGGTAGCCAGTTCCTGCCTGAACCCTGTCCTGCTTGTCTGCCGGAGCTCCTGACCTCACCCGACTCCATGCCTTGGACCCAGCTTCAGCTTTGACGGACAGCCTCCATACTGCACCCTTGACCTCAGACTGGGACCTCGCCTCACGGTTAACCCATGGGACCAGCACACCGTTCTTCTTAAATCAGTGCTAGGGGCTGGGTTCCCACATGTGTGAGCTTTTAGGGGGCACATGGCAATGGTAGTTGGGGCAAGAGACATCCCTCTAGTTCTGTAGGCTGCAGTTCAGCCATGCAAACACCAGATGTTTCCAAATCAACCTCTCTCTATCCAGGCAAGCAAGAGGCAGTATTACTGTTCAGAGACACATACTAGCCAAGTATATGAACTGTGTGGCACAGGATGAGTGAGACATATGTCCTGGGGGCAAGCTCTGTAGAGTATCCCGAGGGCAACATAAGGACCTGGGTGTGAGGTTACGCATCCTTCTACAATCCAGTGTCTATGACTTTTTCTTGGATGTTGGAGCTATGTATGCAACACAGCCTCTCCTGGTTCCTATCTTGGGAAATGCAGTTTTCTCTCCCACTCTTTTTGACAGAACAGACACCGCATATGAGTTCCTTCTACTACATCCATGAACCAATTTATATTTCTTCATTTCCTTTCAGCTCAGTTATGGCTCCTTTGCTCCACAGAACACGGATCAAAGCCAATCCACTCCCTTCTACCGGATGGTGCCCAGCGATGACCATCAGTACACTGGGATTGTTGAGTTACTTCTCCACTTTTCATGGACATGGGTCGGATTACTTGCTGGCAATAATGACAGCGGAGAGAAGTGTATGCAGACTCTGCAACCTCTGCTTTCCAGGAAGCATATTTGCTCGGCCTTCTTAGAGAGAACTCCCCAAACTAGTTATGAATATAATAACATTCATTTACTGTATCTCCAAGTGAATCAAGTGATTGTGAAGAGCAAAGCCAGTGCTGTTATTTTCTGCGGGAATTCTGCATCCATACTTGCGTTACAACCAATGTTAGCACAATGTGAAAGGGAAAATGTGGCTGGGACTCCTATGAGGAAAGTGTGGATTCTGACTGCTCAGCTTGATTTCATAGGAACCACTTATCCAACAAGATGGGATATGCAAGTCTTCCAAGGTTCCATCTCCTTTACAGTTCATTCAAACGAGGTGCAAAGATTCAGAGACTTTCTTCAGCTCCTAAACCCCTTTGAGGAAAATGGAGACGACTTTCTCAAGCAGTTTTGGACCCTGGTTTTTCGCTGTTTATTTCCAAACTCCAACACAGAGGAGAAGCCCAGTGGAAGCTGCACCGGAGATGAGAAGCTGGAGGATCTCCCTTCATCTGATTTTGAGATGAGCATGACTGGCCACAGCTACAGTGTCTATAATGCTGTCTATGCCATGGCACATGCTTTACATAACACATTCTTGCACAGGTCCAAACAGAGGGCAGCGATGGAAGGAGAGATGCAGGAGCTACCAAAACTGCAAGCTTGGCAGGTACTGGTTACCATTTGACATGGGCAGTATCATGATGTCCAGGGGTATGTGCAACAGTGCCCTGAAAATTAGTATCGATAACCATACAGCATTTCTCTCATTCAACTTCAGTCTCTTCTATTATTATTTCCTTCCTTCTGTGCAATAAACGCTCAGTGTGGCTCTTTTGCATTTTCCCTATAGAGAATTTGAGAAATAAATTTGATGGTTTTTCCAAGACACAATATATTGGAAGTGACTGTCTAAGTCAGGCTTCCTCAACCTTGGCCCTCCATATGTTTTTGGCCTAGAACTCCCATGATCCCTAGCTAGCAGGACCAGTGGTCAGGGATGATGGGAACTGTAGTCTCAAAACATCTGGAGGGTCGAGGTTGTGGGCGAGATCCCATCTCTCCTCATTGCCCATGGTGTCTGCCAGAACTGCAAAGCCATTGCAGACAGGGATTTGAAAAGGGAAGATATCATTTGCCAGGAAATAGACCCCATTCTCTGATCGTTTATGTAGGAATTAAACACTAGTTCCTATTTACAGAGTTATGTGGAAGAGAGCTTGGGTTGTTTGGCCCTTTAAGTAGTTCCTTTTCCCCTCCTATAAAAACTATGCAATTGACTCTCTTTTACATTTTAAACAGAGAATAACTTTTATTCAGTGTACTTGCACGGGTTAGATTAAATATTCCAAACAGGCAGGTGTTCCTTATGTTACCAATACACTTTACATAGATTTGAACCTAAGACAAAAACTGCTACAGACTGACTAACTCTGAGACAGGAAGCAGCATAACAGAACATAACTGCTGCTCTGTTAAGACTGTTCATAACTGCCATAATTGTACCAACTGAAAAAAGTGCCTCCTGCAAAGGACATCACAGAATTCTCTAGCCCTTGTGAGCATTAAGCCTTTCCTTAGCATTTTGGATGCTTTCATCTCACAGTTTAGGGGCTGGGGGAGTGAGGTCCTCCATTGCTCTTTCCCTTTTACAAGCTCTCATCCCCTTACGCTGCTATTGGGGACCTTTAAGACACTTATTGGTTAGTTGGAAAAGTCCTACCAAGCCAGCAATTCCGGTGGCTTCTCCAATTGCTCTGTGGTTCTTCCGACCAGGGAGAGGGGAGGAAGGGGAGAGTTTTAGCCACCAGTGTTTCTTGTAGTGAAGTGGGCAACAATGAATTCAGTGCCTTTGATGATGAATTTGTTGTGCAAGATGGTCCAGAGTGGAATGGCAAGATATTATTGAGACTTTTGGGGGCTACTGCATCTGTAATCAAAAGCTTCCACCCTGTGGCTTCAGCCCTTGTAATTGTTTCTTGTTCAGCAGGGAACTATGTGCTTTAGCTTATTTAAAAGGTCTAGAAACCACCCTTCAAAAGATTTAAAGCTCTACTCCCAGCTTTAAAATCCCTGTCATTTACAGGAAGACTCTGCCCCAAACTGAGTTCAGTAAGGAGTGACATTCGGGCTTTAATTCATTGCTCCTTTGTTTCCCTTTCAATGCAGCTTCACCCCTTTCTTAGGAGTGTCTCATTTAACAACAGTGCTGGAGAAAAAGTATCTTTTGGTGAAAACAGGGAATTAGAAACAGGATTTGATATTACGAACTTGGTCACTTTCCCAAATAACTCCTATGTGAAAATCAAGGTTGGGAGGATAGATCTGGAGGCTCCCCCAGGAAAGCAATTTTCCATTCATGAGGACAAAATGGTGTGGCATAAAAGTTTTCTCCAGGTGAGGAATGACAGCAATGTCCATGAGATGTGGGTAAACAAAATATTATTGCATTGCAGATCATGAGTCAAGTGTGTTCCTATCAAAGTGTGGTACATATCTTGAAACACATGTGGAACATGGAATCCTTATTTTGCTTTTTTATTTTTTAAGGACCCGTTACCCAGTATGTTTTCCAGGTCTTCATACTACACCCCTGATTGCTCCTTGTCTTTGGCAGGAAGACATGAAGGAAGCTTTTAAAAGGAGTCAGCTGAAGCCTCTTTTCAGTTGGGAAATGTGATAATAACACAATGTTCCAAATCCCAGAGAGGCTTCTAAGCATGTTCAGATATGTGTGTTAGACTGTTCCTTACACCCCCCTACTCAGCACAGGAAGATCAGAGGGGGAACAAGTACACCAAGGATGTCTCTGGACATTGGGTGCAGGGCTGGTGAATATTCACCCACTCTTCAATTTGAGCCCCTGTGCATTTTCTGTAGTGCCTGAAGGAGGCTCAAAAGAAAGCCATTTTAAGCACCTCTCCACCCCCCAGTTGTGGGTAGTGGTATTTTTCACCCTGAATTGGTTCTGAGGAGGTCATTCGCACCTCTTAGTCAATACTAAAACCCCACTGCGCATACAATACTGAGAATGCTTGGAATGACATGCGTTCCTAATTGTAGCTGAGATAATGGGAGCCAAAGAGCCTATACATCTATATGTGCTAAACTGTTCCCATGCTTATTCCAATGCACAGGTTCCACCCCATTCTGTGTGTAGCCCAAGTTGCCCTCCTGGATCCAGAAAGAAAAAGAAGGAGGGGGAGAAATTCTGCTGCTATGATTGTGCTCCATGTCCCGAAGGAAGGATTGCTTCCCAGAAGGGTAAGAGACACAACTCTTCCCCCTTCCCCCCCTCACACACTGCAGTGGCCAGGCCATCCCGATCCAAATATCTCCACAGTTGACATACCAGATGAAGATCCAATACTTAAATTACACATAATATATTCATTCCATAAATCATAAATACATTTATTTTAGGCTCTGCCAAGCCTTGAACTTCCTTCCACTCCTTTGGTAAGTATCAAATAGACTTTATATTCACGTATTTTATCTCTTTTACATAATAACCTTTTACTGTTAGAGTTATTCCAATCCCGCCAGTGTCGTTTAAAGTTTAGTCCCAATATATATCCAATATTTAATCCAATTATCATGAAATTTCTGTTCATCTTGATCTCTTATTCTTCCTGTTATTCTAGCGAGCTCGGCATAATTTGTTAATTTAATCTGCCAATCACTTATATTAGGTATGGCGTCCGTTTTCCAATTTTGTGCTAACATGATTCTTGCGGCTGTTGTGGCATATAAAAATAATACCTTATCTTCTTTTTTGATTTCTTTACCTGTCATTCCTAGCAGAAAGGCTTCGGGTTTTTTGGGAAACGTGTATTTAAAAATTTTTTTAAGCTCGTTATAAATCGATTCCCAAAAGCCTTTCACTTTGCTGCATAACCACCACATATGGTAGAAGTCACTATCTACTTCTCCACATTTCCAACATCTTTTGTTCTTTAACCTATAGATCTTGGCCAGTTTCACTGGTGTGAGGTACCACCTAAATATCATTTTCCACATATTTTCCCTTAATGCCATACATGCCGTGAACTTCATGTTAATATTCCATAATTCTAGCCATCTCTCAAAATCGATATTATAGCCGATGTCTATTGCCCACTTAGTCATAACCTCCTTCACCTCTTCGTCTTTTGTATACCACTCCAATAAAATATCGTATATTCTAGACAGTATTTTGTTCTTTCCTTCAACAACTTCCACATTGAATTTGGATTTTTTATCTTCGAATCCTATTTTCTTTTTATCTTCTTTTAACAGGTCATTTACCTGGTGGTATTGCAGCCACCCAGTAAATGAGTTTTTAATCTCTTCATAGGGTCTAAGTTTTATACCTTGATCCGTTTTCCTAGTCAGTTCTTCATAGGTAGGATTCTTCCCTTCCATATTAACTTTTTGACCGTTAACAACACTGTTTGTGAGATACACCAGGGTGTCTTCCTTTCCAGTAGGTTTTTATTTCTTTCCCATACTTGGAATATTGGCCCTCTAAAAATATGGTTTAAAAAGCCTCTATGTACTTTCACCTTTTCATACCACAGGTACGAGTGCCACCCGTACCTGTTATCGAAGCCTTCAAGATCCAAGATGTCTCTGTTTTCTAGTGTTATCCAGTCTTTCAACCACGATAAACACGCCACCTCATAGTATAAACATAAGTCTGGAAGGGAGAAGCCCCCTCTTTCTTTTTTATCTACCAGTATTTTCATTTTTATTCGCGGTCTTTTTCCCTGCCAGATGTATCTCGCCAAGGCTCTTTGCCATTCTTTACATTGCTTTAAACCTTTAAGTACCGGGATGGTTTGAAATAAAAATAACATTCTAGGCAAAACGTTCATTTTAATAACCGCTATCCTCCCCAAAAAAGATAATCTCATTCTCTCCCAGATTTCTAAGTCTTTCTTAATGTTCTTCCAGGTGACCTCATAGTTATCCTTATATAGATTGATGTTCTTAGCCGTAATCCAGACTCCAAGGTACTTCGCCTTCTTTGCCATCATAATTCCGGTTTTTTGTTCTAGGTCTACTATATCTTCTTTAGATACATTTTTAGTCAGTATTTTAGTCTTATTCTTATTGACCTTAAAGCCTGCCACAGCACCAAACTCTTCAATTTTTTGAAGGGCTTCTTTTACACTGTGCTTTGGATCTTCTAATGTTAGAGCAATGTCATCCGCAAAAGCTTTAATTTTGTGTTCCTTAGTTCCTACCCTGACTCCTTTAACCTCTGCTGTATCCCTCAGCCTCTTAGTAAGTACTTCCAATACTAAGATAAATAATAGGGGGGACAGAGGGCAGCCTTGCCTTGTCCCTTTAGAAATATCAAAAAATTCTGATGTAGTATTATTTATTATAAGTTTTGCCTTTGCTCATGATAGATAGCCTCTATACCTTTTCTGAATCTTTCTCCCATCCCCATCCTTTTCAAATTTTCCATCAGAAAGCGCCAAGAGACATTATTGAATGCCTTCTCCGCATCGATAAATATCAAGGCCGCCTGTTTATCTATTCTAGTTTCCAGGTATTGAATAATATCTATCACATTTCTTACGTTATCCTTTAGTTGTCTTCCTGGTAGGAAGCCCGTTTGATCTTTATGAATTCTATTTTTTAATACCCTTTTTAGTCTTTCTGCCATTATATCCGCAAACAGTTTATAATCGTTATTTAATAACGAAATCGGCCTATAGTTCTTCACCTCTAAGGCATCCACATCTTTTTTAGGTATTAAAGTAATATATGCTTCCTTCCAGGTATTCGGAATCCTTCCCTCTTTTAAAATATTATTCATCACTTCACATAGAATTGGGCATAATTGCTCAATGTTTTATAGTACTTGGCTGGTAGGCCATCCGGCCCCGGCGCTTTCCCAATTTTCATCTTTTTTATTGCCTTCCTTATCTCATCTTCTGTAATCCTCTGGTCTAATAACTCTTTCTTTTCTATGGCAATCTGTTGTATCTGGTTTGTTGGGAAATATCTAAGATATTTCCGATTTCATCCTAAGAGGTCCATATTGGAGGAATTTGTAGTTGCTCTTTAAGACATGATGAGTCTGCATCTAATCTTTTCTTTTTTACCTCAGACATGAATGACTGTATTGGATGCTCAGAAGATCACTATCCAAACAAGGACCAAACACAATGCATTCCAAAGACAATAAGCTTCCTGACTTTTGGAGAACCACTCGGGATGTCCATAGCATTTCTCTCTCTCCTTTTCTTTCTGCTCACTCTTTTGGTCCTAGTAATCTTTGCTAAGCATCAAGACACACCCCTCGTCAGGGCCAACAATCGAGATCTGACCTACACTCTCCTCACGTCTCTCCTCCTTTGCTTTCTCTGCCCCTTCATCTTCCTCAGCCAACCAGAACGAGTGAGCTGCCTGCTCCGACAAATGACTTTTGGTGTCGTTTTCACTGTGACAGTTTCTTGTGTGTTGGCTAAAACCGTCACCGTTGTTTTGGCCTTTGTGGCCACCAAACCAGGTTCCAGAATGAGGAAATGGGTAGGGAAAAGAGTGGCAAGTGCCTTTGTGTTGACTTGTACTATTATCCAAGCTGGTATTTGCACTGTGTGGCTGGGAACCTCTCCCCCATTTCCCCATTTTGACAAGCATTATGTGACGGGAGAAATCATTCTAGGCTGCAACGAAGGGTCAGTTGCCCTGTTTTACTGTGTCCTGGGCTACATGGGCTTTTTGGCCATTCTCAGCTTTGTTGTGGCCTTTTTTGCCAGGAAACTGCCTGACAGCTTTAATGAGGCCAAATTCATCACCTTCAGCATGTTGCTGTTTTGTAGTGTTTGGATCTCCTTTGTTCCAGTCTACCTGAGCTCCAAGGGGAAACACATGGTGGCTGTGGAGATCTTCTCCATCTTGGCCTCCAGTGCTGGCTTACTGGGCTCCATCTTTGGCCCCAAATGCTACATTATTATGCTGAGGCGTGACCTAAACATCAGAGAGCAATTAATGAGAAACTGAATTAGAGATTTTTTTTTTTTTAGAGGCAGGGAATTTAAAACCAACCAACCAAGCAACCCAGCAACAAACCAACTGACAAACCAACCCATTTTCTTGCCTTTCTTGATGGTTCCCCAGGTTTGTTGTGTCGTGGTTGATACTTCACAAATGGTACCGGAACATTGTTGTCCTTTCACAGACCATCTCAGACTGCAGTTTTACAATTAATTGGCAATAATATCCATGGAAGTTACTGCAGTTCACTACATGTATATGGGATTGCAGTTTTAATAAAATATTCTAGTATACATTGTACACACAATATTTACTCATGACATATTTGTATTACCCAACATTTAGCAAGAGGAGATTTATTTTGAAGGGACATTCACAAATGTTTGTTCTATTTCCAAATCCTTTTCCTCAGCCATGAGGCCAGGTCACTATGACAGCATAAAGACATTGTATGAGCTATATGAAAATGCTATCAATAAGATACAACACATACATACCCCTTTTGTTTTATTTAACCTATTTTACCAAATTTTAGTCTTATAATATATCTAGTCATATGGTGTACGCGTGATAAGAAATCAAAGGACTTGAGATCAACATGGTTTGATCCACCGTGTGTCCAGAATATTTGTAATCACCATGGAATTTCCTTTTCCAAATACACAGAGGTATTTGTTAAATCACAACAATATATGCTGCATTCATGTTCCAAGTCTGCACTGATGCATGGGCATCAGTGGGGGGGGGGGCAGGACTTTTGTTAGGAGGGCAGAACCGACATGATTGGTCAGTTCGTTAAGTATTTCTGTTGTTTTCCTTGATCTTTTGGGTATACCCATGCACTGATGCTGCATAATGTTCTCTCTCTCTCTCTCTCTCTCTCTCTCTCTCTCTCTCTCTCCTTTCTGATTTTACTTCTGTAAATTCCCCCCGTTTTCTTATAATTTTAATTTTAAAATAAAAGTTATATAAAAAAATTAAAACGTGTGAACATGAACGGACAGCAGTTGAATACTCTCTCTCTCTCTCTCTCTCTCTCTCTCTCTCTCTCTCTCACACACACACACACACATTATGGAGTCTTTTTTCTGTTACTGTCAGTGCTCTATCCTGTTTTGAGCCTTGTAAATGGTGACTATTCCTCCTCCTGTAGTGCAGGAGCAACATCTTAGCAATCACACCTTTTTGGGAGACACATCTAAACTTCTATGTAGATGAATGTTAACAATCTATATATTAGCAGTCAATAGGGCTGGGGAGAAATTCTATTCACAATCTATCGTATTGGCATTGCCCAAACAAGGTGGGGACTGAAACAGAGCGATCCTTCAAAATTCACACTTATCTAAATCTGCAATTCCATTCCCCAACCACGCCATGTTTACAAAAATGTGTAGATTAGGGGGAAACATGCATAAAAATGACTGCAAGTGAAAATAACATATTAAAGCCATAATATTATGAGAAATAGGGAGGCGGGTGGCGCTGTGGGTTAAACCATATAGCCTAGGACTTGCCGATCAGAAGGTCAGCAGTTTGAATCCCCACCATGGGGTGAGCTCCCGTTGCTCAGTCCCAGCTCCTGCCAACCTAGCAGTTTGAAAGCATGTCAAAGTGCAAGTAGATAAATAGATACCGCTCCAACGGGAAAGTAAATGGCGTTTCCGTGCACTGCTCTGGTTCGCCAGAAGCCGCTTAGTCATGCTGGCCACATGACCCAGAAGCTGTACGCCGGCTCCCTCGGCCAATAAAGCGAGATGAGCGCCGCAACCCCAGAGTCAGTCACGACTGGACCTAATGGTCAGGGGTCCCTTTACCTTTACCTATTATGAGAAATTGCTTGAAAAACTGTGTATATTAGTCGAAACTGCATACAATAATGTGCTTATTGTGGGAATTAGACTCTAGTTTCCATTTGCAGAGTTTATGTAAGACGTGCCTGAGTCATTTGACCCTTTAATTACCGTACTTTTCCGTGCATAAGATGAGGGGTTTTTTACTCAAAAATAAGGTTAAAAATCAGGGGACATCTTATACACGGACAGTGCATATACAGGACGGGTGATTGGTTGCAGCTGCGAGCAGGAGTTTGTCAGTGGTGATTGGGTGGGTGATTGGTGGCTGGTGCAAGGGCTGCTTAGGATTGGCTGATGGTCCGGTGATTGGGTAGATGATTGGTGGTTGTGTGAAGGGCTGTGGAGGATTGGCTGCCGCTGTGGCAATTGTGTGTGTGTTCGGCTGCCACTGGCTGCGAGCGGGCAGACGCTTGTTTTATTCTGCATTGTGTGCGATTGGCAGCATGGGGTGAGTGATTTTCGGGGCATTCCCCTCCAAAAAACAGCTCAACAACTCTGGGCCATCTCCCTCCATTTTCTTAATTTGGGGTCCCCAAAATTAGGGGGTGTCTTATACACGGGTGCGTCTTATACATGGGAAAATACAGTAGTTCTCTTTTCCCAAGCCACCCTATATTAAAGTTTAAAGAACAAAAAACTTTTACTTAGTGTGCTTGCAGTTGCAGATTAAATATACAATGCAGGTTGGTGATACTTAAATTGCTATAACATCTTACATAGATTTGTATCCAAGACTGACTAACATTTACAGATTGATTAATATTCTGAGGCAGAAAGCAGTACAACGGTCCATACCTGCTGTTCTAACTGTTAAGGCTGTTCACTAACTTCCATAAGTGTTCCAACTGAAAATAACTGCTACAGAGTTTATGACATCACAGAGTTCTACAGCTTTTGCAGTCAACCCTTTAAATATGCATCTTGGGTGCTAACATCCCACATTTATCAGAAGTTCACACTAAAATGATGGGGGGGGATCATGATTTTTTTAAAAATAAAAATGGTAGATCTCTACAAAAATGTGGAGAACTGAATTTAAGATGCGAAATATGAGAAACCAAGTGAACTGAAATTGAAATATCCTTCCATCTTTGGTAGTCTTTCAGATTTTTTATTTCTTTATCTTATTTATATCGTAACTTTGAACAAGCATTTCTGCTTTAAAAGCAGACTGACTCACTGATCTTTCCTTACTCCTTGTAGTTTACTCTGTGCGTACTTTTGTGGCCCCATGAAGTGACCAAAATGGCTTTTGATGAAACATCACAAACAAGTTTTCCTCCTTTCTTGTTGGCAATAAAGTCACCCAGTTATTATCTCATCTATAATTATTACACTGTCATGACTGTGGATAAGATCCCTATAGATCTCTAGAGAATACCAGTCAAAGTCTAAAAATGGGTATAAAAAAATCCCTTCCTGCCATTTCAAGCAAGGGATAGGGCAGAGGTAGAGGCTGGATTTCCACTTTTCTCTGGGAGAGTTGAACTCTGTTGAAGAGTTCTGAAGCTAATGATCATGTTGTAGATGATCTGACATAAGTGAGATTAAGGTAGTCTGACTAGAAATTTTTTTTTGCCTCAGTATGCTGGTGTTTATTGTGTCCATTCTCTTCCTTTTGCCTCATATGGTGTGCAAACACACCACTAGTTGTACTCTCAACTATCTGCTCAGGATCCCACATGAATACTACCAGCCTGGGGACCTCATCGTTGGTGCTCTTGCATCTCACATCTTTGTTGCTCTGAACAAAGAAGACTTCCGTGGAATCTTAACTACCCATCAGCTCCCTAATCTCTTGTAAGGACTCCGTACATCAAGTAGCCATAGGATTCTGACTCATTTCCCAATCCCATCCATGGTCACTCAGAAGCAAGTCCCAGGGATTTCAGCGGGATTACTTTCAGGCAGAGGTGGGGAAGACATCTGCAAAACTAAGGCGTAAGCGTGGAGCGAGGGAGATGGAGAACAAACAGGCAAAAGTGTTCAGACAAAAGGCAAATAAGGGGGCCAGGAGAAAACTGTTTAAAAGTATTCCTCGTGTGGAGAAAGTTAATCTGTCTCTGATAATATTAGAACTTGGGTCCTCCTATGTAGAATAATGGTAGATTCAGGAAGGACAAAAGAATGTTGTTCACACAACATATAGTAAAACGATGGAATTTGTTCCCATAAGATGTAGTGATGGGCAAAAAAATTGGATGGCTTTAAATGAGGATTAGACATATTAGAGGGACACGGGTGGCACTGTGGTCTAAACCACTGAGCCTCTTGAACTTGCCGATCAGAAGGTCGGCGGTTCAAGTCCCCACGACGGGGTGAGCTCCCGTTGCTCTGTCCCAGCTCCTGCCAACCTAGCAGTTCAAAAGCACGCCAGTGCAAGTAGATAAATAGGTACCACTGTGGCGGGAAGGTAAACGGCATTTCCGTGCGCTCTGGCTTCTGTCACAGTGTACCATTGTGCCAGAAGCGGTTTAGTCATGCTGGCCACATGACCCAGAAAGCTGTCTGCGGACAAATGGCAGCTCCCTTGGCCTGAAAAGTGAGAGGAGCGCCACAACCCCATAGTCACCTTTGACTTAACCGTCCAGGGGTCCTTTATCTTTTACCGGGGACATATTTGTGGAGGATATAGCTAGCAATGTAAGAATATCCTGCTGGATCAGGCCTATGGCTCATGTAAATCCAGCATCCTGTTTTCCCAGTGGGAACCAACCAGATGCCTGTTGGAAACCAGGGAGCACACGAGTGTTTTCCCCCTCCTGTGGTTTCCAGCAACTGCCATTCAGAAAAGCTAATAATGGCTACTATCCATTATGGCTGTTTTGCCTCTGCTTTTCAAGGCAGTATGTCTATGCCTCTGCAATTGGGGAGAACACTGTTGCCCCTCAGGTCTTGCAAGCAGGCTTCCTAGAGGCATCTGGTTTGCCATTGACAGGACAGGATGCTGAAGTCAATGGGCCTTTGACCTGATTCAGCAGGACTCTTCTCAGCTCCGTGTTGTCTGGAAGCCCTAACCATCTTCACAGGGTTTCAGGGGGGATTGGAAAGAGAAGAGAAAATCAACCACTCTGTGCTCTTCTTTCAGCACCTCTGCAATGGTGTCCCCTTAATTTATTTTCCCCCACCCCTAAATATTTTATTAAAGTTTTCACAATAATAAAATATTAATAAACTTTTATTTATATTCCGCCCTCCCCAGCCGAAGCTGGGCTCAGAGCGGCCAACAACAGTAAACTAATACAGCATATAAAATATAGTAAAATGCTATCTTGAACAAACAGAAATCAAAAGACAAAAAGGCAAGAGAAAAGAATAGAGAAAGAGTAAAAAGAAGAAGAAGAGAGGAAGCAGAGAGATAAGGAACATTAAGAATAACACCATTAATAATCACAAAATTCCCCAGCTCTCACCTGAAGAATCTTCCCCCTTCCTCAGCCCTACACCCTGAGGACAACTCACTGACCTTTCTTGATTTAAGAGTGAGTGAATGGGATAAAACATTGTTGATGAGGTGTGGGGTCCTTCTCTGTTTTGAATATTGAACTGCGCCTCAGAATTGTTCAAGGTGAGGAGTCTTAAAAGCTCACCTCTCCATTGAGGTGGTAAACTAACAGCCTGAGGCTAGGAGAAACTGCCGGCTTGAGAAGGTTGAGGACGACTCACTTAAGGTAGCCTACCCATTTCTCTTCGTTTCAATATTGCTTTGAACCAATGAAAAAAGCTGCCTCTGTTGAGAAAGGTTTTGCATATGTCGGTTTGTGTTTTCTGTTTTGGGACTTAACTATCAGTTAGGAGAAATGATGAGGGAGGTGTAAGGCAAAGACCAGAGAAAGCTGAGGTGAATGTGGACAGCCAAGGCCTGAATATTAAGCTGCTTAACCCCAGCGTGTTGACAATATTTTGTGTTGAAGATCAGAACGAGTGAGCCGGAGGCTATGGTCAGTTAAGACGCTGTCTAGTTCTTACCAGGAGGATTAACTGGAGCAGTTTGTGGGTGAATTTGGCAGGGATGGAGGTTTAGAGAATTTGGTCTGAGATAGAAGCCTTTCAGAGGCTAACGCCAATAAGAGCATCACTTGAGTCTTTGGAAAGTGTCTTCAGAAAGTCTCCAAAAGAAATGCAAAAGAAATAAAGTTGAGTCTTTAGAAAGTCTCCAAAAGAAATGCATAATTAGTGAAGTAAAATACCAAACTGCATTATATTATGGGAAATCACTTTACAAAAATGGGTACATTAGGTAAATTGCATACAAACATGGATATTAGGAGACGTTCATATGAAAATGCTGGTGAATTTTCGTGACTTTTTTAAAAAAAATGCCAACTGATGTGGAAATGTGGAGAACTCAACTTTAGATTGGAAAAATGGAGAAATTGAGAGCAGCCAAAACTGAGAGATGTGCCCATTGGTATACCTGAAGTACAAAATAACATTTTAATAAATAATATTAGTTAAAATTGGTTCTCTCTCCATTGCTGGTATCAATGCCATGCCCAGGTTTGCCATGCCAAACTTCTGGGAGGCTTGAAAGAATTCTTAGGGAAATGGGAGGCAGCGGAAAAGGGTCACATTTAAGACTTCTTGTGGCTCAGAGTTCCATAGACTTTGAAATATGAAGATTAAAGAAGCACAAACATCCAAACTTGTGCTTATGTACAATGGGACTGAAGGAGCTGTTTCCCTATGGCGGTGGCAGCGAAGGGAATATTTCCCTACAGTTTCCTAGGTTATCAATATAATTTTATGGGAAAAGGGTGTCATCCTATTCAGCAGATATTCTTGGAAGAGCAGCAGAATAGTGCGAAAATACTCTCACGAAGCATAGTGTATCCCTGATGAGGGATACACCAGAACATTCTCATTGCAGTGTTGTGTCAAAGAACTACCAGCACCTTCTGGCCTTGGTGTTTGCTGTCAAGGAGATAAATGAGAATCCCAACATCTTGCCTAATATCACATTGGGATTCCACATCTATGACAGTTACTTCAATCGAAGGATGACTTACCAGGCCACTCTGGGCCTTCCTTCCGCACACATACCCAACTACAAGTGTGACATCCAGAAAAATCTGATGGCAGTGATTGGAGGGCTTGACTTTGATACCTCCCTCGACATGGCAACCATCTTGGACATCTACAAGATTCCCCAGGTAAGATACTGACTTGGGGGTATCACAACTGTTTCACCATTATTATCTTTTCCTCCTCAAAAGGTTTTGTACAGCTGGGAGAAATATGTGACTGGTGTGAAAGGATAATCCCAGAACGTGGTCCTATCTGGTTTGTTTATTCCTGAGGTTGCCTTGGTTTTGACCTGGGGTGTGTGTGCTGTGGGTGGGTCCTCGATGCATTGCAAATTTGGGAGAAGTGTGAATTTCAAAGGATAGCTGTGTATATCAGTTTACACATTGTTTGGGAAATGTAACCTAGTTAGATTTGCCTTTTCATATGAACTGAATAAAAAAAAAAATCCCCAACCTTACGTTGAGAATTTCCATTCCACCTTAAGGAGCAGATGTGTGGAACTGTTGCATGTCACATGTCTGTTTACATTCCAGCACAGCTTGCTGGGAACTTCCGCTGTGTGTATTGCTTTTGCTTTGCTCTGTCTCTCTGAGAAGACGGAGAGAGAGATGACATGTTTCTTTGTCCTGATTTATGATGAATAAATCTGTAGTTATAGTATGCTTTCACAAGCCTCACGCCTATTCTCTGTGTGCAGTTCGATCTACTGATAGTGTGCCCTGGCTTTGAAGCCCGGGTCGCTGATTTACATCGGAGCAGAGGTGATGGTCTTTGCAGCTGGACGGCTGGAAGGAGACAGCCCAGCTGGGGCTAGCCAGCTGGCCTTACGGCCCTCGGCATGTTGACACCTTATTGCTGCCACTGCAACTCCAGATGTACATACCAGTTTCTTTTACTAGTTAAGGAATGTGCCCCTTCTTTTCCTTTTAGCTCACTTATGGCTCCTTTGCTCCAGAGGCTCCTGGTCAAAGCCAATCCACTTCCTTCTACTGGATGGTGCCCAATGAAGCCCACCAGTGCACTGGGATTATTGAGTTACTTCTCCACTTTGGTTGGACCTGGGTTGGGTTGCTTGCTGGAGATAATGAGAGTGGAGAAAGATTTGTGCAGACCCTGCAACATCTGTTTTCCCAGAAAGGTATTTGCTTGGCCTTCTCAGAGAGAACTCAGAAAACTAGACATTTTGACGATTATTTTAACATGCACCACCACTGGATCCGACTCTATCAAGTGATTATGGAAAGTAAAGCCAAGGTTGTCATTGTGTATGGAGAAACAAAGTCCATGCTTGACTTTCGAACCATGGTAGCACTAGGTGAAATGGAAGATGTGAAAAGGACACCGGAAGGTAAAGTGTGGATTCTGACTGCACAGCTGGATTTAACAGCATTGAACTTCCAACTAATGTGGGACATGGAAGTCTTCCACGGTTCCCTCTCCTTTGCTGTTCATTCAAATGAGGTACAAGGATTCAAAAGCTTTCTTCTGCTCCAGAATCCTTTAGAGGCAAATGGAAATGGCTTTCTCAGGGAGTTCTGGGAAGAGGTATTTTTCTGTTTATTTCCAGGTTTTAATACAGAGGAGAAGGCCAGTGAAGCTTGCACTGGAGAGGAGAAGCTGGAAGATCTCCCTTCGTCTGGCTTTGAGATGAGCATGACTGGCCACAGCTACAGTCTCTATAATGCTGTCTATGCCATAGCACATGCTCTACATGCCATGTTCTTGTCCAGGACCAAATACAGGGGAGTGATAGAAGGAGGGGTGCAGGAGCTTCAGAAGCTGCAGTCTTGGCAGGTAATGCCTTTGATGAACTACAATTTGTTTGACATGAGCAGGAAAATTACACCCAGCAGTGTGTAAAACATGCTCTGGAAATCACTGTTGATTATGATCCAGCACTTTTGTCGGTCAACTCCTTTCTGATTCCCTTCATTATTCAGTGCAACAAATGCTCATTTTAGCTCTGGTGCATTTTCTTCATAGATTCCAAATCAGCTTCCAAACTAACCATTTATTCTGCAATTGATATCCTTTGTTCACTCATTGTTTCCCTACACAATCTTTGTGTTCATGTCTGCTGCCTTCCTGTTTGTGTGTGGCGTCTCATTTTTTTTGTAGTGCAATTTATTAAGACAACCACCACAACAACAACAACATAAAATGTGCCGCCCATCTGACTGGGAGGCTTGCAGCAAATTATAAAACCAAAGTAGTGCTAGAGTATTTGTTCAGGAATGTAAGCTTTTATTTGGACTTTGGGAGCTATTGTGTCTTTAACTAAAAGCGTCAACCTTCTGACTCTTGGCCTTGTAATAGCTTCCTATTCTACGGGACCATTTATTTAATCTTATTTATTAAAGATTTTCTTGGTTTACAAAAGTATGTGCAATGTCTCTCTCTGTCTTTTCAAGCAACATTTTTTTTACAGTTTCATTTGTTTTTTATCAGTTTCATTTGCTGAGACATTAGGAAGAAAAGGGGGAAAGAGGTGAAGGGGGGAAAGGTGAGTGGGGGTGGGGTCGGGTGGCGATGTTTTTATTTTACTTAATATATGTGGGGTTTTGTGTCAGCATCGTTTGTGCAGGCTCTCTGCTATTCACTTGTGTTTCTTTGGTGGTGAGAGAGGTTGGGGTTGGCCTAGGGTGCAGTTGTTTGTTTGTGGTTGGCTGTGGTGAACTTTGTTTTCATGTGTGAGTGGGGTGGGTGGGTGTTTTGGATCAGGTTAGCCATATTGATTTGTATGCCGTTGGTGGATTTTTGTCATTGTCTTGTTGGGCTGTGTATGTGATAAACGCGAAGCCATACCGGGGTGAAGGCGTCTTCTTCTATTTGTCCCCATGTCAGTTTCAGTTTATTGGTTAACTTTTCTAGTAAGGCTGTTTCCCATACTATTTGGTACCATTGGTCCATGCTTACTCCTGACAGGTCTCTCCAATGTCTGGTTATGATGTTTCTGGCTGTTGAAAGTAGGTGGGTTATGAGTTCTTTGTGTCAGTCAGTCAGTTTTATTGCACATAGCCAAAGGCTGCCGCAATGTACACAGAATCATTCAACAATTAAAAGAAAATACACTGGATTAATACAAAAAACTTAAAACATTTATATTATCAAGATATTACCTACTCTAAACAGAGCTATAAAAGTACCTTAATATACAGGGTAAGACATTAAATAATAAAATTTATAGGCTAAAATCATCACATGACCACTAATATATTAAAAAAATAATGTTAATTAATACAATGTGCAATTATATTTGGAGTTTGGTAATAAAGATAGAATATAGCTTGATGTAGATAGGGTCAAATAAATTCATCTCCTTTACAGTTGGTGGTTATCTTGGCTATATAATTTGAGTTCTTTGTGGTGTAAATGGGCATTATTGTCTTGGAAGATGTTTAGTAAGGCCAATTCTGGGGTGATTTCCAATACTTGCTTAGTTATTTTACATATTTCTCATATGGCTGTTTATTTAATCTTATTTAAAAGATGTATTAAGCAGATGTTGGATGGCCACCTGCCATGGATGCTTTGGTTGAGATTCCTGCATTGCAGGGGGTTGGACTAGATGACCCTCGGGTCCTTTCCAACTCTATGATTCTAATAGTAATTTGACAGAATTCTTTCTGCTTTTCTTTCAGTGCAGCTTCACCCCTTCCTAAAGAGGGTCTCATTTAACAACAGTGCTGGAGAAACAGTTTCTTTTGGTGAGAACAGGGAAGTTGAAGCTGGATTTGATATTACCAGCATGATTACTTTTCCAAATAACTCCTTCGTGAGAGTCAAGGTTGGAAGGGTGGATCTGGAGGCTGCCCCAGGTCAGGAATTCTCCATTGATGGTGACAAAATAGTGTGGCACAGAAACTTTCCCCAGGTACAACATAATTTCCACACCCACAATATACCGGAAAGCACCATATTATAGTATACTCTAGATCATCAGCCCAGTGTGTCCCAAACCAAGATTGGTACATCTTTGAAACATGGGTAGGCAAACTAAGGCCCGGGGGTCGGATCCAGCCCAATTGCCTTCTAAATCCGGCCCTCGGACCGTCCGGGAATCAGCGTGTTTTTACATGACTAGAATGTGTCCTTTTATTTAAAATGCATCTCTGGGTTATTTGTGGGGCCTGCCTGGTGTTTCTTCACAAGTAGAATGTGTGCTTTTACAGTGGTACCTCAGGTTACATTGCTTCAGGTTACAGACTCCGCTAATCCAGAAACAGTACCTCGGGTTAAGAACTTTGCTTCAGGATGAGAACAAAAATTGTGCAGTGGCAGCACAGCGGCAGTGGGAGGCCCCATTAGCTAAAGTGGTACCTCAGGTTAAGAACAGTTTCAGGTTAAGAACGGACCTCCAGAACGAATTAAGTTCTTAACTCGAGGTACCACTGTATTTAAAATGCATCTCTGGGTTATTTGTGGGGCAAATATAAATATAGTCTGGCCCCCCACAAGGTCTGAGGGACAGTGGACTGGCCCCCTGCTGAAAAAGTTTGCTGACCCCTGGTGTAGAACTTGGAACCTATAGTTCACATTTTTGTTTTATTAGGACTCGGGGGCCTCTCACCCAGAAAGAGCAGAGCTGGAATAGGAACACTCAGCGTGTATGAGGACATTGGGGGCAAGGCTAGTGAATACAAACCCTTGAACCCTGCTGCTCAATTTCAGCCCTCATGCTTAGAGCTCACTCACTTTTCCCGTGTCTAAAAAGCACGGGCCCAAGATGTTTTCTGCTTGTGCCATGCTTCCTAGGAATGGGTCTGAGAGGTTTTCCATTTGCTCCGCTGTTTTCCCCAGCAAAACACACTGAATTGGAGCAAGCATCAATCGGTGGAAAACTCAATTTATGTTTGCTCCAATTCAGCAATAGAGCAGGTTTTGGTGCTGATCTTTAAAGCCCTAAACGGCCTCAGCCCAGTATACCCGAAGGTGCGTCTCCACCACCATCATTCAGCCCGGGCACAGAGGTCCAGCTCCGAGGGCCTTCTGGTGGTTCCCTCCCTGCGAGAAGTGAGGTTACAGGGAACCAGGCAGAGGGCCTTCTCGGTGGTGGCACCTGCCCTGTGGAACGCCCTCCCATCAGATGTCAAGGAAATAAACAACTGTCTGACTTTTAGAAGACATCTGAAGGCAGCCCTGTTTGGGAAGTTTTTAATGTTTGATCTTTTATCATGTTTTTAATATTCTGTTGGGAGCCACCCAGAGTGGCTGGGGAAGCCCAGCCAGATGGGTGGGGTATCAATCAATCAATCAATCAATCAATCAATCAATCCAGGGGAAAGCAGCAGGAGAAGAGGGAGTGTGGACAAGCCCTGACTCTCTGAAAGGTCTCAGAAGTGTTGGGTGGTTTTGGAGGGTAGGATAGGATATTATTTATTAATTATCCTTTCTCTTACTCACCTGTGTGAGTTTAATTTCCAGTTAGCAGAGTTTGAAATTTACTATACCTTTGCAGCATAAAATGTGATAACTTCTGGGACAAAGGTTGCTTAACCTTGCTAGCAATTATCCAGGATGCTCCAGCAGACTGGTTCTTCCCTTTGTTATCCCTTGGAACAAAATAAGCACAGAAGTCTGAAATGGAAGAATAAAATTATTGTTTGCCTACATAAAGCTTTAGACTTGATGGAGCAGTAAGCAGCAATGAAAAACAAGACAGCCAGAATCTGGAGAACACAGAACTAGCAACCTTTCTCATCGGCTACGTGGCATAGAAAGAGACTGAGCTCCGAGCAGGAAGTAGTAAGGATTATTTTCCTATCATAACTTTTCCCACGAGGGAAAACCAGGAATATGACCTTACTGAGTGCCCTCTCCAGGCATTTACAGGAAGACTCCATGTGTCTTAACACTTTGATTATCTAGCAATGCATGGTATTTTATTTGGGCTGTGTCACTGCTTTGCACAAAAAGATGGACATTGTAAGCATGCTAAAAAAAAAAAAAAAGGTGACTAGGAATGAGTCATTTGATCCTGAGATTTGAATGAGTACAGTGGTACCTCAGGTTACAGACGCTTCAGGTTACAGACTCCGCTAACCCAGAAATAGTACCTCAGGTTAACAACTTTGCTTCAGGATGAGAACAGAAAGCGGGAGGCCCCATTAGCTAAAGTGGTACCTCAGGTTAAGAACAGTTTCAGGTTAAGAACAGACCTCCAGAACGAATTAAGTTCTTAACTTGAGGTACCACTGTAGTTTCATGTCTTCCGAATTCTGCCTGAAAAGAAACTGAAGTGAATGGCTGTGCGAAATTGTTTCTGTGTTTCCTCCAATGGGCAGGTTCCACCTTTATCTGTATGTAACCCCAGTTGTCCTCCAGGATCCCACAAGAAAAAGAAGGAAGGGGGGAAATTCTGCTGCTATGACTGTGCTCCATGTCCCCAAGACAAGATATCACCCCAGAAGGGTAAGTGACACAAGATATATACTTTTCAAACATTTGTTATATTAGACGGAGTGGAAGAAGTCAAAAGTACTTGTTATTTATCATTATGTATATATTTATTATTTAAATAAAGGCTATAATTTTTTGCGGGACGCGGGTGGCGCTGTGGGTAAAACCTCAGCGCCTAGGACTTGCCGATCGCATGGTCGGCGGTTCGAATCCCCGCGGCAGGGTGCGCTCCCGTCGTTCGGTCCCAGCGCCTGCCAACCTAGCAGTTCGAAAGCATCCCCGGGTGCAAGTAGATAAATAGGGACCGCTTACCAGCGGGAAGGTAAACGGCGTTCCGTGTGCTGCGGTGGCTTGCCAGATGCAGCTTGTCACGCTGGCCACGTGACCCGGAAGTGTCTGCGGACAGCGCTGGCTCCTGGCCTCTAGAGTGAGATGAGCGCACAACCCTAGAGTCTGGCAAGACTGGCCCGAACGGGCAGGGGTACCTTTACTTTTACCTTTATAATTTTTTGCAGTCTTAAATTCAATTTTCCGCATTTCTATAACAACTTGTGAATATATTTTAAAAAATATTCTCATGAATATTTGTCAGCATTTGTCAGTATAACCTCCCCCCCCCCCGCTAAACCAATTTTTGTATGCAGTTTTAAGAACATGAGTCTGTTGAGGGAGGCCAATGGCCCATTTAGTCCAGCATCTAGGCTTTGAGTCCTGGAAGACTTCTATGCTTATGATAAAATTTATTCCCTTGCTAATTATGCTGTTTTAAATGTGCATTTTATGTTTGACTTCTTTTAGTAATGTTTCCTTTAAGACAGTATTTTTGTTAACTTTGCTGTGTTAAATGTGCATTCTGTAGTTGACCTCCTTTGTAATATTTTATTTAGAAATCTTAAGATGATATTTTCGTTTCCTGTTAATTATGTTGCTTTGAATGTATACTTTATACTGAACTTTCTTCAGTAATGTTTTATTCTGGATTGTTTTACCTAAGAGAGCGAGCGAGAGACAGAGAGATAAAACTTTATTCGCATTAGCCAATGGCCATAGAAACAATAAAACATTACAGTATACGCAGAAAAGGAAATTTGATATTAAAGCACAATTTAAAGTCCTGAATCAGCAGTCAGTTAGTGGCCCTTATTCTGATTGCCCCTGCTATGAACCTAGCAACCTTTGCTGTTATCTGCTCATTTTGATCTGATAGAAGAAAGGACATTGTGGCAGTGGTTGAGCGCCCTGGGATGGTTAGTACGAGTGGGATAATTATCTCGTTCCTGAGGTCTTTGTAGAGAGTACAAGACAGGAGGACGTGTGCCGCTGTTTCGGTGCTACTATCTCCACAGGGGCAAAGGCGTTTCTCAGGCAGGATCTTTTGGAATTGACCCTCAAGTAATGCAGATGACAAAACATCCAGTCTTGCAAGTGTAAAAGCATGTCTGTATTTTGGGATAATAAGTTTGTGCAGATATGGGGCCAGAGAATCAAAATGGGGAGGTGGAAAATGAGCATACCAAAGGCAGAATTTCCTTATAGTGGCCAGGTTGTTCTGATGCTCGATATCTTTTAGACGTTGACCAGTTAGACTGTTTGCTTTGTTGGGGCCCATAGTTAGTAGGTGTTGTGGCGATGTTTTAAAAGAGGTTGCAAGCCACTTAGATTCCCCCCCCCTTTAAAATAAAAAGTGGTATAGAAATTTGATGATGGTGATGATGATAGCATGCTGTTCACAAAATGGCCAACCAGACGCCTGTGGCAACCCCGCAAGTTGGCCATGAGCACAACATCACTCTGCCCACCTGTGACTTCCAGTAAATGGTATTTAGAGGCATGCCTCTGACAGTGGAATTAGTGGCTGGTAGCCTTGTCCATGAGTTTGTCTAATATACTTTTAAAACCATCCAAGTTGGTGGCCATCATTGCTTCCTGTAGGAACAAGTTCCACTAAGCACTGCATTAGTAAGTACTTTATTTTATCCTTGAATCTTCCAACATTTGCTTCTTCCAACAATAGCTTTTGGATGTCCACAAATTTCTCCATGCCATGCATGGTTTTCCAAACTTTTACCATGTAACCTTTTTCTAGCCTTTTCTCTAAAAAGTCTCAAACGCTGCAAACATTTCACTAACATACACATTTTTGCAAGCAGCATTCCCTTATATAATGCATTTTGTATATCATTTTAACTAACATTTGCCTGTATATTGTGTGTATTTCCAATAATATATGCACCTTTGTATACATTGTTTTGTTGAAGAACTTCATCACAAAAAGTGTGAATTTTGAAGGGTAACTGGTTTGTTTCAAGTGTTCATATAACAAGCACAAATTAGGTCAAACAAAACCAAATTCTCACCACCACCCCTACGGAAACACAGCCCCCAGATGCATACCGATAAAGGTACATGGTCCTTGAAGTAAAAAAAAATAAAAATGCATCAATAGTTTCACTTAGTCTAAGACAATGTCCTTTGTTCCTGATCTGGATAATCAATACTAGGAAGATTGAAGATGTATTTGTTGCTGCCACCCCTGTCCATGTGATGTAAGCCTACAAGGTATGGGTCTTGCCTACCTACACCACACAACGTGATTTATGGGAAGTTAGCAAGCCAGCATAATGATTTTCTAATACCCCAACACACATTGCTGAGGTGGGGTTCATATGCATCACATTGTATCTGGTGTACCTGGGATAGGTAAAGGGACCCCTGACCATTAGGTCCAGTTGTGACCGACTCTGGGGTTGTGGCGCTCATCTCACTTTACTGGCCGAGGGAGCCAGCTTCCGGGTCATGTGGCCAGCATGACTAAGCCGCTTCTGGTGAACCAGAGCAGCGCATGGAAACGCCATTTACCTTCCCGCCGGAGCGGTACTTATTTATCTACTTGCACTTTGACGTGCTTTCGAACTGCTAGGTTGGCAGGAGCAGGGATCGAGCAACGGGAGCTCACCCTGTTGCAGGGATTCGAAATGCCAACCTTCTGATCAGCAAGTCCTAGGCTCTGTGGTTTAACCCACAGCGCCACCCGTGTCCCTCTACCTGGGATACTTCCAGTTTAATCCTAAGCGTTCCATATTGGCAGCATTCGAAGTTGCTCTCCGATGAATACCAAATCTGAATGTTTTATTTTCTCTGCAGACATGAATGACTGTGTCGAGTGCCCAGATGATTGTTATCCAAACAAGGACCAATCACAATGCATTCCAAAGACAATAAGCTTCTTGTCTCTTAAAGAACCTCTGGGGATAAGCTTGGCAGTTTTTGTTCTTTTCTTGTCTCTGCTAACAATATTGGTCATAGCTATTTTTATTAAGCACCAGGACACACCCATTGTCAGAGCAAACAATCGGGACCTCACCTACAGTCTCCTCACTTTTCTTCTGCTTTGCTTTCTCTGCCCGTTGATCTTCCTCAGCCCTCCAGAAAGAGTGAGCTGCCTGCTCCGACAAATGGCTTTTGGCCTTGTTTTTACAGTGGTCATTTCTTGTGTGCTGGCCAAGACCATCACGGTAGTCCTTGCCTTTGTGGCCACCAAACCAGGATCCAGAATGAAGAAATGGGTGGGGAAAAGACTGGCAAGCTCCATTGTGTTTTCTTGTTCCCTTATTCAGGTTGGTATTTGCAGTGTGTGGTTAGGAGCTTCTCCACCATTCCCAGATACTGACATGCACTCTGTGATGGGAGAAACAATACTAGAATGTAACGAAGGGTCAGTTGTCATGTTTTACTGTGCCCTGGGCTACATGAGCTTTCTGGCCATTGTCAGCTTTGTTGTGGCCTTTTTTGCCAGGAAACTGCCTGAGAGCTTTAATGAAGCCAAATTCATCACCTTCAGCATGTTCCTGTTTTGTAGTGTTTGGATCTCCTTTGTTCCAGTGTACCTGAGCACTAAGGGGAAATACATGGTGGCTGTGGAGATCTTCTCCATCTTGGCCTCCGGAGCTGGTTTACTGGGTTCCATCTTTGGCCCCAAATGCTACATTATTTTGTTGAGGCCCAATTTGAACAACAAAAAGCAGTTAATAAAGAGGAAACTGTAATATATTCTAGTGTGCCTGTCTTTTCTTTCATACCACACTATAGTTAATATAGTATTTATTTCTCTGCTGTCTGTTATCATATAATTTTGTATTATTTGGTTGTAATTGTTTTGTGTCCTTTGTGTTGTTGTTGTTGTTGGTGGTGGTGGTGTCCTCTCTTGAGGTGTAAGGCTGTCAAAGGCTAGGAATTATACTATAAATAAAACTCTGCTAGTACATTAACTTTATATAGATTCCTTAAATCTCCCATATACAGTGGTGCCTCGCAAGACGAAAAGAATCCGTTCCGCGAGTCTCTTCATCTTGCGGTTTTTTCGTCTTGCGAAGCAAGTCCATTAGCGGTTTAGCGGATTAGCGCTATTAGCGGCTTAGCGGGCTTAGCGGATCAGCTGATAAGCGGCTTCGTGGCTTAACGGATCAGCTGTTAAGCGGCTTAGCGGATCAGCTGATAAGCGGCTTAGCGATCAGCTGTTAAGCGGCTTAGCGGCTTAGCGGATCAGCTGATAAGCGGCTTAGCGGCTTGGGAAAAAGGGGGGGAAAGGAAAAAAACCCCGCAGGAACTCGCAAGACATTTTCGTCTTGCGAAGCAAGCCCATAGGAAATTCGTTTTGCGAAGCACCTCCAAAACGGAAAACCCTTTCGTCTAGCGGGTTTTCCGTCTTGCGAGGCATTCGTCTTGCGGGGCACCACTGTAATCCCAGAACAAAATTTTGATGTGGTCTTAAGATTAAACTATAATGATCCAAATCTTTTGTTGTGTTCAAACTCAATCTTCTTTGGGAATGCGTATTTTGGTAAAGGGCCCTTTTAAACTGTTTTGGTTTTTTTTTTTGGGGGGGGAGGCAGTCTCCTCACTTTCCTCCTGCTCTGCTTCCTCTGCCCATTGATCTTCCTCAGCCCACCAGAAAGAGTGAGCTGCCTGCTCCGACAAATGGCTTTTGGCCTTGTTTTCACAGTGACCGTTTCTTGTGTGCTGGCCAAAACTATCACGGTGGTTGTGGCCTTTGTGGCCACCAAATCAGGATCCAGAATGAGGAAATGGGCGAGGAAAAGACTGGCTAGTTTCATTGTTTTTTCTTGCTCCCTTATCCAAGCAGGCATTTGCATTTTGTGGTTAGGAACCTCTCCCCCATTCCCTGATTCCGACATGCACTCAATGATGAGGGAAATCATTCTAGGCTGTAACGAAGGGTCTGTTGTCATGTTTTGCTGTGTCCTGGGCTACATGGGCTTTTTGGCCATTGTCAGCTTTGTTGTGGCATTTTTTTGCCAGGAAATTGCCTGAGTGCTTCAATGAGGCCAAATTCATCACCTTCAGCATGTTGTTGTTTTGTAGTGTTTGGATCTCATTTGTTCCGGTCTACCTGAGCACCAAGGGGAAATACATGGTGGCTGTGGAGATCTTCTTCATCTTGGCCTCCAGTGCTGATTTACTGGGCTCCATCTTTTTCCCAAAGTGCTACATCATTGTCTTGAGACCTGATCTGAATAGCAAGGAGTGCTTAATAAAGAGGAAATAATAAATTATCCTATCATCCCCCCCCCCAGTAGAATGTGGGCTATATAATCTCTCATTATCCTTATTGTATGATTATATTTTTTTGTTTAGCTGCAATTGCTATGTGCAATTTATTTGAAAATTCTCTGTGGTCACAGTCAGACAGGTTTCCCTAATCATTTTGGACATCATGGACTCCTTGCTGTTCAGGTCAGGTCTCAACACAATGATGTAGCATTTTGGGAGCAAAGATGGAGCCCAGTATCCCAGCCCTGGAGGCCAAGATGCCACCAAGATGCCACCAGCCACCATGTATTTCCCCTTGGTGCTCAGGTAGACTGGAACAAAGGAGATCCAAACACTACAAAACAAGCTCCCAAATGCTACATTAGAGACCTGACCAGAATATCAGAGAGCAATTAATAATAAAGTGAATGAAAGAAAGCAATATTTTTAAAAAAATAAATAAAGCTGCCTTCCAATCATCCCTTTCTAAGTAATTTTCTAGGTTTATTAGTTCATTAACGGTTTAGAAACATTTATGTCCAATCTTAGACCTCCTATACTTACAGAGCAGGAAGTGCTATAAAAAGAATGCTGCTGACATATCAGCAAGAATGGTATGCCAGCACATGTATGAGGCCTATTGATTTCTCTCATGTAAAAAGAAGCAGCTGTGAGGGAAGTGTGACTGGATCTCTCTGCACACAGAAGTCTCGACACTCCAACAGTTTTATAATCTTTAGTTTATTACGATTTACACAAACCTTCCGAGAGCCTTCGTAAATCAGTCCTCCCTGGAACTCTCAGTTGGCGCTGCTAATTGCTGCTTCCTGCAAAAACACAGGAATTGAGGTGCTTTTACGACCTTCTTATGACCTTCCATTAATCTCCCGAAACGACTTGCGTGCGGAGACTTCTGGGCCCTCTCCGCCTCCGAGCCTGAAGCCTTCCAGTTGTTCTGACTCTGCCTGTTCTGCTCCCTCCTCTTGCATTCTTTCCCAGACAAGGTCCTCCTCCCCCTCCGTCGGCTGGGAATCCAAACCTCTCCTGTTGTCTTCCTTTCCTCCTTCCTCTACAGAGCCTTCTTCTTCACGCTCAGCCTCCAGCCTTTCCTCCAGCTCAGCATCGCTGGTGGGGCTCATGGCAGGGAGCTCAGAGTACCCCAAGGGCTCTCTGACAGCAGGGAATAATAGGAAATTTAATGAATGAGATCAGGAAGCTTGAAAGGAAGTGTAAAAGCTTTCTCACAATAATAATGCACAATACAAGTAATGAGAATTATGAGAAAAATTGAGAATATACTGATCAATGAACTTCAGCAAACAAGACACCTCACCCCTAAATCAGAAGGGATAATAGAATAAAATTTAAGGTATATATTTTTCTTTTTTAATTGCTAAACCAGCGAGTACAATAATCAAGAACGAGAAAATTATGTACTGTGGTAAACCATGACAATATTGTCTGTTGCTTACTATAAAGAAATAGAATACTGTATCTTATGATAGAGACTTAATGAAAAATTCCTTAGCAAAGTCTGCTGGGATGAGCAGGGTTAGTATCCAGTGGATCCCCATCTGATCTATCCAGTAGAGGCTGCTTTTGATGAAATGTCACAAACATGCTTTACTTCATTCTGTTGCTGTTCCTCACACAAAGGGACCTAGTTATTACCTCATATGTAATTATCACATTTGTCACGGCCAAATCTCCTTTGGATAAGGTCCCCATAGATTTTCAGAGAACACAAGCAAAAGTATTTAACTGGGTAGAAAAACCCTTCCTGCCATTCCAAACAAAGGGTGAGGGAAGAGTAAAAAACTAGATTTCTGCTTTTCTCTGGAAGAGTTGTAAGACAGGATTTTAATCTGCTTATTGGTAGATAAGTGCTGTTTATGCCAAGGCAGAATATTGTAGTGAGGCTGGTTCTGAAGCAAATGGCCATTTTCCAGATGGAAATAAGGGTGTCAGAAAAGAGAAAACATTTGCCTCAGTATGCTGGTGTTTATTCTGCCCATTCTCTTCCTTTTGCCACATACAGTGTGCAAACATACGACTAGTTGCACCATCAGTTATATGCTTAGGATTCCACATGAATATTACTGGCCTGGTGACCTCATCATTGGTGGACTTACCTCTCACCTCTTTGTTGCTTTGGATAAAGAAGACTTCAGTGAAATGCTAGCCACACACCAACTGCTTAATCTCCTGTAAGAACTTCAAATATCAAATCACCAGATGGTACAGAATCATTCCCCAACTCTAAGTATATTTACTCAGAAGCAAGTTCCATTGATTTAAGTGGGATTTACTTTCAGGCAGAGGTTTGTGTGTGTGGGAAAACATTTGCAGTAGTTGAGGGAGGAGCTGGCACTGGATGTTTTGCTGCTGTAGGAAAAACTGAAGTGTCCCTCAACCCCGACACCTCCCTGATTGAAGATCAATGCCCATTGCCCGCATATCAGAGAAAATGATAATAATGGTGGTGATGATAAAGTAAAAAAAATTATGCGGAGGGAGAGCAAAAAAAGGAGAATAAGGAAAATAAATTACATCCCCCTTCTGTGCAAAGCTGCATGCAGCTTTATGTTGGGGTTGGCTGAGAGGAGATGAGGAGGAAAGTGACAGAGATCTGTGAGTGGAGAGGGGGGAGAGGCATCAAGAGAAGAGTGAGAAGGGCTCATTCACACTTAATTTTGCCCTGAATTTTCTAAAGTTCCATGTCTGGAAAGAACAGCCAAAATAATGAAGGGGTTGAAGGCACTCTCCTATAAGGACAGGTTGCAACATTTGCGACTTTTTAGTGTAGACAAATGGCAAGTAAAAGGAGATATGATAGAAGCTTATAAAATGATACCCGCTGTGGAGAAAGTGGATAGAGGGATAGAGAGCCAGTGTGGTGTAGTGGTTAAGAGCGGTAGACTCGTAATCTGGGGAACCAGGTTCGTGTCTCCGCTCCTCCACATGCAGCTGCTAGGTGACCTTGGGCTAGTCACACTTCTTCGAAGTCTCAGCCTCACTCACCTCACAGTGTTTGTTGTGGTGGAGGAAGGGAAAGGAGAATGTTAGCCGCTTTGAGACTCCTTCGGGTAGTGATAAAGCGGGATATCAAATCCAAACTCCACTTCTTCTGACTAGATTTTTTTTTTTGTCATTCCGTGAAGCTGAATGGTGAAATATTCAGGACATACAAAAGAAAGTGCTTCTTCACATAATGCACAGTTAAATTATGGGATGTGTTGATACCAATTGTGGTGGTGATATCCAACTGGCATGGCCCTAAAAGAGGATTAGGCAAAGCCATGCAGAATAGGACTATCAGTGGCTGCTAGTTATGATTACTGCATACTAGATCCATTGTTGGAGACTATGTGCATCTCTCTACAAGTTGTTTTGGGCTTCCCATAATTATCTGGTTGGCCACTTAGAGGACAGAATGCTGGACTAAACAGGCCAGCAGGATTCTTCTTGCTTTCACGTTCTCTGGAAGCCCATACCTGCTCCACAGTGTGCTGGGGTGATAGGTAGGGGTGGAGAAGGAAACAGAAATCCTCCTGTCTCTGTGTTCTTCTTTAAGACCTGCTACCATTTTTCCATCCTGATTCAAAAGTGTGTAAAGAAAAGAATGCATTAGCGATGAGATACGAAGCCCTTCTTTGCTCTGAATATTGAATTGCACCTCAAAAGTGTTTGAAATGAAGATTCTTAAAAGCCCACTTCTCTTCTGAGGTGGAGTTCTTTTTTAAATACCCCAGGTATTTAAGTCAGGCTTAGAACAAAGTCCTGGTTAAAAATATGTCACAAGTCTGAAAATGATGAGTTTTTAGAGAGTGTCATCAAGCACATTTAAGACCCCAATGAAAATATCAGTATTGCCTTATAAGGGGTGGGAGAGAAATTATATTCAGCTCACATTTAAACATGAACCTGCCAAAATTTGCGTGCTCCAAAACAATGCAAGAACCAAAATATCTTATCTAAATTTTGCAACGCGGTTCTCAAGCCAAGTAATGTATATAAAAATGCATGTGCTGGGGTAAAGTGTCCACAAAATGCATATATTAGTGAAAGTAGCACACAAAACCACATTATTTTTGTGTAAATATGTGTATATTAGGCAAATTTGCATAAAATGTGTGTATTAGGAGAAAATTGCACTAAAATGCTGAAGAATTTTCATGAGGCCTGAAAAAAAATCCGTAGCATATCTCCCAAGGATACAGCATAACATTCTCCTTGCAGTGTGGTGCCAAAGAACTACCAGCATATTCTGGCCTTGGCCTTTGCTGTCAAGGAGATCAATGAGAACCAAAAGATCTTGCCTAACATCACATTGGGATTCCACATCTATGACAGTTACTTCAATCAAAGGATGACCTACTCGGCCGCTCTGAAACTTCCCTCCACAATTGTACCCAACTACAAGTGTAACACCCAGAAACATCTGATGGCAGTTATTGGGGGACTTGACTTTGATACCTCCATCTATTTGGCAGACATCTTGGGCGTCTACAAGATCCCACAGGTAAGATACGGCCTTGGGGATTTCACATTCATTCACCATGATCTTTTCTATCCAGAGGTTCTGCACAATAGGTTTTGTGCAATAGAGAATTAGTTATGACTTACAAAGGAGGGCAGTTTGTTCAGTGTCTGGATTCCAAACCATTCAGGGCTTTAAAAGTCAATATCAGGACTCTGAACTGAATCTGGAATTTGGACCATATGTCAAAAGTGTGCCAGCTGTCTCTGTACCAAGTTAGGAGTCCCCTAACCGAACTGAAAACCATTCTCGAGCAATTTAATACAACTCAGGGAGTACTGCATGGATTGGCGGAACATTTCTGCAACCTATCATTAATTGAGGTATACCCAGCCCACTTTCCCTCAGCTATGCGGTTCTCTGGCAGCACCCTCAGATCTACCTCAGTTCCCCTGTGCCACCTGCCCCATCTCTCTAAAGTGTGCAGCTCAGAACTGGGTTTCTGCAATGCTCATTGGCTGGTTAGGCCTGCCCCCTGGGAAATCCCTGGACCCAGGCCTGCAGTTCTCCACAGGCGGCCTCCGGATTGCTGACATGGGGCCATGGCCAGGCTGCAATGTAGGTAAGTGGACTTGCCTTGCAAATAAATTAGAATGAATGCTAAATAAATAGCTGACATCATCTAACCGCCCCACAAACTTTGTGAAAACAAATCATAATGAATATTCAATAATAAGATAATCTGGAAATGTCCTCATATCAGTGGCTTTTGGCGTCTCATCCTTTCCCGTCCCTGGCATGCTGCTATATCACTGCCTCATGGGCCAGAGAGTATAAGGAATATGCATTTGTTTGACTCTCTTGTCCATGGGAGAGTGAGGTAATGAAAACTTCCTACCTGTCATTACAATTGTCTTTGCCACAACAGCCGCTAGAGATGCACATAGCAAATCCTTCTACTATATTGATGTCCCTTTATTTCCTTCTAGCTCACTTATGGTTCCTTTGCTCTAGAGTATGCTGAACAAACCCAGTCCACTCCCTTTTACCGGATGGTGCCCAATGAAGCCCATCAGTACACTGCGATTGTTGAGTTACTTCTGCACTTTGGTTGGATGTGGGTTGGGTTGCTCAGTGGAGAGAATGACAGTGGAGAGAGATTTGTTCACACCCTGAAACCTCTGCTGTCCCAGAGAGGTATTTGCTTGGCCTTCTCAGAGAAAACTCTGAAAACCACATATTTGGCTGGGTATTATGCCATGTATTCCCAGTGGATCCAAATCTATCATGTTGTTATGAGAAGTAAGGCCAAAGTTGTTGTTTTCTATGGAGAAACAAAGTGCATGCTTGGCTTGCGAATAATGGTAGCACTAGGCGAAATGGAAAGTGTGACCAAGACATCTGTGGGCAAGGTATGGATTCTGACAGCACAGCTGGATTTCACAGCATTGGCCTTTCAAATGAGGATGGATATGCAAGTCTTCCAGGGTTCCCTCTCCTTTTCAGTTCATTCAAATGTGGTACAAGGATTCAAAGCGTTTCTTCAGGTCCAAAATCCTTTTGAGGCAAATGGAAATGGCTTTGTCAAGCAGTTCTGGGCAGAAGTATTTCTCTGTTTATTTCCAAACTCCAATACAGAGGAGCAGGCCAGTGGAACCTGCACTGGAGAGGAGAAGCTGGAAGATCTCCCTTCATCTGGTTTTGAGATGAGCATGACTGGCCACAGCTACAGTGTCTATAATGCTGTCTATGCAACAGCACATGTTCTACATGCCATGTTGTTGCCCAAATACAGGGCAGCGGTGGAAGGAGGGATGCAGGATCTTCAAATGCTACAGCCTTGGCAGGTAATGCCTTCAATGAGATACAATTTACTTGACATGGACAGTGACCTGGAAATTAGTGTAGATTACCACCCAGCACTCTGATTGGATAAAATAAATAATTAAAAACCGCAAATACCCCAGAATTGACATTTCAATTTGTCCATCCATGCTGGGTGTTGGTTAAAAAAAAGATGCTGGATAGGAAAACATTATTTTAAGTTACCTTGAGCTCAACACTTGCTTTTGGAAAATGACAAAACAATTATTAAATCAAAAGTAATTACCCTTTGCAACACAGGACTCATCCTTACTGCCATTTAATGTAGATAGTAACCTTCCCACACCTCCATTAATTCTCAGTTACCCGTATGACATTCTTCAAATCACTGTCTTCCCACACTTCCTTCCATCAGTCTGGACTTTCTTATTCTATGAATTCTTCAAAAAGAAACCGGCATGGGAAATTCTGGGTTGAGGGAGGGAAAGTTGAAGAAGGTAGTGATTTTGAGGAGAGTAGCTTTGGGTACCTCTAGATTCTCACTTTTCCTGAAATTTGCTTGCACAAAGCTTACTTAGTGGTCACGTCCCCAACCATTTTCAAAACCACAAAACATGTGACAAGGCGCTTTTATTTCTGCAAACCTAATATTCTGGCATGTGCATAGTATGTGGAGAAATTCTCAGTCTCAGTCAGTTTTATTGCACATAGCCAAAGGCTGCCGCAATGTACACAGAATTATTTGACAATTAAAAGAAAATATACTGAATTGGTAAAAAAAGACTTAAAACATTTATATTATTAAAACATTACATACTCTAAACAAAGCTATAAAAGTACCCCAATGTACAAATAAAAACATTAAACAATAAAATTCATAAGCTAAAATCATCACATGGTCACTAATGTTAAAAACAATATCAATTAATACAGTGTGCAATTTATACTCAGAGTTTGGTGACAAAGATAGAGCATAGCCTGAGGTAGATAGATGGGATCAAATAAATTCATCTCCTTTACAGTTAATGGCTACCTTGGCTATATAATTTGCTCTAATTTTCCTAGCAGCAGTTGCAAAAAGTGCTACCCGCCAGGTCACATACTTATCTGTGTCTGCAAGGAGATATAACGTCATGTCAAGGGGGTTCTGGCCAGGGGACCCTGTCATTATAGGTACCAAAAATCTTTTTCTTGCATTGTTATATAACGGACAGTGCAAGATATAATGCATAAGGTCCTCATGTGGAGAAATTCACCCCAGAAAATACTGACCATTTGGAGGCATTACTTCATAGTTTCTGTTTTCCTTCCAATGCAGCTCCATCCCTTCCTTAGGAGTGTCTCCTTTAACAACTCTGCTGGAGAAACGGTATCTTTCGGTGAGAACAGGGAAGCACAAGCTGGCTTTGATATTACTAACATGGTCACTTTTCCAAATAACTCCTTCGTGAGAGTCAAGGTTGGAAGGATGGATTTGGAGGCTGACCCAGGTCAGGAATTCTCCCTTGATGAGAACCGAATGGTGTGGCACAGAAGTTTTCACCAGGTGGGGCGTAATTCCAACATCCATGAGATATAGGAAAACAAAATATTATGCACTTATCAGTCATCAGCCTGGCACATACCTGGTTTTCTAGCCTCATTCAAAACATTTTCTTCTGCATTACATTCCATGAGCTTGCTGGATCAGGCCAATGAACTCACAAGCAGGAACTGAGTACAAAAGCGCTCTTCCCTCTTGTGGTTTTCCTGTTGCGGCTTCATGGGTGCCTGAAGGGGGCTAAAAAATGGTCAGTTTGGTCCTGCCTTTGGAGTAAGTAGTTTAGTGTCTTCTTACTTCTAGCTGTGGGTTGGAAAACAGAAGGCAAACATGCTCTTAATTTCTCTGTGCTAAAATTTTTAAGCATTCATTTAAATGGGCAGGACCAACATGGTTTGAAAAATACATATTGCAAGATAAAAGAAACTTAGAAATGCAAATATTAGGATAAGATAGACATTTAAATGTGAATTTAGTTGTGGATTAATGTGGAAATGGGATGTAGTGAATTTATGATTAAACACAGTGCCTTTTTTTCTAAAAAAATGTTTAGGGGTACTCTCATTTTGACTCAAAACCACCATTTTATAGTTCAAATCGGGAAAAATAAATACAGTAAATGGACAAAGGTAGAAAGATTCACAAAATGTTTAGAGGTACAGGTATGCGTACTCCTGCACCTCCCCCGGGAAAAAAGGACTGATTAAACATATGAAATTCATTTGGACAGGAAATATACTGATTTGTCCTTTCCAAAATGCCGCACCCTGCACCTCTAAATAAAAGAAGTACCGCAATTTCCTTCCAATCCTCTACCCCATATACTATTTGCCTTTTAAGGTTTTGTTTATAGAAAACAGCACATTTAGGGACAAACAGCAGCCAAGGGACGCGGGTGGCGCTGTGGGTTAAACCACAGAGCCTAGGACTTGCCGATCAGAAGGTCGGCGGTTCGAATCCCCGCGACGGGGTGAGCTCCAGTTGCTCGGTCCCTGCTCCTGCCATCCTAGCAGTTCGAAAGCACGTCAAAGTGCAAGTAGATAAATAGGTACCGCTCCGGCGGGAAGGTAAACGGCGTTTCCATGTGCTTCTCTGGTTCGCCAGAAGTGGCTTAGTCATGCTGGCCACATGACCCGGAAGCTGTACGTCAGCTCGCTCGGCCAATAAAGCAAGATGAGCGCAGCAACCCCAGAGTCCACCACGATTGGACCTAATGGGCAGGGGTCCCTTTACCTTTGAGCAGCCAACTTTGAGCAGCAATGCAGCCTGGGCCCCCAGGACAGATCAGCAGTGTGCTTTATCTTAAAAATAAAAGCCCTTCTCCAGTATTCCCAAAAGAACTTGTGAGGGTTCAAACTAAGAAAGGCTGGGCATGCTCAGTGCATAAACTCCACCCACAATGCCTTCGTGTGCATGGCAGCAAGTGTGAAGGGGACTTCTAACTGCATTTGGCTGAACTCCTTTAGAAGCCTCCTCCTCATATTTGGGAACCATGATAATCACACAAAGTTACAAATCACAAGGAGACTTCTAAGCATGTTCATTATTTCAGACTTTCCCATTCAGTATGGTAAAATTGTTGGTGGAAAAGGTATTCTCTTTATGTATGGAGACAAAATGGGAAGAGCGGGTGAAAATTATCCCCCAATCCCCTTCCCAGTTTGAGCCCTCCTGCTTGCTTTTTGAATGCCTGAAGGGGGCTCAAAGATGGTCAGTTTGGTCCTGCCTTTGGAATAAGTAGTTTAGTGTCTTCTTACTTCTAGCTGTGGGTTGGGAAACAGAAGGCAAACGTGCTATGAATTTCTGTCTGCTAAAATTTTAAAGCATTTATTTAAATGGGCAGGTTCCACCCCTTTCTGTGTGCAACCCAAGTTGTCCTCCTGGTTCCAGCAAGGAGAAGAAGGAGGGGGAGCCATTCTGCTGCTATGATTGTGCTCCATGTCCTCAAGGCAAGATTTCATCCCAAAAGGGTAAGAGACACAAGAGGTATACCTTTCAAACTATATGTCATGTTAGAAGTTGTTGAAAAGATTAAGCAAATAACTGGTACATATTATTTGATTGGAGAATGGCAGCACACATTTTTAGAGAACTGCACATGCTTCAAGGCAACAGTATTTGGGTTATGTGTTGGTGAAAGGAGTGCAATTTAGATAACCTTCCCATTCAAAGGGCAACAAAATGAAATTTCTCCTCCATCCCTATTGGAAGACAGCCCCCATAAAGGAATACGGACCTTTCCTAACAAGAAAAGTTTTATAAAAGATCTCATCTTTGTCAGAGATTAAAATCCAGCAATCAATACTGAGGTACATGGAGCAATGAACTGAGTATAAGACACTTTCCTTAGCTCCCGTGCTGAACAATTCATATAATTTATTGTTAGCCCCATTGACCAAGTAAACTGCACAATGTAGTTTATATTGGTGACAAGGAAAAAACAGGTATATAAAGGAGAATGCCAAGATCCAGGTATGGGGCAAGTACTCTTTGGTTAGAGAATCCCAGCAGAGATTTAAATTCAAAAATATTAAGAAAAGTAAAACATGGCAATATAAGCTGTTAGAGCTTTAAAATATGCCCTTCTAAGTTCTTTCCAAAAGACCACACATTGGTAAGTTAAAAATTGGGTTACTACTATTAAATTATCAAGTTCGTGTGCTTTTCCACACATTAGTAAGAAAACCCAGGCAGTAAAACTTGGATTAGCTACAATAATAAAAGTACCTAAATTATTGGTATAAGGAGCACAAGAATGGCTTGTAACAGCCATGCAGTCTGATCTTGGAGCAAGCAGTTCAGACATCATCAAACTCTGAGCTTCTAAAGTAGATTTAGGACTCGGAGGCTTGATTACCCAGTACCTCCCAAGATGAGCTAAGCCTGGCAGGATAGCTTACTCTATGGTCTTAACCCTTTCATTCATTAATTAGACTTAAGCCTGACTGGTTATCCCACAGCTTCTGGGGAGTTAGCAAGCCAGTACAGAACACCCCACATAACCCATCACACAGCGCTGAGGTGGGGTTCTGGTGCATCACTTTGAGTCTAGCATGTTTGGAGACTTCTGTGATACTCCTAATCTAACCTGAAGAGATACTGCTAACATTAGTAGCTGCTCTGCAACATATCTGAAATCTGAGTGTTTTTCCTCTCTCTCCAGACATGGATGAATGTGTTGCATGCCGTGAAGATCACTATCCAAATAGGGACCAATCACAATGCATTCTAAAGACAATCAACTTCCTGTCTTTTAAAGAGCCTCTGGGGATAAGCTTAGCATGTTTTTCTCTTTCTCTCTCTTTCCTCACATTGGTGGTCCAAGCCATCTTCATTAAACATCAGGACACACCCATTGTCAGAGCAAACAATCGGGACCTCACCTACACTCTCCTCACTTCTCTCCTGCTCTGCTTTCTCTGCC